TACACTATATGAAATTCTGCTATAAAAATTTACGTGGTGCCCTTCTTTGCTTGGTGCCCTAAGCACGTGCTCATATTGCTTAATGGTTAATCCGGCGCTGGTCGGATCTTAGTGGGTCGTGAAAAGTTGTAGAAAGCTTTGATTGATCATACTCGTTATCAGGCTCGGTGGCGACTCGAATACGTAAATCTTCAAAAAAATAAAAGAAATTAAATTGAATTTAAATTCTAATCTGTGAAAGTTTCCTTTTTACGATCTTCTCAAAGGAACAAAAATTTGCTACACAAAGAAGGACCATGTTTTTTTTTACACATAGCAGTTTCGTACCGTGTTTCCCCGAAATTTAGACAGGATTTAGATTTATTTTCTTTTGAAGAATAACACTATGTTTTTTTTTGGAAGAGGTCTTTTTTTGTGTTCATTTATCAAAAATAAAATTATATATATATATATATTGTAAAAATCACGATATGGTAATAAATAGCGGGTCCCAACTCTCCAAGTTTGGGAACCACTGGTTTAACCAATTACAGTATTACGTGCGACCGATCTAAGGCGTTGAGGAGTTAGCATCTATTTGGGGAGATTATTTTTGTTTAGGGCAATTTTTTTGCAGTTCATTTTTTCCACATGCAAATGAATTCGATAATCTCAAACTATCAACTTCGAATGGTTTTAAAACCCTAATTTGGCCCTAATTAACCTGTACATGCTGGATGGAAATAACTTTAGTGTGTCCGATAGACAAACGATGAATACAATTCCCTTTGAAGTAGCATTGTTACCAATTATCGATTCTTTTTATTTATTTTGAAAAAGATTTATAGTCAATCTGTTTCTGATTGGATGTCATAGATGTTGAAGTCCTCATTTATCATACAACAGAATTTATTCAAATTTGCAATTGGTAATGTTATGAAATCGGGCGGAACTTTTAGGACACCATGTATATACATCAATTCGGAACAATGTTTTCACACAAAAATTTCATAATATCGAGTGCTCAGTTCGGATTCCAGTGCTGCATATATGGAGCTCAAAACTACATAATAAGAACCTAGTATTATAAGACTTGCGGAATATATGCAAAACCAATTTTTTGATCGATGCATACAATAATTAAATCTATGACCCACTCAGTAAAAACGGTTCGTAGTCTTTTATTTACACACTTTTCATTATTAAACTTGTTCCTGTGAATTTCCTTTTCCGTTGACGGGAACGTCAGTTTTCAGTTTGCTGTAATTTTACATTTATAAAGTCATCGTATACCCTAGTGCAGGGTGGTCCAAGGATGTCGGCCTCGCGGGCCACACTATTATTTTTGTATTGTTCGCGGGCCACAATACTGCCAAGAATTGGTAAATAGTGCAATACAAAACAAACATTTTTATATTGTCCAAACGCATTGATCATTATTTGTCATTTACCAAGCTAAAACTCAATAAAACGTGCAAAAATCTTACTGTATCTACATTTAGTGTAAGATTTCAAACTTTTCATAACGGAAAAAGTGACATATATATGAAAAAAATACCGTTTTAGATTGTCACCGACACAACTTGCAAACATATTAAGCAAGCACTGTGATATTTTCCCTCCCATATTCAGTCAAAAATCTGTTGGTCAGCTTTCTTTTCAAACTCATGTTAAAATTGACTTACAAATAACTGCAGATTGATTGATTACCGAATTTCACCAAATTTGCAGGAGGGTAATTACTAAATTTTCTGACATATAGGCAGCAGTTTTCGTAACACTGTTTAGGCTGGCTGCTAAAAACACCCGGGAATTATATTGTTCGGCCATTGCATTAATATTTAGTTATCAGACATAGCCAACCTGGGCTAATAGATTTCTCATTCAATTTTTAGTTTATTATGAAATCAATTTTGTTAGCATATATTTCCGACCAAAAAATAGAAAGCCAGTTAACAATTTAGACTGCCGAGCACATCATTCAACTTTGCCAGTTGCCTCAGCTAACCATAACAATAGTCAATTCATTGACATTAGTGATGTAACAATATTTCGAAAGATTTTACTATAGTTATTTTTATGACGAAACAACACCAAATGCGATTTTTGTTCACTCTCGCGCCAATGCGACGCGGGCCACAGATAATGAAGCGGCGGGCCACATGTGGGTTTGGACCACCATGCCCTAGTGTATGGGACCCATATTATACTCCACCAGGACTTTCGGAGTTTGTAGGCCTACTTTCACAACTGTCGACCCTTTGCGATAGGCAGTGATTGGACGACCAATCTCAACTTATGCAACAAAAAAAGATAAATGAAGGTTAAAGAGATCAAAAGAGCACTTTTATCTCTTCCTCCATTCGTTTGTGGACTGAAATTTTTTTATTTGCACAGGAAAGTGGCAGACATCATTGACCTCTTGGAATGAATTTTTAAAATCCAGAAAATCAAAAAGAGAAACCCCAAATTCTCGGTAATCCATTTCACGGACTGAGTTAGTAGACCTCATCTTACTCGAGATGTAGTTTCTTAGTTACTAATACTGTATTGGTTTGTGGTGAAGGATAGGATGAATTTCTACGGATTCGAGAGACAGTTGACTTTCATCAAGTGATGTTATATTTTTATGATGCTAATAATACATTCTTGTCATGAATTTGCATTTTTTCTCTTTAAAAGCGAGTTCTTCTGCGACTACAAGGTATTGAAATTTACAGTAACACCTATCTTCGACTTGATACACTACGCTTTTGTTGGTAACTCTATAGCATGTATTATTTGTAAATGAATGTGATGTTACCGTATATTGCTATTTCGTAGATTGTCTCTGACTTGCAAGTCACCCGTTCACCCTTCAGCTTCAACACCCACGTGAATGAAGATGCGTTAAAAATCTCTATATGTTTTTATTCGTAAATTTCCACAACACACAGAATACAAATCTTAAAACATTTATCCACACTCGCTTTGAATGGTTTACATCGTCTTCTCTCCTTATCGAAAGATATCGGAGTCGTATTTATACGTTGATCATAAATCCAATTAAATGCTGTAAACGTGAGCTCGTGATTCACGTTATAAACAGAAATTCCTATTATCTCAACAAGGGTAATTAGGTACATCGTACGGATGGGAACTTAGATATAATTATTTCAATCAGTGCCAAAGGTCTTGAGAATATAGATTTTAATTTGATAATGACTGGATGGAACCTGTTATGTTCTTAAACCTGGTGTAATTTGATTCCTACGAAAGTCTTTGTTCGAATTTTGGGAAAAATTAACTTTGTTTTCATATTTTCAACATGAAATGGGGTACATTTGGGGGTTAGTTGCTATATTATCTCCCCATCTTACTAACTGGAAGTTTAAAGATTTGGCACCCTCTAATAAATTGAAAATATATAAAAAAAAATACAATACACAATGCTAAAATTAATGATATAGGTCAAAAAAATATTTACATGTATATGATCTACAATGAGACACGACATTGAAATAAATGATGGGTAAATGAATGTGATGTTACCGTATATTGCTATTTCGTAGATTGTCTCTGACTTGCAAGTCACCCGTACACCCTTCAGCTTCAACGCCCGCGTGAATGAAGGAAACTTTAGAAAACTCTGTTTGATCTTATTCTCAGATTTCCACGATTAACAGAATATAAATCTTATAACATTTATCCAGACTAGCTTAGAATGGTTTACATCGTCTTCTCCTACTTCGTCCTCCTTCGAAATATATCGGAGTCGTATTTATACGTCGATCGTACATCTAATTAAATACTGTAAACGTGAGCTCGTGATTCACGTTATAAACAGAAACTCCTATTATCTCAATAAGGGTAATTAGGTACATCGTACGGATGGGAACTTAGAGATAATTATTTCAATCAGTGTCAAAGGTCTTGAGAATATAAATTTTAATTTGATAATGAATGGATGGAACATGTTGTGGGTCATAAAACCTGTGTAATTTGATTCCTACGAAAGTCTTTGTTCGAATTTTGGGAAAAATTAACTTTGTTTTGATGATTTCAACATGAAATGGGGTACATTTGGGGGTTAGTTGCTATCACGTCGGGGTCACCAAATATAGTGATTAGTTACCACTACACATAGATTGTTTGTAGATTGGTCTGGTTTATGTATTATAACCCCAGCATTGACTGACAATAGTTTTGTCTTGCGTTCGTTAACTCGAACTGTCTATCTGTCGATAGCCTTCGGCTGTAGTAAGGAGACGTTTGAAAACACCTTATGAGTTTATTGCAATTCCGACAATATATACAGAAATACAATGTACACACAATTTGATCAAATCTAGTCTGATTAACACAAAACACATTGCTGAATATATAGCTTTCTACCAAGCAATTAAAATAGAATAAAGAAACAGATTTTTACATTAACGATTAAAGAATCACGCGTCATTCCGGTTTCTGGTTAGCTTTCGGTTCACTATAATCAAACATTATTAAAAGTGTTTTCTTGAAGTTCATTACTAGCAATTAACTTGTTATTGCCAAGTCACCGTGTTCCTGGTCACGTACTTACTCCAATTATGAGATGTAAAAAGTTGTTCTCAAGTGGATAATTTGGTTTTAACAAGATATTTCGAATTTACGTTATTGGAATATTACTGGAAATAAATTTTATTTTTACATGGGATGGCACCGAAAGGCTATTAAATCTTGAAATTGGATTTTGAGAAATTGATAATTGCTATAACGGGAATAATTAATTTTGGTTTTCATGAGTTTCTCACGAATTGGGCCAATTTGGTGTAGTTTTGTAGTTACATAACAACTAATTGGCTACAACTCTCGCAAGAAAGGTATATATGGTTACTGTGGAATCCGGTGAACACCGGGCTAAGCCTAAAAAATACGTCCCTGACGTCTCGGCGTTATTACGATTATTCTAACTGAAAGAAGCAAACATTGCGACAGGATTTCGCCACAAAACTCAGCATAGTGATAGGAATTTGTACCCTACCCAGTAAATAACACATCAGTAATTTGTAAGAACTTTATTTCGAAAAAATTATTTAAACAAGAACGTATGAAAAGGCTGAAAGATATGTTCGCCACATAGAAAGTTTCCGTGTGCTCTACCTTCATCACTCAAGGGTAAGGCAAGACATAATATAGTGTATATTGAAAAAAATGAAGATATAAGAGAAATGTAATTATACGTCAGACCCCTCCTAAAATTTTCAATGTATACGCCGATTTCGACAGGATAAATTCGGGTTGAGCTGAAGAATTAAAAAACAGCATTGATGGCGATTGGGACATCATTGTTATACAAAAATATAATTTTAGGTGTATACATACAAAACAGTGAGGGAAATTTCAACACAATGAAATATGAATATATTAGAAAACCAATATGAGCTACTATTAATGATAATGGTCAAATAAATAAATTCCAGAAATTGTCAAGCTGATAAATTACAGAGTTTGTTACATTGGATGAGATTGTGCTGAGGCTGGAAAGTTCATATTCAGTTCAAAACGATTTCAAAATCAAATTTAAAAATTGGCAAGAATTTCACATTTGACAAAATATACCATATGGATTCAAGTTAAGAATAAAGAAGCCATAATTGTAGATAGGAGTGTTAGATGTGAAAAAAAATTGGTAGATACTAAACTATTTCTAACATTGATTAACTAGTAGTTGTAGTAATCTTTGCAATTTATAATACCAATGAGTGTAATTCCTTGTACTGCTAATAAGCTAACCATGTATTAAGCTCTGAAATAAATATTTGCTATTCTGATTCACGTTTCATCAACTTGGCTGAGAAAGTTAACAAACTTCGACAGCATTTTTGATAGTGTATATCTCCAGTTTTAATAAGCAGACGAGTTGGAATCATTTCAGAAAAATTTGAACAGTGTTGATAGTCAATATTCCAAAAGCAATAATAATTTGAAACCTCTATGACTTCAAGAGTAAGGATTTTACCATTGTAATAGCACAAAGCCAAGCATTATCATAGCTAAAACAATATTACTCATCATTTTGTAAAATTCTTTGAAGATGAAAAGACTAGCAATCAATGTCATCAGCTACTTTTGCAATATTATAAACAAAGCGAAATATCCATTCTATTTTCACATTTTTTTCCTCAAATTTTTTCGTCTTTTCATTTCATTGTACATTTCAACTTGTAACTCTTCCACACTGATATCATCTTCACTTTGCAATGGATCATAAACATGATTTTTTGCTCTTGTTCGTGATGTATTAAACAAAGGAACTTGCAAAAAATTTGAATTACTCGATGTTGGCGACTCCAGTTTCATTCTTCGGATGGGACTGCACAAATTATCACTTGGTCGCGAAGTTACATTATGAAGAATACATCTTGCAGAAGTCTTTTTTCTACCTTGACTCCTGTTATGACTCCCCTTTTTTGACTGCACCGTTTTTGAATGGCACATCATTGTATCTTTAGTTTCACAATTTTTTCTTTCCAATTTTGAACAAGAACGGGTAATTCTGCGAGATGAATAGTCTGGAGACACCATACTCAATGACTTGACACACTTTGGTGGAGACCCAAAAACATCCAACATTTCATCTCTTTTATCAAGGATTTTACTAGTCATTGACTTATTTCTGCCTTTCCGTGAAGTTGGTTTACATGCGTCCTTCAAAGACAATGAATCGCTATATTTATTTTCCATTTTTGAACAAGAATGTGTAATTCTTTGACAGGTATTACTTGGAGACCTTACTCTTAAAAAGTAAGGACTTTTAGGTTTAGAAATTGAAGACATATCTTCCAATACCTCTTCTGATGTTTTCGTACTAGAAAATAACTTTCTAACTCGGCCCCCTTTTTTATCAGAGAAGGGTTTGTTTGAAGATGAATTCAACTTTTTATGAGATGGAGTTCGGGGCAATTTCGGAACACTATAAAATGGATTTGATTTTGTACTATGTGACTTCTTGCTAAAAGTGTTGACAATTTGAGATGGATCGTTATGGAGTGCATTATTTTTATCCATCGAGATTTCAGATGGGCGCAACAAACTGTTATCTGGAAGTCTTAAATGATCAGCATTGTTAGATAATGAAATTTCATCTTCGGCTGCTGATGTGTCTGATGTAGATGTGTGAGTAATTACGGAACTTTTTAAAGATTGCCGTTTGTTTCTATCCACCCTAATTGAAAAATTTGAGTCGACTTTTTCTTTTTTCTTGTGTGCTTCTTTCTTGGTATTTTTAGGTGTTTGCATTAGTTCCTCCAAATTTCGGTCACAATTTCCTGAAGATATGTTCAGCCCCATAAATGAAAGTTCTGAGTCTTGTATTGGGATTTGCGATCTATGTGATTGAACAATTTTTTCATTTTTCGAGCTGCTTGCATTCAAATTAAAATCTGTTAATAATTTGGGTCTATCTTGATTCCAATTCTCAATTTTTTTTCTTTGATGGAATAGAAAAATATCTGTGTTATCTTCATCTTCTCCGTCATCTGATATTGATCCTCTGGAACCATCATCATCAGAGGAGAGAGTATCACTCAGAAAACCTGTTCTATTCGTTAGCAAAGCATTTGTGATGTTTAACACTGAATCATGATAAGCGGACATATCATTAACTAAAGGAAAGTCCTCTCCTGGAATGTTGAAAAAGTCTGCCTTCATTTCGTCAACTGTCACATTATGCAGTCCGAGTTCCCTTTCCTGTTAATAACAGTTTATATATTAGAGGCATAATTTAATTTTTTTTTGACAAGCCTAGCCATGAGGACAGGTTATAGTACACAAATCACCATGCCATAATATAAAATATTTTTCCACACCTAACAATATTTGAGACAATTACAATAAGTCTCATATAATTGTTAAATCTGTGAATATGGCAATTCGTCTAAAATGATCACCTGCAGTCAAATATAGAATTTTGAGTATCGCTAAACGAGAAAATCTTACTGCTTTAAGATATTTCATATTATAAAATATATAAACATACACAAATTATATATTTTTCCCTTTCTAACAAGATATCCCTAGAAATGTCACAAAAACATCATACTGTAATACGTCAATGCAATTGAAGACAAGTAACATAACATAAAATAACAAATATAAATAATTGAGATATTTCTTCAATTGACAATTGTTATCTAATAAAACATAACTTCCCCTCTCTAGCCTATATATACCTGCACTTCTGTTAGTCTACTACGATTTTCATATTCCGAAACAGAATCATTAGTTCGCTCCAATGACGCTATGTCAATCACAACACTTTCTGCATCATCGTTTTCCGCTGCGTATTCATAGGTTTTTATAATTCGATGAAGATTTCTTAGATATGTTTTGTTTGAACCAAGCATTTTACAGATAGGCAACTAACTCAAGTAAAGAAGGAAAGGACAGGCAAAATACTGTAAATCAATACTGCAATAACAAAATTTGTTAATATCAAATTACAGAATTATGTAACTTTACTTGGCCTAATCAATATTAGTACGGTACGGTACTTTTCCTCAATCTAGAGATCTAGTCTAACTTGGGAAAAGAGTGGAACTTCCCAATCCCATTGTCTTTCATAGAGTATAGACTACCGTTACCGCTTACCGGTACAACTGTACAAATCTGAATTAAAACAACAACTTGACAAGAAGAATGGATTGTGAAGCGCTATTACTGTATTAAAGATTAAAACAATAGGCAGAAACGAGCAACTGGATAAATGAATATAAAAAACTTAGGTAGGGGTAGGGCGAACATTCGTATTTCGCGCCTTCCGCAGTTCCGCTGACTAAAAAAAGTGTCCCACATTATCCACGCTCTTGCGACTTCAGGCACTTTGATTTTCTTACGTTGTTCATCTGGATTTCACTTTTAATTGATCTAAATCGGTGGTTCTTGAACTTTTTGAGCAGCCGCGCCCTCCTTTGAAAAATTTTACAATCCCCCCCTCTTTTTTCTTTAAAAAAATGCTTTTGTTATGGGCAGGTCGCTATATATTAAGATGGCGCTATAAGAGTGTTGGTTTCATAGCGTCATTGCTCGGATTGTTTAGGCATAAAACGCTTCGGAGTACAACTTCGCCATTCACTGTCGTATGTATAAAGCCACATAATGGTTGGTCATCATACATTCCCGTTTTTGCAATACCTGGTAAACTCAAACTAATTTGTAAGTAAAACTAAACACGCAATAAACCTATGCTTTAAAGTATTTTCTGCTTAAACATTTAAATAAGACACGTAGAATTTCAATCAATTGTTTACTTCATCACTATTGAGCGATGCCAAAATTATTTACTGTGTGTTTAAAATAAGCAACAATTACAGACTTCTTGGCTTGCCTAACGTTTCAAACAAAATGGAGAAGTGGTACAAATGAATTTATGTATATTTAAAAGCAGTTCATTTTTTAATAGTAATTATGCATGTGGACGTTTTCCCGACCCTTGACCGCTGAAAAATAAAGTCACTAAGGCGTTTGCGATTGCATTTTGTTTAAATTTCGATTGTTTTCGTAAGCGTGGCGTGCTATTTAGGCCGTAAAATTCTTGATTTCGGTGTTTATTCTCCTTAACTTTTTTTGTTCTCGAATGGGACCATGACACCTCTGAGGAAAACGAGTTAGTTTTTATTATATAATCATAAGCGACGAGATGCTAAAGATAGAATAAAGTAGTGAATCTGCAACCAAATATTTTTTTATTATAAAAGCGAGATTATAAAATACTAAAAACAAAACGGAAAACACCATGAGTTTTGTTTTGGGGTGGACCGCGACTAGACATTACAAATGTTAAAGATTCCTTAGGCCTGCAGCACACCAGTAGTGTTCTAAAACTACTGACTTGAAATAAATTTTACTCCGTGGGATTTTATCGCAGACTAAGGAATTTTTGTAACGTGGTATAATTAATCGAGCATTGCGTTAGAGCGGAGTAAGAGTTGCAGGGACAGCTCATAATGGTGAAATTGACAAGAATACAAATCAAAACAAAATGTAATCGGGCACTTCGCCACACATTTTTATGGTTGTGGATCACCGTGGTATTTTGGAGTGGTGGTGCTTTTATTCTATCGACGCAGTCGCAGATTTAATTTATCACAATTAAATGAATAAAGCAACCATTTTAATTAAATAAGTATATCGGTCATGGATTGAATATTTCATTCAACAGGAAAACCATTACATATCCGTTGACAAAGTCGGCTCTTATAACGAACGACTGGCGTATTCTCGAGGACTGACTCAGGATCCGTACCGCGGGGATTTCGAGTCGATGAATATATATGTATTTTATTTGTACTAAATTGAATATATATGCTTTCTGGGATATCATACCAGATCTTTCTAATGAAGACAACGAATTCGCATGAGTGCAATATATATCAAAACTAAATATAATCGGGCAGTGGATCACACTTTGTTTAATATTTCCGCGGATTGGCGTGGTATTTTAGATCGGCAATGAGTTTATTTTGACATGAGTCGCCGCAACCGCGAGTTACCTTGAACACAAATGAATTAAAATAGAGAGACATTTCGAATTCTTGTAGTTATTACGAGACAGAAAAATTCATTATACCACGAAAAAGCCGGTATTTTCAACGAACGCGGAGACCGTTTCATGAGCCGTTACATGTAAATTTCCGATTCAATCTTGTGAGCATCTCGCGCCCCCCTATGGGGCGCGCCCCCCAGTTTAAGAGCCACTGATCTAAATAAACTTGGGCAATTTTATATTGCGTGGAACAATAATATATGTTTGTACAAGTGAATATTTTTTCCAATATATTAAAGTACAATTAATTTTCCAATGGTAAAAAATGGCAAATTTGAGCACAAATTACGAAAAATTTCACAATGTGGGGAAAAATGTTCCTCTTATATAGAAAAAACACCAGTCGTACGGTAACAAATTAAATTGTTCACCCATACTACAATAAATTCATTCATGGACAGTTCAGGGAGATAAAATAAAGATTGTGGTGTCATTATACATGCTGTAATCTTTGTGATTTATTGAGATTTTTTACATTCATATGTGAATCGCTGCAGTGGTTAGGTTTTTTGTTTTTAAGCTATATCATAAAGAGAAATCAAAATCTAAGCCTTGGCGGAAGTTTGATTTTTTCTTGGTCTTGTTGTGTATTTTGTCGTGGGTAACGGATTTCATCCGCATGGCGCAGAACCGTTTTGTGGAACTATAACATGAAGATGGATCAGTTCTTTTGAAATTAATTACCGTTGTATTTTCCGCATCTCGCGTTTAATGTCGCTTAAAAATTATAGTCTTTCGTTACAGATATTACTTGAAATCAAAACAGACACGGTGTGCTGGACAAGGAAATACCTTTCTTGTGACACTCATTTTATTACGAATTGTTATATTTGAGTAATATAAAAAAACTTGCAGCGTGAGCAAGCTTAGTGCCATCGTTAAATAACAACCAAGTCCGTCTAATTTGGTATTTCGGGACCTAGCTAAAAAAAAATGGATTGCGCGGCATTAAGTCGACTCTGCGTTTCGACAGTACTGTCACACGGCCCATGCTTAAAACAGATGAGTGTTCCACTAAAATACAGGCACAAAGCGTTAGAAAAAAGGTTTCGAATCTCGGGATACCAACCCCAGTTGGAATAGTTAAAAAAAAGAAAAAACGTTCTGCTATTAGATACAAATATACGCTAAAACTGTTCTGTGGGCCGCACGGAATGTATCAGCATGACAGGTTTTGGATCACCCTGGCCTACCTTATCTAAAAACTCCCCTCTTCGCTGACCACTAGATCGTTTAAATGCGATTGTGGAACCGCCACATTGGTCCAATTGTTGGAGAGAATTTTTTTTTTAAAACAAAAATGCAGCAAGAAGGAGAATACTAGGAAGAAAAAACAACAACAATTTAAAAAAAAAACGACTCATAGGCCCATTTCGTGTAGCCTACAATAAATAAATTTCAGTGTTTATTTTTAATAAAGATGGTTAATATGATACTTGAAGACGAAAAATAAGCGAACATTTCGAAGTTTGAGTCACCTGGTGAACTCGTAATATTTTAATAAACACCGATAAACTATATATATAAAATTCTGTTCTAAAATTTCTGATGTTCCCCTCTTTGCTTAGTGCCGTAAGCATGTGCTTATATTGTTTAATGGTTAATCGAGCGCTGATCAGAATATATGCTTTCGAGAAAGAAAATATGTGGACTCCAAAATTGAAATTTAGGTTGTATCTTTTGCATAAACAAAAAATGACTTTGCAAAAATAATTGCAATCTTCAAGCTTCTGAAGATATAAAAAATATATCTTGTTTAAGCGAGTACGGAAAAGAAAAATGTGCAATGCAACAACTTGCTCCTCTAAATAGAACAATCATCAAAGATTAAGACGTAGTTTTAGAAATATCTAACGAATTATTTATTGATCTTTAGGGGATTATATCACAGTCTATGATTACACCTGAAATTTCAATCTTAGATACAATCTACATCTATATACAACAGAGGACCAAATCAGGAACAATACCCAAGAAATGTATAATCTTTGACCCTATTAAAGGTGCAGTTAGGCGACTGATAAACAATGTTTCGTTGTCGAAAGAACGTCCAAGCATCTCGCTTCACTCCAAAGTTACCTATTGAAGAGATCTCTGCGCGCGGCTATTTACCCACAACTCAGCCTTACCTAAGCTACAGATAAGAGGTATTCATTATAAAGTCAGAGGAGTGAAAGAGATTCCCTCTGTTATCTTGGCGGTGGACCAACTTAAAATTATTTGGCACATTCGACCAATAGTTTCAAAGAGTGCGGACTAAAGATGCACAAGTTACGGATTAGTTGTCAGATACGGGTGTGTACTGAGTGGAAATTGGAAAATGTCGGTTACTCAAGACGACTGGAGGAAGCGATCGAAGTATTCCGTAGTAATCCTTTTGTAGATGTGCGCGCCTGTTTGTAGTCTGGTTTACACAAGTCACAGCAGTAAAGATTGGGAACAAGTTGATTGTTCAATGGAATAATCAAGAATGTATAAGCTCGAGGAAGAATTTATTCATGAATACCGTGTTTCCCCGAAAATAAGACCTACTTTGGATTTGGAAATAACCTAGCCTGAATTTTAAAAATGATTTTAATATAAGCCCTCTCCTTAAAATAAGACCTAGTCAATAACTCGATTTTTTTTCACGTAGTAAATAGCAAAAAATCTCTCCTACACGTTTTAAATGATTGATAATCTATGTTTTACAGTTATTTTAACCAAAAACGTGTTATTTATTTGTGAATGGATATTGGTTTTCATACTTTGTATATTTGAAAATCTCGTAATTATCTACTTTGTAATTTTGTTTTTGATGAATGAAAATATAAGACATCCCTCGAAAACAAGCCCTAGTGTTATTTTCGGAAGAAATTTGAAATAAGACCCAGTTTTATTTTCGGGGAAACACGGTAGCTACCAGGGTCTATACCAGGGGTGGGCAACATTTTTCGGCTCACGTGCCAAAATCGGCTAAATTTAACGACAAAATTCTCCGGCGTGCCGACCAAAATTAAAAACAACGCTTCGCTACTCTCAGAGCGAAAATACACAATAATAAACCTTTTAAACGTGTACAGACAGATTCATTATTCGGGAAAATATAAGTCCGACAATTAGATTTGATTACTAATCTTATTTAAATCAGTGAGATCTATGATGCTGCATTACCGCTGATAGATATTTTTCATTGGTTTTATATTTTGTAATTTTCAAAGAAATACACGAACTACTTACTGGTTTCATCTTTCAGGCTACACCAGTTACGAGATTTGATAAAGTTCTTTAACTGAGAACAGAGATTCAAAAGCATATGTAGATAAAGACATGGAGAGTAATGCGATTGCAAAGTTTTTAAGACACAAAAATAGGGAATGGCATCCCAACCACGCAATAGTTCGTTTTCTGTACTCTTGTATTCCCTTCCCTAATGGCTTATATTTAATTCGAAGTCAATTTGTAACAGTAAGTTAGCAAGTAACTCTGATCAACATGAGCTGTACAACTTTATAAATCAAGCAGAAATGAAGAAAAAGGGGGGCACAGACGAACTATATTACGTAAGAATGTAGCCAAATGAATGCTGCGCTCTTCTCGACAAAAGTTCTCGAGAGCTCACTCATTTGTTACGTCATAACATATTTCTTTGTATCCATATGTCATGAAAGGACAAAAGGAGTTTAAATAAATAACAGATTGTTAACAAACGATATATATAACATGAATAAGCGAACACCGAGTTTCATCAGATATTTAGGAGTCTTGAAACTTTTTATCTGAAGAAGAATGATCTCGTTTCTGAGGCCTCGCTCGCGTGCCGAATAAATTGGCTCGCGGGGTTGCCCACCCCTGGTCTATACCAACGGTGGGTAAACCGCGGCTCGCAAGCCGCATGCGGCTCGGCAGAGTTTTTATGCGGCTTTTCTCGTTAGCATATATTTTTTATATTATTTATTATAATATTAGTTCAGACTTTTTTCCAGGGTATGGCCTCATTAGATGGAATGGGCTTGAAAAACTTGCATCTGCCACAAAAAATATATATAAGAAGTCAAATTGTCATTATGTGCGGACGAAGTCCTGTATCTAGTATTCTTAGACCATTAAACACAATTGCATGTCCCAATTCTTAGTCTTACAAAAATACCACCTGTCGTGCATAATCACCAACGCTGATGAGTCTAAAAAAGAAATCTTGCTAATCAACTTTGAGGAAATTTCCTCCACAAAAATCATTAAAGAATGGTTTATTTAGGAGTAATGTTGAAAGACTGATAAAATACAATCTTCGATGTTTCCATATTCAATATACGTATACTGCATTCACGAAAGGGAAAGAATACAATGCTAATTGTACCATTGATAGTTGGAATATTCACTTAATTTACTGACTAGCGTATGGCCGCATGCGTTCGATCAATGGCATCCAGGTAGTTTCAGAACTCTGAGACATCCTCCAATTCTTTTTTGATTGTTTTATAATATGCAGAAGTTGGATAAGGTCCGGGAATATGATTGTAGTTTTAGACTATCCGGTTCTATATGATGTTTAAAAAATACTAAGAGAAAAAAAAATCACATAGAGAAAACGTTTGTGATAGCAACTAACAGGGCTTATAAAAAGAAAGTCTACTAAGTGTGAACTCTGGGAGTGGGGAATAAGTATATCCTCAACATACATAGCCTTGAGCTTATTTCAAATACGAAAATAATGAAAACTCCTCGGTGACATTGCCCTTTGTTCAGTCGATATTGATTCTCCCAGTTTGTGTCCAATCTGGCAATCTTTGTGCCTCTGTTACCGATATGCTCTAGCTTTCTAACATTGTGAGAAGTCGAGCTGAAACGCTGGTGTTGAATACATAGAAACATAGTATATATATATATATATATATATATGGTGTTTCATACCAAGATAAGGAAACCGAAGTGCAAGTGGTAAATCCTATTTCAGCATTTTGATTGTGACAAATTATTAAATTTTGTTAAATACAGAGCTGTTTCGGGTCATATTTCATTAAAATCATGCTGTCAAAAACAAACAAACTCAAATATTTCGGCCAATACCAATATAATACCCGTAATTTTTGGAGATTCAGAATTATTATACGTTTTTAAATTTTTGGTGTATATTCATTTTTTAACTACCAATGCAGCCTAATTGGCAAACAAACAAAAAAGTTTCAATTTCGTACTAACCAAGTTATTTATTGTTATAAAATTTAGTTTATATTTTTATTTACCGACATCACACAGCACTATAATATATTGTATATATTTAGTTGTATTCAGAGTAAAACGTTATTCAAAAGTACCGTTCAGTTGGTTTGACGTAAGTGTTTGTTGATTTTGGGAATTCAATGTGTGACGAGCATTGTTTAACGGTATTGACAAGCTGTAGTGCTACCCTCTCATTTATTTAATTTATGACTATGTTCATAACCACAGTTTGCGTCAAACTTGGTACAAGAGATATTTTTTTTTTATCTATGAAGAATATACTCTGGAACGTCCACCCAGATGTTACTACGTCCCATTCAAGTCAATTCTCGGACCATAACATTTCCCAATTCGTACAACATATGCATATGTTGGAAACTTAGCCGTCATCGACTGTCTGGCAATAAAAGTTGACCTGGATTCAAAGTCAGGTAAGAATATATATATTTCTTTGGGTACTCAATTCATAAAAAGTAGAAGGGGTTGTATGATAGAATTTAAACTTTGTTACATTAAGATATTTTAATTTATATTTTGCAACAAAATCTGTATATATTATTGTTTCCGCCTTTTTGTTCAAAAAATCATTTTTTTTGAAAATAACATGAAGAAGTTTCAAGTCTTGCTCATTTCAAATATCTACTAAAATTCGAATGAAATCAAACTATCAGTTGCTTGCCCATACAATTCAATGTATTTATTTATATCCATGAACGTCAAGATTCAAGAAAAGTAAATCGAACGTTCATCAAATTATACAAACAAAAGCACAATACAAAACCACTGATGAATATTGAAATAATAAACGTACTCATGATGACAAAACCTGATGAAATGCGGTTGGAAGAAGACATCATTCTTTCAAGAGAAGGCCGTTATGAAAATATCGAACAAATCATGATTAATTGTATCTTTCATTCATATGTATATCCCGTTTTTACAGTGATATCATTTTTGCGTTATGCCATAATGGCGATGGCTGCTCGCTGGTAGAAATATCGTTTTTTCCTGGCTTAATTTCGAAGTTTCGAATGCAGAAACTGATTTTCCCGCTGTATATACGGAGTGTCGTAATCCTGTATGAACATATGAACAGTTACTGAAGTGGAATGATCGTCCCACCAAGAGCAGACTCTTCGTGTCATTCACATTTTCCAAATTATAGATTATAAACATTGTTACTACAAATTGTAGTTTATGCTAGCTTCCGAGCAAATAAGCAGTACTGATAAACCAAAACGGAAACTTTTTACAGTCACTTTTCAAATATTACTGATACTGGTTTTATTATATATTTTTGAGGTAAACTCACGAGCGTAAATACGTGATATTTCACAAATTAAAGGATAATACAGTTTTGCGTCGTTGCCAAAAAGTGAAGTCGAATCCGGATGTTTGGAAAGCAAGAGTGGAAACCATTGTGATAAGTTTGAATAATAAAAAGCCTGTTGTACAATGTACGCGATCGACGTGATTTCATTAACAATAGGCGCGCAGAGGTAAAACTCATATAGGCACTCACTCCACAGCCTATAATATAGACAGGACTGTGGTTGTTTCATATGTAATGTGTCAAAATCTTGCCTTACAACACAGGACTTTGACATCGGTGTCGTTTTTACATAAATCATAAACACACTATCATCGTAATTCCGTATTTCTTACAAGAGATTCAAAAATATTTTATATTCGGAGCCCAAGCCTAACATATTTTATGTTAAATTATGTTACGTGAATAGTTTGCGGTGTTAGAACCTCTCGAGGCCGAACTCTAGGGCTCTTGTGTGGGTCAATGAGCTCTGACGAAAAGTTTGCGCCAAACTTCGTGAGATTCAGTTTATATGACAAAGTTTTTATACCACGAGTGTTTTAAAAGTGTGAGGTATTTGTCTGTTTTAGGAGAAACGAGAAGCTACAAAATTCACATTGTGTTTTGCATGGTATGGTTCTAAAATGAATCTTTATTTGCGTCATGATGAAAATAATATATCTTTCAAAATATGTTTCATGCTTGGAACACTAATTCATGCTTTGTGTTATCATTACAGCAGAGTGAAGAACAGGCTGAAATCCGGGTGGGTTGTAATCAATTTTATTTTAAAATTTGTTTTTAGTGTGTATTAATTAGTTCATAAAAGAAGGCAGGTCAGCTAAATAAGATTATTGCAACAGTGTTACAATATTCCATTGTTTAGTCAAGTAAAGTCATGACTCAAGGCTTAGAAATCTTAGGAATCGTGCAAGAACTATCGATATAATATATATATATAATTTATAAATTATCACAGCAAGCGCTCGATGGCAAATATTGCATTTTCTTATGATTCAAGACAGCGAAAATATAAAAGAAATATACATTTAGAAGAAGGCATATTCCTGTATCATGCATAGAGCTGTTTTGTATGATCGAGAAATTGTTACTGTGATGGTGATTACACCAGCATGCGTGAGATGTTTACTAGTGGTGTTTCTAATTATATGTTTGTATAAAGACATTCTCAGATGAGAATAGCTCAGTGATACAGGTTCGAAACAAATCATTCTTTTCAATAAAAGTCTTACTGTGGAGTATTAAGTAGAAATATAAACAATTTATATTGTTTAATTGAATTTAATGAAGAATATAGTTATTCCAGTTAACACTGTCAAAGCCATGATTTGCTTCGGATAATGAAAATTGTTAAAGGCTAGAACAAATATAATAAACAAGCAATTGTCGCGTTGTTTGGGTAGTTATGGCATGAAATACGGAGTATTAAATTTCGAAAGGTTTTTTGATTGTCAAAGGTGTAATGGGTTTGATATGATAATATATATTTTTATTGAAACAGGTTTTCAAGTAACCATGTTTGCGCAAGAAACTGACTATTTGCCTGTCGTCAAGATATATCCAGTCAAGACACACATTGGAATTACTGCTTGCAAACAACAATAATTTAATATGTATTTCACTATTGCGTTGAATTGATGTTTCGTCAATACCAAGCGCCAAGATACATATTTGACGTAACTGAAACGGTTCCTCAAGACATCATGCATGTGTAATCCTTAATTTTTTTACGAAATTTTTCATATTATTTTGAGAATGTTTTTGTTTCAAATTACCGTAAAATGCCGATTATTGTGATCATAAATTTATATATATAGTGTTAGCTTAACTACAAACGTAGCCTGACGATGGTTTTTGTTTGCGATGTTAGATTTATTAGACGCTAACGGCTACTACATTTGCCAAATCATGGCGGTGATGATCGCAATATGTGTTGAAAGTCTGGATTTATCTACTGTAATTTATTTAAGATTGCTTTTTAATAAGCATTGTAGTATTTTTAAGGTAGGTTGATTAAAATTAGAATATGTCCGAAATGTACTTTACTACGACTTTACCAATTCAATTTTCAAATCGAATTTTAATATGGGGTTCACGAACTATCTCAGGATGAATTACAAAAGTTGTTATTGTATGCCAATATATAGCGACTGAGGTTGCTTGGGATGCTATATACAAAACGTGGGTGAGTTTTGTAGTTTATAAAAAAAAACGAAATTTAAGGTTAAAGTTTCCAGAATGCCGACCGTTGATGCCATTTTTATAAGTGCAAATATAAATTATGCATTTTGATATTTTGTACTGGAAGGTATTTTATAATTAATACTTATACACGTAAGTACCGTCGAATATAGTCGATTGTTATTCTCGATTCCGGCCAAAATCCAATAAAAAATATTGAATTACTGATGGAATTATAAAATTGCGCCACAAATGTTCTTATTGGTAAGAATATTCATCTCTTTTCAAAATTATACGGTTTCCGTAGATTTTCCAAGAATAGCTTCGATTTGATATACAGTGACTTACTTTACGATGTTTTGATAAGCGAATTGTATTGTAGTAATGTCGAATTAAAAAAATAACATAAACATTCCATAAGTAAATATTATGGTGAGATACTGAAACCTCTGGGTTGGCCATGTTCTAATATAGAAATAGTATATGTATGTTCAATATTGGAAAATTATAAATGGAGGTTAATTTGATAGGCTTGCCGTGCATAGAATGCTAGCGTTTGCGACAGCTTATCCTGTTTTCTGTTTCATACAGCGCACGTCTTCACGCTTACTTGAATTGCGTGACCATATATTATTATACCAGATTAGAGTTTTGACAGCCCCTATTTTGGACCAACTAGTAGCTTATTATGTGATATTTCAATATTTCCATTGAGTAGCTTTTGCTTTTCAGTAAGGTATAAAATGTGTTAGTTACTTTGACGTATATCATAATTTTATCTGTTCGCAGTATCAAAGGGAATGAGATGACCAGAGCAGTTTCAAATTATACAGAATAACCTTGTTAAAACGATATTTATTAACGGTAATGATAGCTTTGTTGGTGCTTCTGTTATTCTCTGAGAATCTCAGAATCTTATCTTTTTAGATGTGTAAGATATTGAGACTGGAAATTTCATAATAATTTATTTACAAATAGTTTACTAGTTGAATTATAAGCGGCAAGGTTTTGTTTACCTTGCCAACCGCGCGTAACAAAGACGGTTGGATCAAATGCTTTAATCTCAAGACAACCAAATCTTGGAATTGTTTTTGAACAAAACAAACTATAAAAAATAAAGAGCAAAGTGATTTAATCGTGGTATTATTATATATCTGGTTTTTCACATAGTAATAAACCGTACACTCTACATATAAGATCTTTCCAAACATCGTTGCATATATATTATTCACCTTGTTGAATAAGTCTCAGGAATATTGAACTATTGCGAATAGTTCACAAATATTTGTCTCCAATATGACTTCCATACCCCGCTATTTTCTTACAGTTAGATTTGCACCTTTGACATATTATTTCAGAAGCAAATCCTACTTTAAGAAAGCAATAGACTAATGGATTTTTAGTTTATTTGTATATTCCTTTTAGGAATTACCGTAAATGTGACTTGCAATGCTAATTAACAATCACTTCAACGCTTTGTTATAATCCAATCATAGTTCGCTGGGAAGGTCGTTGAAAATATATTTGCAATTTTTTTGTATTTCCAATCAAAATTATTCATTTACTATTTTTCTCTTGTAGGAAGAGCTTTCACTGTATGTTCAGTTGCACAAAATTTGAGTTTAAAATTTCATCTTAAAAATTTCAAAGTCCTCGGTCTTTGTCTTACGGAGTCGTACCTTTTTGCTCACAATTAAAAGCAAATTATCTAAGGTTGTATTTGAAGAATAACAGCCAAACATAAAAAAATTTTCCTCTTTAAGAGATACCAAGTATTTCGCTGAGTCGGATCTACGATGTTCAGTTGTATCGTATTTTTGGAGCTTGGGCAAAATATTGGTGTGCTCATATTGAATTTATCTTAGCTATATTCTATCTCTGTTGTGTCAGAAAAATTAGAAATTTATTAGGACGGTATCAAAATGAAGGTCACATTGCACTGTATTATTATTAGCTCGGACTTATGGAGTTACTTTTGACTGCCACTTTTTGGTACTGTATATCTTAGAGTTAATTTATTCTAAAATACCAACGGTTCGAACCAATTTTCAAATTTGAGAACATCTGCGCAGAAACTGTTTTAGTGTTATTCAATGGTCTATTTTCCTCTAATGTAAAGGTTAATATTCCTACATATTTTTCCGTTTGAAATAGTTACTTACCTACACTTTGTGATGTTGCCGACTTTCAAAAGTGCGAAAAACTTCAAATATTTGCTCGTCGAGATTTTAGGATTCGTTGTTCAAGCAAATATTATATAGCTATTCAATTATAAAGTATCATTTTGAACGAAAATGTGTTTTTCAAAAACGATTTAATTATACAGAGCAATTTTGAAAACCCACAAGAGAACAGAGAGTACAAACTGTTATCAGAGTAAAACTAAAAAATATATATTGCAATGGCAGGTTAATCCGTAATTTTGAGTATTTACTATTCTATGAAAAGTACATAGAAATCTCTTGTAAAGTCAACTACTTTTCTCAAAGCATGAATGAATTTAAAAATCGTTAACATCGTAATACTGATTTAAACGAGAGTAAAAGCTGGTTCTGCTAAAATAACATTCCGTTGAAAGACCGAAGAATAAAAGCTGTTAACCGGTTAAAACGGTTCGCACTGATTTTCGTGGAAACCACATGTGGAAATATTCAGGAGGATCAATGTGATATTTTTTGCCTTATAATAAATTTTTTTTTTATAAAGTTTAGTATGTGTGAGTTATTTTATGAACAACGAGATATAGACACCGCAATATCGTATTTAAGGCAAGTTTTATTTTGTAACAAACTTAAAAGTATAGACGCTAGAAAAATATACCGAATATATTGCGCGAATCATTCAACATCATGTTCAGTAAAAAATGTTTGCTATGCAAAGGTAGATCTATAGAGTTTTAACATATGAAGAAGAGTACTATCATACCGAGGTTTATTTTGATTTGATTGGTAAATGTAAAGAAAGGTGACTGAACAAAGTGTTTTTTTCGTAAAAAGACACGCAATCGAACAGAGAGCAAATGCCTATTTGTAGTATGGCAGATTTATATATAATTGTGTGACGGATTGATGTCGGCGAAAACGCATTCGAATAGAATACTGGAATAATTTTTAAGAGTTTTTAGAGAAGAAAATGTTCAACTTATTAATCTGTTGTCACCAACGAATATTTTTGCCGGGCTTATTCCACTCTCTATCGATCAATGTCGGGTGCGGTCCGAATTGCGTCACAAACTGTTGTGTTTTCATTTAAAATATCGATTCATGAGCCTGGCATTGTTAGAGCCAACTGCCTGTCCAAGCTACTTCCTTAAAATATGGACCTTTCCTTTTTAATATAATAGAATCTCTTATTTGTATAACGACAATAGTGGAAAAGGCTCTTCTTTGTTGAATACCACAAACGCTCACGCTTTGTTTTCGGATAAAATCGAATTTATTTAACAATGGAAAACGCTTACAGATAACATTTAACCGACCATGAAAGCGTTATCTTTAATTTACGAGTCTCACCCAGCGTTATTTTCTTTGTTGAAAATTTTTCCGATTATTGATTCCCTGTTATAAAAGTAAATATTTAAAGACGTACTTTCAAAGTGTTACAACCTCACGTCAAACAAAAGTTACTCGAGGTTTTTTACCGCCTCACACTTCATGACGTAAATGACGCATAAAATTTTTTGATTCATAATGCATGAAAAGTTATCAAATGAAATATTCTGAATTTTTTAAAATTCTAGTTAAAAGTAAGTATATGAAAATATGAACGATAATGTGTGGTTCTGTAACGGACTTTATGATGTGTTTAATCAATATTTTTCCGATCACAGAAGGGTTTAATGGATCGTACCAACACACAACCAATATTTTCATATTTCAAACTATTACCGAGTAAAAAGGATTCTGCTAAGTAAAATTGTTATTTTCCCAAATATTCAATTGCAAGTAAACTATCAAACATGAACCCAAACGAAATCATCTGACAACGATCGACAAAAATTCTTTCGATACAATTAGTTGTTACTTTTTGAATTCAGCTAAGAATAAAACAAAATGTCTAAGAGAAACATGATAATTATGATCAGGATACCAGATTGAATCTTATCATGGAAAGTTCAACTTCACTGCCGTCATCCCCTGCATTCAACAGGCCCATGAAAAGACCATCATTTATAAAACATCTGCCTCCACTCGATTCACCACAGGTATATATATACATACATATTCTGTAGCCAGTACATATTCTCCCCATGATAAAAGAAGTGGTTCTGATACACGACACAAATAAGCCTATTCAACCAACTATTTAAAGCAGTTATTTTTATATTATTTATCGTTATTTCTTCCCATATTGCCATACAATCGACCATGTCAGGTTGTACGTTAGTCACTATTTTTGTTGCAATTGTTTATTCAAGCATAACTACGATGAAAGTTGACGCTATTAAATTCCTTTCGTTATTTGTAGCCTGCTTTCAGCGATCGACCTAAGATACTGCAAACCGGTACAAGAACAACTGCCGCTCCAGTGAAAGAAGAAAAGCATTTCCGTCATGTCAGGTACTATTAGTAAATAAATTATAGAATAAATGTTTTGCTTTTGAGCAAATTCTAAATTTACTGATATAAAAATTTGTAATTTTTGAGATAAATTGGTATTCTTGTTCATGTAATACAGACGTGCGTATGTGGAAATACAATTTAAATACTACATTGATTTTGAATTTTACCTCATTGAAAAAAGTGGTGATGAATATTCGATTCCAAACATCGTTTTCAACAAAGTAGAAAATGAAGACGTACTCCTCAATGAAAACTTGCTAATTGAATTAAATAGGCAATAAAAATTTGATTGAATATGTTTGTTTGTCTGATTTAAAACTTCTTATTTAAATTCGTTGTTCTGTAGATATATATCAACGCCGTGTGATTTGTTACTTTAGTGATTCCATTGCAAACAACTACAGTCCTACTGCCCGGGATCTAACAACTTCATTGATCTACGATCGACTGAAATTGGGTGAGACATATTTTGACACAATTATCATAGAGCGGATAGAAAAGCACCAAGCAGAAATATTGAACATCCACAAATCAGTGACTAGAAAAACACTAAATATCGAAATATTTGTAAGCAATCTTTCGTTATACTACCTTGGCAGATATTCTTGAGAGGTGTCAGTAGGTTTCCAAATTTCAGTTATATATATTTATTATCCATCTAAGGCTAAGCTATAGGTCACTGGGTTACTATAAAAATTAATCAAATCGTAATTCCCCGTAAATGCGGCGACTTACGACATAAATCACGGACGGGCTGTTTTTCCATAACAGAGTTCAAATATTGAAATGTTCTGTTTTCTTACGATTGTCGACAATGTCAGCAAACAGACGTTTCAAAGAGGAGTGAAAATCTGTACTTGAGTAGTCGAGTCAACAGAGAATAAGTTTGAAAACTTATTTGGAAAACACTTCATTACAAGAATTGAATTAGTAAAATTTAATGTGATGTTCGAACACGATATTCGAATTTTATTCATACTTATGAACATTCCCACGAAATAACTAATACAAATAGTGCCTGATAATTTTGTCGAGACACAACCTGCATAAGAACCAGTATGTGACATTTCAAGTGAGAATCTTCCATAACAATATTTGTTGGGTTATATAAAATAAATAAAGTTCGCTGGGCTTACACATTATTGAAACTACACTTCAAAATACGTGTACGTATATATGATACCTGACCGAAAACTAAAAAAACGTATAGAGGTTCGGGTTTGGTGTAATTTTATATATCTTAGTAGGCCTAGGTTGTAGTGTACGAACATAATGGTGACTAGACGTATGCAGAAGTTTATGTGCTCTGATGTAGACTGCTGAAGCCACACCTACATGTATATGCTGGACAAACAACAATTGAGACAATATATGAGACCTTGAGCTATTTCATTTTTGCAGAACCAGAGCAACAATTACGTGAGTACGAAAAGCAACACCCAGCATCCAAGAGGTCGTTTGTCGATGTAAATTTACAAGAGGGACCTGGAAAAAATACAAAAAATAATCGGCAAATTTCAAACGGGTGAGCTTTGTGAATAAGTCGTATTAATTGCAGTCATCCCCGTGCCTATTTATTGGTTGTTTAGTTTTTGCGACATTGTTCTGTTACCATCCTCTTGATCCTTTTTGCGACATTTAAAATTGTTCATTTTCACGTCCTGCTCTGATAGTTGTTTTGCAAATTTTGCAGTTTTCTTCCTTTGAAATTTCTATTTGCCAAGTTAGCTCGAAACAACTAGCGGATCCGACCGAACGCCGAAAAACATGTGTGTTTCATGAGTCTTGAGGGTATAAAAAGCGTTTCAAGCTACGGAAAATTGCTATTTACGCGGGGGTCGACCCCCAAAACCACCCCTGACGACACCAAGACCACAGCCCGCCATATATTATAAATTCGACAGCCGCCGGTTGTGCGCACCACTGATATCTATAGGATATATCGTTTTTAACGCAATCAATCATACAATATAAAATAAATCGTAGCGCTATTCAAACATTCAAAATGACATCAGGCATTTGACCTTGTATGACAAGACGAAACTTAAAAAACGATGCCTGTGACATAACAATGTCAGTGAAAGTCAAATCCATTATTGTGGGATTAATAAAGCGATTTCGACAATCGCATCGCTTTTTGAAATTGCTTTTGACGTTGGCCTACGATTACTTTGCGCCGACCGTTAGACTAATTACTGTATTCTATCATTGCTGGAAGATAGTAGTTATAAACTATTATCTGCATTGAATTGTGATGACTGTTATTGTATGACGATTGAAATCGTCGAAACTCGAAACGTACATTAATTTACTTATGATTTTTTTAACGTCTCCTAAGATTTTATTATATATTATATGTATCATACACCAGAACGTACTACGTGTACAAGATTAGGGTTAGGTCAAAATTTCAGGTACAAATATTACGGGAATCACTTGGCTAGTCCCCGAACTCGTAATAAAACTAAAATGCGGAAGATTGGAATCAAATTATGGCCTAACCATAATTTGCTACACATACTACGTTCCGGTGTCCGTCATCTTCGTTCACATACTTCGGGAATACCGTTTTATTTAGCCCTTTAACCACTGAGTAACACAATTATATACATATTTTTCGTGGATGTTGTATGGCATTTCATTGGACGTCATCATCATTTATTAACGTTCATTCGTGTGTGTTATGTCTCTACGAAAAACTTTCACAGAATATTTACGTCTCCAACCCCTGCGAAGAAGCAACTTTTGCGTCATCGATCAGCATACGTTCCCAGCCACGTTGCCACTCATGGTTCAGTTGCAACGTACGACCTTCAAGGTCATCCGAACCGTATTCAGTATGAAAGAGCGTTTTCGCCAAGTAGCCAAATCCATCTGCGATCACCATATTTTCCAGGTATTTCGGATGATTGAATAATATGTTTCCTGCATTTGGCTTGGCAAGTGTATTTTTTTGTTCTGACGTTCATAATTCTTAGCCAATTTTTGAACTTGAACTTTTGAGTGCTCTCACAACCCTAATTATTGCTATATATAACAACATAAAGTGAAATATTGTACCAAACTCTCAAAGAATGACTCAAAGAATTTTCGATGTTCCTGATATTTGCATAACCGAGTACTGTTTTGACGTGAGTGAAACTGCCGACGTTCATATCAATTTATCATTCCATTCACTATTGTTTGACCGAAACCTTTCAAGTATCTCCTATATGTCTACAAACAAACTTTATGAGCAGGAGCACCAAATAAAGGCTATGTGATATACTTTATATAGTAGTGCAATTCAAAAATATTATCTGCGATTTGTTATTTGCAGTAATAAGCCATATTTTCATTGTAACGAAGAACTATAAACATTAACAGCTAAATTACTAAAAATTAACATTTGATCATTAATTTGACTTATTTTAAGTATATATGTTAATTTTATATAAATATCACATTTGAATAAAACGGGATGACTAAATATAATAATGAAGATGATAATTGATTTAGAATCTGGAAAACCCAGTAAAATGTTGCATTTTGATCTGGATGGCAATGACAGAAATAAAACAAACCATAATACCAAACAAGATTGGGATGGTAAACTTTCAACGTTCTCAGAGGTAGGTGAGACATTAACTATGAACTGGATAATAAATTGTTAAAACAAAAGGAAAATGTTGAATGTGAATTATAGGTTATTTTGCAATTTTTAAATATTAAAAAACTTCCTCCGAGCAACCAATGTTAACGGCATTCAAAAATAATAAATTAGTGAATAAGTAAATTCAAATTATATTTCATGCAATATAACATTTCTGCATTTTATAAAAGGATTATGATGGACAATCTTGGAGTCATGATATTCTCCCAGATGTGCGAGAAGGATCTCGAACTGCAATGTACCATGCTGGAAAAAATTATGTCCGCTCTGGATCAGCTCATCCGCGAGGTGTCACGTCAGCGCTAGATTCTACGACGTCAATTTCAACTTTGGAAGAGAGATTTTTCTCCCTTTCTCCGAGCGCAAAACGAGAAAGAACCCGTTTTCGTTCAGGTGAGAATAACATTGCAAGAAAAACTTCACCAATAGAGAGATTAAGCGTCCTTATGATTAGCCACAGACTTTTTACATATACAGTATACATATGCACTTTTACATCCACGCTATTGCAACATTGTATAATTGTTACAGGCCGATCGTCCGTTATGAATTTGCGAGATATATCACCAATTGATTTAGCAGAACATACGAGAGGACCGCATCGTTCTCACTACAAAAATCGTAAAATATCTGCGTCAGCCTCAAATTCTCCCTATTTGCAAAATGGCCATACCTCTCCGGCCTCGACACGAAGAAAGAAAGGTAAATAAGATAAAATTCTAAAGACTTTTACTACTTGTAAGAAGTCACAATAAGATGATCAATATGATAGATCATATATAAATAGTGGTCGAGGAAGTTTCATGAAACTAGCCAAAACTACTAAATATTTATTGGCGTAAAGTTATGTATTCTTATGCGCAAATGGCTTTAGGTAGTAGATTCGCATATTATTTGAAAATATATTAGTTCTGATTTGCATGTATTTCCCACTAAAGCGTTGATAAAATCCAAACTTAACTGGTATTATATTATGCAAGGTGACTTGAACGGACAGACCACAACCACAAGTGGCGTTATGACGCAGGAAGATAGAGATATTTCAAGTGCAAGTGATATTTATTGTACCGATGAATCATTTTCAACGCATAGTCTGGACAAAAATGAAACCGAACTTGAAGACTGTGACGGTCGGTAAGAAAATTTTTGTCCGGAAGGGCGCTTTTCTAGTAAAAAAACATCATGAAATGCATTGCAAACTCAAAATTAAATCATATTTTGCCGCAAATATACACACGCATATATCTGTTATAAAGCGTCACAGAAGCTACTTATAGCGTCAAACAAACAATCGAGCACATTGGAACACAGGAGTATAGCAATCAGTAAGAATACACGTTTGGATTAAATATTTCTTTTTCTTAGATGTTGAATAATACATAAATAAACGCAGTGAAACGCATATATAATTATAAAAGCGCATTTTTGTTACTTTCAATGTTTCAGGCAAATATTTGAAATGAACGTTTCTAAGAATACCTAATTATGCAGTAAAATAGGGTTTTTAAGATAAATAAACGTGTGAAAGTAGGTCGATCTATTTTAATCAATTTTCCCATTACACGAATGTATATATATCAAGATATATATTGACGCAATAGGCGGAGCTAAAATGATCTCGTTCAGAACAAAATATAATCAATTCAAAAGTGTGCCCTTCAGTAGTGCGTGAGACTGGAATGAAAGCATTAATAATTCAGCAACTCAGAATGCTATGCGTCAAACACCGCAAAAGTCACGTTAAAATAAAATTTGGGCAACGTCAAATGTTGCGTTACCAAACTTAAGTTGAAGGGTGCAAAAATAAGACAAATCCAGATTCGGGATTTCTTGAATAGTTGTAATTTTATCGGTAAGAAATTATTATTTCTTTCAATTTTTGCAAATCAGTGCTCATAAGTATATGTTATTTTTGGTTTAACTTGTTGATCGTATTCGGGAAGATTTATTCTAATATAAGTTCAAGAGAAACAATATTTTCTCTTTATGTAAATTTGGTGGACCGTAAGATGTTGCCATGATTTAATGATACCACAGGTCCAATCATAAAAATTGAGAGTAAATCATGTTGTCCAATTTGCCGAGGTGTTATAACGTGGCTGGTATCTAACGAACTAAAATACATGTTTACTCAGCTCCGCGTTTCCATCAAATATCTGTAAAACGAGCAGTATGACAATCTGCGATATTTTGCTGAAACTGGTAATGATTCCTAGCAATAATGATCGTTTTTTTTCTAAACTCATTCTAATTTTCAATTTATTTTCCTAGCGCTGTTTACTGTTGTGTCATTGCTTAATGCTGCACGCGAGTTATGCGTCGGCGACTGCGTGAATTCACATGGGTTTTATCAATTTCACGATAAAAGCACATTTTATGAAAATTCACCTTGAACTTACGGTTTTATGAAAACGATTAACTTTTGAATATGGAAGATATACATGCTCACGGTTTGCTAACTGTATATAAATAAAACTCTTTATGGCTGTAGCTAGTTTTCAGTTTCTCCTAAAATCTTTTTATACTTTAGGAGTAGTTGTAAGCGATTTGTTTCAAAAATCGTTTTTTTTTTTTGTAAATCGAATGTGCCCATTTCAGATTGATACTTTTACGTAAGCCTCAATACTGACTCACCCCTATTAGCTTAACTTTTTTCTCAACCGTCCAGAGCCCATGATGAGGCGACGCAAGCTGCGTTAGACGTAGTGTTCCCACCATATACGCATTCGACGCAAGGACTATCCAGACCAAGCACGCCGGAAGAAAAAGAACTGCCAATGTAAGAACTAAAATAGGTCAATTTGATTTGATGTTTGTATAAATGTAATTGGGAGATAAAATTATATATATATATATTGCTCCAGCGTCATAAAAATAAAATTAGAATTAATGACTTTGCCATAGTCTTGATCAAGTTGTGTGCAATCTACTGATGATGTTATGACAAAAGTGTTGCCAATTTCCTCAAATTTTTATACTCAGGTATTACAAGTTCATGAAGAATTCGATAGATAGTGGAATGATTGCTCATTTATCCACTGAATGGAAACAAAAAATACAAAACAAAGTATATCCAAAATTGATCGAAAACTGGCCAGAAGTTTATGCTGATATCACACAGGTTAGAAAAGATCTTCGGGATAAGTTCACTCGTTAATATACAGTTTATTGTTTATTAAATTAGTTGTGTCAATACTTGAAATAACCATATTATATGTACAGATACAAAACAAATGATGAAAATGCTGTAGCTATTTGAAAGCATGTCAGACCGTTTTTCTTGAAACCTTATTTGTCTGATATGAAATTGGAATGTATTGCAAATGATTTATATGAATATATACGGTTTAGTATTCAAATATCGGATGCATGTATGACAATTTTATTCTGTTATAAGGAAATTGGCGATATATTCAGAGAAAGTCAGAAGAAAGCAGTTTTGGACTATATATTACTTGATCCTAATGAACAAATCCGGCTCGGTATTTTATTGCAACCAAAGGTGCGTTATAATTTAATATTTCAACTTTTCGTTTATTTTTGCTTGGATGTGAACTAAGATTTGGAGAAAATAATAACAAAGATATTTTGTGCCATATTAACCATGCACAATTAAAATGCTAAACTTTGTTTTGTTGTATATTCAGTCATCAAGTTCAGCTGGGAGGGTGAGATACCCTTGGTACGAATCGCTGCGACAAGCTAAGCAGAACATGATAGCTTTTTTGCATATAAACCACCCAGTGTGTGCCGCCATTTTGACGAATTGGCACGACAGGTACTGTATATATTTGTTGCATTCGTAGAGTTTTTGAATAATTTTCATGAGTAGTAAATAACAGTTTGGTTAGATCTAACTGTTTATAGTCTTATAAACCGCAGTTTTATTATCTGGCTGTTGTTTTTTCACAATAAAAATATCATTTCATATGTAGCCTATGTATTGTATCAGAACGATTGCTGTTATATCTAGGCCACAACAAGGCAACTTTTTTTCGAGTTGCACATCTAAAAATATTAGAATGCTAGATACATCTGCTTCTGCTTGTTAGAGTTGAAAATATCACAACAATGGATGAAAGATAATAATTGTTTACGCTGTCATAAATATACAGCTTTTACAATCAATCGAAAAAACAAATATTTCCAATAATTTGTTTTTTTATTTTTTAGTTTCTGTTCAAAAATCAACGATTAGTTGTGAATCATGAGTTTAAATTAATATATTGATATGATTTCCGGCATATTTGGGTTTGGAACAGCATATTATATGAATGCGTTTGAATTGTGAATAACCAAAATATTCTCATACTACAAGATATGCCTCGAGAATTTAAAATTAAATAAATTAATAATATTTTGAATTTATTTGTGTCTCTATCATGCTTTGGTTACTTTTTTTAACTGGAAATTCAGAAGGTTGAGTTGTCATAAAATGTAAAGTATTTTTTATGATATTGCCCATCAAAGTTAAATGGTGTATTGCTTTTCTTTCTAATATGTGCTTCGTGTGTGTGTCCTTGAATATTACGTAAAACCTGAAATAGTTTGTCTATCAGTTAGTTAATGTATTTGAATATTGGTTCGTAGTTTTGCAACTTCTTTCCGCAATCGAACGTAAAAAAAAAACGCTCACGTCGAGTTATTTGAGTATTCTGTATAATTGATAACGATGTTTACTGGGAGTTTTCATCGCCGAATTTTTCTTCTTCGGTTTGCACAATTGGAAAATTGTGTTTGAAACAATTTTTCTGACAATATGAACTCATAAACTGACGCAATTCAAAATCAGTAGCTACATATGTACAAAGATACTTAACGAGTGAAATGTAAGTAAATCTCGAGTGGTGCAACCCTTTGGTACATTGGTTACGCCGTTACACCAATCAATCATTTGTAAAAAATATTTGAAAATGACAGGTTATCAAATCTGTCATGAATCTTATGATATATAACATTAACCATTATCAATTTCTGCAATGTTTTACTGAGATGTGAGACCACTGTGTAATAAAATAGATTTAAGTATCGCATGCAAGTATCATTTGATGGCATGCAGAAATTTCAAATTCTTTTTCATAATATTTAGCGAACTCTTAAGTCGGCGAAACCTAAATCAAGGAGCATGAACTTTAAACGAATTCCCGTAAAAAAGTAAATTAGGAGCACACGGCTAAAGTAATAATTCCAAAGCACGTGATATCTCAAGATATACGGCGAGAGCATCATTTGTTGACGCATGTCACTCGTTTCTTAAATGTCAAGCCTCAAATACTACACTTTAGGAAATATCATATTCAAAAATAGCTCTAAAAATCAATAAGTGTATCAAAATACTTTAAATTTGAATATGACCAATTTGGAATATTTCGCCGCTGGTTAAATTGGGCACGGTAATTAGCCACGGTGAGCGGATAAATTTAAATAAAGTTTTACTTACTGAATTTTAGTGCAATTATATTGTAATTATCGAATAATATAAGCCCAATCCACTTTTTGATAATTATTGCTATTCACGAGGGAATAAATCCAGAATGTTGAAACTCGCGAGCTGGTAAACGACAGAAAACGGTTTGAATGCACAAAGGCAAAGGGGGTCATAATTAACTTCAATATTGTGAAGAACAGACGCATGTTTCATGTTTCGTTATCAAAACAAGTGTTGAAAGCATATATATCTTTAATAACGAGCCCAATATCTCTGGCAATTACGTTAGGTTTGTTAGCACAAACTGATATCTGTTAACATTGGAGCTGAGCTATTGCTTTATATTATGATTTTGGATAGCATTGTCTTCCCGAATGGTCCTCGTTTATTTGCAGCCGACTTTTATTATGAGGAGTTTGACCACATCGAATTAATTAGTCAGTAAAAATTACATCAATCGCACGTGCTTTTACAATGTATGCATTGTACATAATGATAGTGTGTATTGTGAATAATAGAATGCTGGCATGCACCTGACATAAAACAGATACCCTTGGGCCGGGATTACGAAGAATCTTTGATATTACTTACATCACCCCAATTTGCATACTGAGATCGATTTCACTTGCGATTTGGTCAGGTCACCTATAAATAATACAAGAAACGCGATAGTGATTTTTTTCCAAAATTTATATAAAATAACCTTGTTAGGGCCAATCAGTCACCGCTTACTTGTATCTAAATTTTCTAATAACTATAAAATCTAGATATCGTACCTTTCGTCTCATTGACATTCCGAAGATCTATGAAATGATGCCTCTTGATCTTGAAAATCTCGTAGAAGAAGTAACAAGATCGAGCATTATGGGATCGCAGTATCTTGCACAACAGTGGGTGACGGAGTGTTCAAACATTGCCGAACAATACAAAGCTGAGATTGAAGAAATATCGGACAAACAGTCCGAGGAGGTAATAACTTTAAACATAATTATTCTAACGCTGACATGGGCAAACTACGTTGGGTACTTCAATCTGGCCCGTCTGATGCTGCCACAACCAAACTGAAACCAAATTTTTTGTTTTAGCTAAAAATAGAGTGAGGAATTTTGTAGAGAATGCGATTAAATTTAGTTTTGGCACAAGGCTTATTGTTTCCCACTTTTGCTTTTGTAACACTGTAAATATTATTCATGAAATGTAACTTTTTACGTCACACTTTAGGTGGGCCAAATTTTTGGCCCCTGGTCCAAACACCTTGCCCACCCCTGTTCTAACGTATTTCGGTCTACAGCACCACTTCATAAGAACTGTCTGTATTTTATTAAAGCTTCGGTAAAGAACGAATAGACGTTTTTATTTTCAAGAATTTCCATTTGTTTTATTGCAGATATCACGATCAGACGCATTGAATCGTTTTTTTAATTGTGTTGGATGCCTGATGTCGAATCTCCTACGGGAAGCAGTAAAAATATCAATCCATGACTTTGTCTACCTTATGGAAATATACTCGTGAGTGAAATCTCATTTTGCTTGGTTATTGGACTGATTTTAGTGAATTAGAATTTATTACGCCTACGTTAATTGCTGATAACTTATGTTATGTCCCGAACCATCATACACAACATCGTATCATGCAGGCATTCTTAGTAAACCAGATATGTCTGCCCCAATTTCCTAATTAGAATTGGATTAAATAGTAGTATAGACAGAATTTTTTGCAAAAATTCGAATTTAGCAATGTTGCGATATAATGTGCATGATTATTTGACTAGCACGGAGCAGCATTCCCTGGCGAATTTTTGAATATTTCGAAAAATAACTGTCGAAGTCTTTCATTTGGAACGCTTCGTATGCTACAGATACCGTAATAACAACAAAGAAATTCTAACAAAATAGTACGTTTTATTCAAAGCGCCGGGAACAGATATGAATCGTCATATGCCGCAAGTGGACTAGAATATCCAACTAAACCAAGACCTCTCAGAATATATATGGTAAGACTGCATGCTTGTCGTTTAAATTCAAACACATCCGTGTAATTTAGTCAGGTTGTTTCAGCAAGTTATGACTAAATAATCAATTTGTTGAATATCATATCTGCTGAAAAGAACGAAGTTAGATAGTGATTAGACCAAAATACTATATATACTTAAAAAAATCTTGACACCTAATAAAAAAAACTGGAAGACGTTGATGAGCAAAATTATTTTGCTCTTTGTTGTTTCTTAATTCATGTTTCAGGTTTCTCCTAGAAGTATTTTATCCAAACATATCGATTTTCATAGACAATATATTTATCCGGAGGCAGATTTTGAGAACAATATGCGATTCACAACAGACATTTTCATTTATTTTCTGTCTATGGTACAAACGAATGTTGTAAATATTCATTGACAGGTGCCGGATACAAAAGGTGTCGTCACTACTTTTTCACCAGATTTCAATGGAATTATTGCACATCTTCACGAGGCAGTAGATATTATCGTGGAGGTTTGTAGTTCTTTTGATGTTTTCTACGGGTTTGTTTAGTTTTATTTTTGATGAATCTGCGCTAATGTAGAACTTCCAGATTGTTATATTTAACATTAAATTCCATCAAAGCTTCAGTTATTAATGAACGTAGGATAGAGGCATAATTTAGTACCCCTTTTTCTTTTGTATATAAATAAAACTCTGGAATTTTAAAATATGGAGATTTATGTGTATATGTCTCAAAGCAATTACAGATTTTCCAAAATTGCATTTTTATTCATCTGGAAATACTATTATTCATCATTATAAACTCATAATCTCCTTAAAACAAAATCGTCAATCGTATCGTTTGAAATATCGGAAACGACGGTACTGTTGTTTCATAAATATATATTACTTAGAACATTTTGAATCGTCTCTTTTATAGAGTGTTCAAAAGCTTCTTCGAATCGAACACAAACTATTTCAAGCGGTTGACGGAAATCCAGAAACATATCTTTCAACTGTTAAAGTGGATGATGAAATTGTTATTGCTGCCAAGCAACGAATTAGCGCTGTAGTTCTCAACAATAGCCATGGTCCAACACGGTAGGTCGCGATGTCATGGAAAAATAAACAAATGGACATTTTATTGTCACGCAAGTTTGCTTGACGCGAGCAAAAATAACAAATACTGGACAAAGAAATTAAAAATTGACCAACGGATACAGTATGAGATTTTAGGCCTTATTGACATATCTCTTTGATTAAACATTTTTACAAATGGCTGGCGACTCGGGTACTGTATGTATTTGATCGGATATGTTATATTCATTTATACCAATTAGATAGCCGCCTACTTGCGTAAATGTATTCAGTCTATCTTGAATTGATTTTCATCATTATTTTCAGATATCGAACTACATATGAACCTATTTATCACTACTTGCTCAATGAAAACACGGATAAGAAAGTAAAAAATTTCCTTGGTAAGGAGCCCACTTTACGATCGTATAGAAAGGAGCTTGAAAAACTACTCAGCATGTCAAGAAGTATTAGTGTGTTACCGGTCTACATACCTATGAATCTTTTTCTCATCGATTGCGTTGGATTAAACCAGGTAACAGTAGTGAAAATATTACATTCGATTAAAATTATTCTTTCAGCTCTTGAATTGTTGTCAGTCCTCAAATTTATGTTCGTCGAATTCATATATCTCCATAATTGAACAGTTCCAAAAGATAGAGATTAAAAATGTATCAACGAAATAGTATAATCATAATACATACCATTTGAGCAATCATAATTTTTTTCGATTGTTTAAAAATTCGTCTCATCATCGAAATATTGCAGCTGTGTTATTTATTGGGAGTTAACAAATGTAAAAATAGTTCTCAGCAGCAGAAATTTCATGGTTTTCTACATAATTCGATTTTGGCGTTTAATTTCAAGAGGAAAATTAGTGTGATAACGAATAACCTCATTCGATAATTGTTATATCACACCACAGAGGTGTTCTATAAACTTTGATACGTTTCTACACTGTCTTATATTATAAAAAGATATCTATATGTTTCTAACATTTTTAGTGGCTTTCGGATCGGTCGGCTATGTTGCATAAATTGATGGTAGATCACGTCGAAGGAATATCCCGATTTTACAACAGAGAAATATGCACAGAATATGACCAAATTGTAGGGAAAATAACATCTCATGTTGAATTGTAAGTTTTAGATAGTATTACATGAATAGTAGAAAGAAGTTAATCGCTCATATATTTGATCGATGAATTCTTGATAATTTTCTATTTCAGTAATCAACATGTCGAAATAAAATGAAAATTATTTTTTTATAGCATAATTTATAGAGATCTTACGCATCAGGTTTAGAATGCAGAATAAACAAATAAAGTTATGAATCATTATTCAGAAGCTGCTCAACAAACACACGCAGCCAATCCAAACAGTATATTAGAAAATTTATCAAACAAAATATCAATGGTAGTACGACCTAAAAATTCTACACAACGATAACTAATAAGCATATTATGGTATCACGGATAAAAAAAAGTCTGAAATTACCATCGGCGTTATTGTTAATGTTATACGCGCGGTATTGTACTAACGTTTATTTAAGATGTATATTTTAAACTACAATAGAAAAAGTGACAGAAAAATTAACAGGAAAATCTCTTGTTTTGCAGAACTTCTGATCTAGTAGAGTTGCAAGAATATTTAGAAGGTCTGCCTTCAGGACAACTTTTGAAACTTCGTGATATGTTAGAACTTGCCGCCAAGAACTTGATGTTTTTGATGGAATATTCTGATTTATCGCACAGTGATGTTTTATTAAATTCAAACACGTTCTCGTGGCCAGATAGAATCATACCGATCATAAGAACAAGGTATGATTTGATTATTTTTCTTGCATCTGTTTTTTGCAATAGGTTGGCCATCGGAACGATAGAAATCTTAAAACTTGGAATTTGTTTTTTCGAAAAAAATAAAACATAGATGTTTGATTTTCATGACAACCTGCTATTTGAATACATTCGGACCAAATACTTTTATCATCTCAGCCATTAGATTTTATAGTTGGTTCATGTCACCTAAGCAATTCTAAATCCAAATTAATAAATAGCATCTGAAAGGCTACCTAGTCTGCTACCCTGAAGTTGGTTGGGTTTATAAATTCCTAAGTTAATGATATATAGAAGATATTTTACCAAGGAAATTCAGCAAGATTTTAAAAAATTCCTTGTTCGAACAAAATTGTATAGTAGTATATTTTATTCCTAAATCAGTGAAAAGCGTCTGCAGAAAGAGCATGACATGAAAATAAATCGACTTAAATCAAGACAGCGAACATTAGAGAAGCGATTAGAAGAAACTGAAAGTGCGCTAAAGGAATTTCAAAAGAAGGAGAAAATGGCGGAAGCTCAAAGATATTTAGATACTCTGAATGAAATCCAATCAACTATAAATGGGTTCATGGAAGAGGTAAATATTTCATCACGGGTATTCATGTTATCAACTTCATTTTCTATATTTTCTTCCAACTCACATACAATTTCTCCATGTTTATTGATCGGATTTTGCTATTTGAATATGTTAATGAAACGTACATTGTTTTTCTATGCAGAAACAACAGGTCAATCGAGAAGAAGTTTTGCTCAGTACAGGTCAAGTTACACAATATCCACAAATTCAAGAACTACTATCCAGAAAAGAACCGTTTGATAAACTTTGGAGAACAGCGGTCGATTTCTACTCAAAATATGACCAGTGGATGAACGGTCCTTTATTAAAAGTTAATGCAGAGATAGTTGAAGAGGAGGTATGTAAAACAATTTTATTCATCATAAAAGTAAAGTAAATTGTCAAGTAAAAAAAATTTTTTGATCCTATCTATAACTTTAACATGACAGTCTTCTAAAATTTTAGTAAAATATTTGTAAGGTTCAAAGGTTGTGGAAAACCAGCTACAAGTTGTCCAGAAGATTTCAACATCCCGATTTACTGGGACCTCTAAAGGCAGCAGCGACAATAAAAACAAAACTCGAAAAATTCCGGCTGAATATGCCAGTGATCAGCGCTTTGTGCAATCCTGGAATAAAGACACGGCATTGGGATTTAATGTCAGAACAGGTATAAATACGCAAGCCTATGTAGTATTGGGTTGGGAACGCAAATCATCAGTTCAAGCATTTTTATATACTTTAAACACTTTTGATCCAAATTACTTATCGTTTTCTAAATTTATGTTCCACTTCATTGACTTCAAACAAAATTTCAACAAAATGTGTTTATATATATCTGTATATATTCAAATGAATATTCAAATGAACCTAAAATTATATTTCCCATTCAGTTGTAATCATTTAAACAACAAGAAATAATTTTTTTTATATCGTACGGTTTCTTTTATATCATAGATTTTAAAAATATTCTATATCAATTCCACAGGCGGGTTTTTCAATAACACCAAAGGAAGATACTGCTTTGTCAGGCATGCTCGGGATGGGACTTGAGAAGCATCTGGAAAATTTGACTCACATAAGCAATCAGGCGAGAAAAGAGTATGCTCTAGAAAAGGTGGGTGCAGTTTATCCATCTCGAATGTGTTGTACTTGCCTTTGATTTTAAATATCAGTTTATAGTTTATTTCGATTTTTTAAATTTGGCAATAAGATGTATGGGGAACGTACCAAAGTTGACGACTGGAGAAACTGTGTTTCTGTTCTATTCGGTGCTAAAATTCAATATACAAATGCTTCATTATGATATCCGTAAATCTTGTTGTCTTTAATTCAGGCACTTACTAAAATGAAAGAAGACTGGAAGAATGTCGACTTCGGCCTTGTTCCGTATCGGGATCTTGATATATCAGTCTTATCTGCAGTAGAAGACATTCAGCTTCTGCTTGATGATCATGTAGTGAAAACTCATACAATGAAGGGATCTCCGTTTATCGAACCTTTCAGACAAGAAATACAAGAGTGGGAAGAAAAACTGGTATGTTGCATGCTGTTCAATTTATTTTTATTCTACAAACGAATGTAACTGATGAGTTTTAATTAGACTGTCACTTTAGCATGTAATGTTATCAATTAAGTACTTCATTTTAATAATGTGATATCACAGGTAATAACTGTTAAAAAAAATCAACGCAAATGGTATTGTTATGCTTCTCTAACTAACTCTCTAGCTTTTCCACAATATTAACTTCAACTGCTTCCAATACCAAGTGCCTTTGCATATCATTGAAGTATTTTCTTTCGGGTTATTCTATGATATTCCAACCTCATTATCTTAAATTCAGGAAAGAGCACGAAGCATAATTGAAAGTTGGCTTGTGGTTCAAGCAGCTTGGTTATATCTAGAACCTATTTTTGGCTCCGAGGATATCAGACATCAAATTCCATTGCAAGGAAAGCTTTTCACACAGGTAGTCTCAATGACATCTTATTTATTGGTTCATCAACCTATGAAAACTTCAGGGTGATAGATGTTTGGATAACTATATGGACCCATGTAAATAAACTTGACGGAAACAAGCATTTCATACACTTAAATGAGCAATTTTATAAACCTTTTAAATTTGGGCCTACAGGTAGTTAAGCATTTCGCATATCAATTTTCAAATATCACCAATGAACTAACTATATTTGAGCTACTTCTTCACTATAAAAATAAACGTAAATAAAAAAAAATGTAAAATTTCCCACTATAAATAATTAAATCATTATTAGATTAGATGATTTGTGTTATAGGTTGATGCCAAATATAAAAATATAATGGCGAGAGCATCAACAAACCCGAATGTTATGGTTGTCTTGAACCATCCATCTATGTTGGAAGATCTAAAAGAGTCTGAAGCCCTGTTGGAAGATATCCAGAAAGGTCTCAATCTATATCTTGAGAAAAAAAGACTTTTCTTTCCAAGGTTCAGTATTATTTACTCTTGTTAGTTGTTCACCTAGATCACTTTTGCGGAAGCACACGCGAATTTTATACGGAATATGAGAGTCTTAAAAGTTAATAATAAAACATAAGTCTAAACTTATTTGTCTAGGTTCTTCTTTTTATCAAACGACGAATTACTGGAAATCTTATCTGAAACAAAAGATCCTCTCCGTGTTCAGCCACATCTCAAGAAATGTTTTGAAGGAATCGCAAGACTTGCTTTTACAAAAGACAAAAACATTATTGCAATGCAAAGTGCAGAAGACGAACAAGTTGATTTTGTAACAGAGATTAGACCTTCTGATGCAGGGGGACTTGTTGAACGATGGTTATGGGAGGTAAATTTTATGACAGTTTGCATTAGCAAGTGCACGACACGTAATCCCTAAATTTGGAAGTATCCTTGCCATAGAGTAAAGAGCGATCATTAAAATGTCAGGCTAAATTATTGTTGGGGCATTTGAAAAATCAGCAAATGCTGGTTGACATAGGTCATTGAAAACTTGAAGTCAGTGAGGCTGCATTTCATTATGTTTTCGGTCCGCAAGATAATTATACGTTAATCTTATTTAACACAATTTTGGAAATCGATCAAGAAGATTTCACTCGTGAAAGCATCTGCGTTTGGTGCTTTGTGTTGGTTGTGGTGTAACTTACATTTCGAAGTTTTGCAATATTACATTAGACTTAGAGCATCCAAATTATCAGTACGATTTATGGCTTTTTTATTCCTGTGTGAATTTAACACTCTTTCATCCAGGGATGAAGTCATCCATCGAGCCGATAACAGACAACGAAACCGAGCATTAAATATATGAAATATTTTCAAGAACTTTAACGTGTAGTACTGAATTTAACTGTGAAGTATCTGGGTAGGGTTAAATGCATAGTAGGCTATATTCAATGCATGTGCAGAAATGATTTTACGCTAATATGTCTTATCAACAGTGGAAAAAATATAAATATCTTATTCGTTATTCAGGTGGAAAAGAGTATGAAAGGAAGCATCAAGGATGTTACCGAAAAAGCTATTAAAGCGTATACTGGAACACCTTTTAGAAAATGGTGTTTGCAGTGGCCCGGACAGGTCATCCTTGCCGTAAGCAACGTTTATTGGACATCCGAAGTTACTCAGGTTGGAATTTTTCTGTGTTTTGGGAGGTTCAGTACATCCGGCTAATGTTCACCGCAGTGTATGGCTTCTTTCCTGTGTGATTGTACACAATTTATAACAAAAATCTTTCACGCGGGTTCATGAGCCTTTCACTGCGATGTTCACCTTCAACTTATTGTATGAGCTAATTTCAACCATTGAGCCTATGTTTATCGCAACGGTCCGTCCGTCATTATGACCTGATATTTCAGATATAGGGTCTTTAACATACCAATATGCATTCATCCATAATTTTTATATAGCAATGATGAATTCAGTATAACTTTCATTGCAAAATCATAGATATGTTTTTTTCCGACAGGCAATCGGGACAAAAAACGGCCTCCAGGAATATTTGAAAGTTTGTGATTCTCATATTGATGACATTATTCATCTTGTACGCGGAAAACTGACTACAATGGCAAGAGTTACTCTAGGAGCTCTTGTAACGATTGATGTTCACGGTAAATTACTCAAATATTTTGTTAGACAGGCAATGGTATATATTTTCAAAGAGTATTCAACGAGTATACGATAATGCAGATGAATATATCTTCCAAAACATGCACGAAAAAACACATGCTAACTTCGGAATGACTCGTACAGAAAATTGAACGTTTTGAATTAGAACGAAGTTAAATTGTTTTAACAGTTAACAATTGGTATTTATTTAAGTTTTTACTTCCTGGCGACGCGTTTCCGACTTAAACTTGTGGACTTCCATTGTTTTACAGCACGTGATGTGGTATCACAACTTGACGACAAAGGCGTTAGCGACGTTCGAGATTTCCAATGGATTTCTCAAATGAGATATTATTGGGAAGAACGTATGATCAATGTTCGAATGATATCAACAACTGTAACTTACGGATATGAATATCTTGGCAACACAACAAGATTAGTCATCACTCCTCTCACTGAAAGATGCTATCGGTATTTTATTTATATCATTAATCTTAATGATCTATATATCTACCACCTTCCATAGCTAACACACAGTTGGCCGATAATAGATCCGATAGTTTAATCATAGTCTTGAATAATTGATAAACACGGATTTTCATTTTAGAACAAACGATGTATGTAGTTAACGGAAATTTACAATTGCATTACCACCAATTTGTATTCACTTCAATTTTTTCTATTGTGAGTTCATAGTACAACCGGCTAGATATTATAGGAAGTTATTGCATTTTTAGAACCCTAATGGGAGCTTTACAACTGAATCTTGGTGGCGCACCTGAGGGCCCCGCTGGTACTGGAAAAACAGAAACATGTAAGGATTTAGCTAAAGCTGTAGCTAAGCAATGCGTCGTCTTCAATTGTTCTGATGGATTAGATTACAAAGCTATGGGGAAATTTTTCAAAGGATTGGCGCAATCTGGCGCTTGGGCTTGCTTCGACGAATTCAATAGGATAGATTTGGAGGTATGCTTTTTGCCGACTTTATAGTAGAATTTACATAAAGAATCTATTTGCGATGAAATTATTTACATACAAGTGGACATATATTACACGTGAAAATTGGTAAACCAACTACACACAAGTCTCACTATGGCCTTTCATTCCCGAAGCTGTACGCATCGGGAACCTGCATCGACGTAGATGACGTCATATCCGTATATCCTCGGCTCATATCCGAATACGAAACAGCGTTAACCATCGGATTCCTAGTCTTTTGCACACTCATGTCTGTATACTGCGTGTTTTGCAAAGTATTTCCTGCCATATCGGTGTAATTTACTTGATTGTTGGTAGGTGAAGTGGGTGGCGTAAATACTGGTTCAACTGGGGCCGTAATCGATCTGTCTCTTTGAGTACATTTTGAATTACTTTCTGAATCAATCATGCTTTGTCCTCTTGTCCGTACTTTTGGATTTACGGTATTGCGCTTTGGCATTAGTGCCTTTTTTGGCCTCTTATCGTTTTTTGTTGTGGTGCTTCTTTGCAATGGAGATATCGGACTTACTGGAGGAGTGAATGGGTCGACAAAACCTCGGTTTGTGAAAGCGCTTTCGTAATAAGGAGAAGGTTGATCCTAGGAAAATAAATGAATTGCACGTTGAATATTTGAAACGTTTTCTATTTTTTCAAGAGAAAAGAAAAACCTACTGTTATCCTAGCAAAAAAACAAAGGCCGCTGAGTATTATCGACAATTCAGGCGATTATAAATTTGCAAAGAAATCTCACTATAACAAACGAGTTGAATACTTATTCGTTTGGACAGGGAAACGCCGTAAATTAAGTTCGGGCTCACCACATCCAGACCGGCCAGTTTCAACTGCTGTTTTGTTTTGTCTTTTTTGTCGCGATTTTTCTTCTTTTTTCTGTTCACTTTTGCATATTCCTTAGCCCCTTTCTTCTTCGCGTCAGCATTAACCTCCGCATAATTAATCGTTTCATATGTAGCTACCTGGGGGAGTCCTTGTTCGTTTACATCATAATCGTCGTCGTCATCTTCTGAATTTTTGTAAAAATGAAGCTCTTATGCTATCCAAGCATACATAGTTTTCAGATGCCATTGCCATTTTTTAAACGTGTCTTTGTTCGTGAAATTATGGAAAGCCGACAGTAATAGTATATATATGTATTTATACTTATGTTGTCTGGGTTAAATAAGGACGTGTAAATCAGATGATAAAAAAAAATGAATGGAAAAACTGTCAGAATTTCCTCAATTCAATTTCTCTTCAATGGCAATGAAATAGGCAACCTGCAAATTACAATATAGAATAGGGACTCACCAAATGAATCGCTGTCATCCACATCGAAATTTCTGAAATAGTAACAGTATATCATAAGATATATATATTATATAAAAACTGAGTGACAATGAAAGTGTACCGGTCGTCTTGATTTTTTATACTCACTGATTGGAATCTAGCCAATGAAGATGATTAAATGTTGGCGATTTGGCATTACTCGCCTCTGTATCTTCTGCCATTGAATAAGGCGATGCTGTTTTAACTTTTTCCAAACCTAGTATATGCAATTAAAAAAGATATGACTCTTAAACTAAGTGTTTAGTAACCTCACATTCAAAAATTATATTTTTAGTCTTTATTAAATAATACTTACTTATTGTGTTATCAATAGATTTAAGTTCTTTTTTTATTTTAGTAGTGAGATGTCTTTCTATTTTTTGTTTTACTGTCAGCATTTCATCCGGATCTGCATAGACATTTCCATCAAGGTTTTCATAATGAGATCCAAAACTGTGCCTGAATATTGTGATTATAGATAAATTCGACTTTGAAAGAAATGCCCAAATTATGAATGATTTGCGTTTGAGTCTAACAATAGATTAAACTTCCATTAGATTACCTGCGTCGTCCAGTGGTGGGTGAAATTTGATCAATTTCAGTTATATAAACTCTTTCAGACTTTTCTTCCTGTTCAGGTTGTTTTTCATTTTGTCTGCTTTTCACTGTAATAGCTATTATCAAAACAAGCAGAAGAAAGCCAGCAGCTCCACCGATGTATGTGAGATAAGAGTATAGAGCTAAAAAACGACAGTCTGAGACTATAAGTAATGCGCGGATTGGAGGACAGTTGACAAGGCTGGTCGCCCTTGATAATATCAATGAGACGTACAAGACAAACAATTAGTAATTATATAAAAAAAAACATATTAACAAACTCTTCAAGCTTTCTAATGATCGAAACTTACATGAGGATTCTGGTTGGAAAGTGTGAGATGGTAATGAGCATGGTCCATTTGAGCACGGTTCCAATTTGATTTCAACTGCAGAAGAATTTCCGCATGCAGATGATTTTTGTGTCTGACAAGTTCTGTTTTATTTATGAAATATATACGTGTTTTCAACCATTTTTTACAATTTTCCTGTTTTTTTTTGTCCAAAACAATATGGTTGCTGAAATAGGAAGCTACCAAGTTTTATATTTGAGAAGAAATCAGGGTGGCCGTCCATAGAGATATCACTGGCTTGAATTTTGTCTTAAAATTTGGTTTTGAGTAAAATATTATTGGCAAGACTTTTAGGTAACGTTGTTCACAATTTGATTTTTCATACATCCATCTGCAAGCTATTTTTGACGTACCTATTCTTTACTCTCGTACAACTTGAATTACAAGGAGTATATTCTGTCCAATTATTCCACGTTTGGCAATTATAACATTGCTGTTGTATTGTTCTTGACGGCTTTGTGCCGTTTGTGCCAGGACAATTTGTTGACAGGTAGGATTCTGTTATTATAATTAGTCGAATTTACTGCTGTTGGTAATCCTAGTCATTCAAATATTTTCAAATTCCAGTGACATGGAGCTTTTAGATATGATCCTCGTTCATAATCATCAGAGAAGTTTATGTTCAATATTATATTCATCGTTTAAACTTTAAACGACGAATTTCTAAGGTATGCTTAGCTCATGTCAGATACAACATTTTATTGTAAGACAGCATGCATGGAAGCACGACAAGTACAATATACAGTATTCAACAATGGATCGAATGTTTAATGACAAACTTGTGCATAGCAGCGAATATTGGCAACAAAGAGCTACTTCAAGTAGTTGTGGTATAGCTGGAAATACTAAATCTGCATTGAAATACAGGCGAAACTATGAAAGTTTGTAATAGTGAAAGTGTAAGTAATGGGTTCCTATATAAATGTTATACACAGATATACAATCAAATACTTGGAGAGATGAGTTCATGCGCCTATATTGTCTTTTAAATATTAGAGATATTGAAAACTTTGTCTCTGTCTTACTTAATCTGCAAGTCTGATTAATCTTTAATATTCCCGCACCACACGTTACACTGCAGACTCCGGCTGTCTGTTCAGTCCACGTCCCCATGCATGTGGTTGGATTGTAACATCTTTTCATCTGAGTTTTTACACAACTTTTTTTATATTCACATGAATATTGCAACTCTATTTTGGCATCGTAGCAAACTCCTCTACATTCTGATTTCTGAAATTTAATATCCAATCTTGTTGATATTTATAAAACGTAAAATAAAACATGTCTAAATCAACATAACAAAAAATTTCAAATTTTGATGTGTAATCGCCTGTCTTTCGATAATGCGACGGCGGTTAAAGACTTCATCACTTAACTCGTGAATACGTACAACTCTTTCATTTTTCCACACTGAGCATGGCGCATCACATCCGTTTGAAAGAATTTCAGCATAAGGTTCATCAAGTTGTGCACAATCGAATCCTATTGCTTCATCGTTTTCAATTGTACAATTACGAAACCGACTCTGAAACAATGATAATATATATTAGCGAAAATCGACGGATTGAGAAAAAATGTATATATTTACCTTAAAGCAAAAGTTTGTTGGACATTGTGACCATGCAGTCCAACCTCGAACATCTGCTCTGATCAATTGGAAGTAAGAAATTTCAATTATACTCAGAATAGCATAATACCGATGCATATTTTTCTAATTTATGCAAATATAAAACTTATAAAGACTGAAATATATCAGAAGTGCTTCCGTCAGTTCCATCGGAAAGAAAACACGCTCTCGCCTCTTAAGCATATACGCATCAGGTGTTCAACATTATAGGAATGTTATCCAGGCAAACCAATTAATTAAGCGAGTTGATTCAACAATATAAAATCAGTCATCAGTTTCTACTGAGCTGTATATCAGACACAAAATTTTGTTCACAATGTCTATATGTATGCGCCATAGATACTATACGTCTTTAACTCATTCTGCATCCATGGCCGTAGTTAGTAAACTAATATATAATATTGCATTCTATGAAGTCATTCCTAGGAAAAGTATATGAATGAATTATAGGAGAAATGATTTGTTTTGTATATACGCTTATTTCCTGTGACCGGTGTATAATCCTCACTAAGTTCTAATAAAAAAAACATCACCTCACTAGTATTTATAGGTAAATATGTTTTTCTATTAAGCTCAATTTTCTGTGACCTCCTTCATTTATCTAGATTCTAGTAACTTGCCTGTTTATAATACTAAATGGTTTCAAAACGGGTTTTCGAGCTAAACTACACGTTTGCTTGAAAAGGAAAATAAGATTTAACTTAGATCTCTTTCCAACTTCAGCTGAAAACTTGCAAATTATGATTGTGGATAAATTCTTTTTTTTTTTTCAACAGGTACTATCCGTAGTCGCTCAACAGATACAAACCATACAACGAGCTGTTGCAGATCAGGCTAAAACGTTTGTATTTGAAGGAACAGAAATATCGCTCGATCCCTCATGCACTATATTCATTACGATGAATCCCGGATATGCAGGTAAAGTGACTTGCATATTTCGATGTGAATATTTAATGGTCGCCATTGACATCAATCACGAAGATGGGCAAGGTCGTGTCACATCATTTATACATAGCCTTCCTATACATCTCAAGAATACATTGCATGAAAGAACGTCGATCCACCAGTCGTCTTTATGTCCAGAAACTATAAAACATCTGTCACTTTGCGACAACATTCGAGAAAGTCATATATTTTACTTAGGTCGAGCCGAGCTACCTGACAATCTGAAAGTTCTTTTCCGGACCGTTGCAATGATGATACCGGACTATGCTCTGATAGCTGAAATCAGTTTATATTCGATGGGATTTGTCCAAGCGAGAAGCCTTGCAGTAAAGATTGCAGCAACATATAGGTTATGCTCGGAACAGCTGTCATCCCAACATCATTATGATTACGGAATGAGAGCAGTGAAATCCGTTCTTACTGCTGCAGGTATACAGTTGTATCCTAACCTATAATATTGAAAATAAATGTTTTTTATAAACGCAATACCACGGTATTCACAGCATACTTCGTTTTTGCATTCAGGAAACTTGAAATTGAAATTTCCCGAACAGCCGGAAGATGAACTTATGCTTCGAGCTGTTACTGATGTCAACTTACCCAAATTCTTATCGCACGATATCCCGTTATTTCAAGGAATCATATCCGACTTGTTCCCGGGAGTTAGTCTGCCTCAACCAGATCACGGTGTGTTAGAAAAAGCGATTCTGTCGAATATTGCAAGAATGCAACTCCAGGTTAGATCGATATTAAATATTCAATTTGAGGTCATGTGAATATCTATCTAAATTGCGTGATATATTGTCTACTATGAGCAGCACACCAATAAAACCGTTTCAGTGAACAATCTAGGATGCAAACGCGACGACTTTGTCTAAAACTTTGTTTATGTTTCAGCCGGTTCCTTGGTTTATTGACAAAATTATTCAGTTATATGAGATGTTAATGGTGAGACATGGATTTATGATTGTTGGTGAAGCAGTTGGAGGGAAAACAAGAGCTTACAATATTCTCGCGGCGGCTCTCGGGGAAATATCTGTATTGGAAGAAATGCAGGAAAATGCGGTAAATAATTAGTTACAGTTGCGGATGTCAACAAAATACTTTATTAGTGCTTAATTATAAACATTTTTTTAAAAAGTTTTTTCAGTAGTGGCTGAAGAATATGTATTCCGGTGTAAAAGCAAATTTGCAAATAGATAATTAATAGAATGGGTAGAATATCAGTTTATTGCGGAAGTGAATGTAGGTTTCCACTGATAGATAATTTTTCTCAAATTTATTATTTATGACTTCGAATAAATATTTTCAGGTTCGCTACAGAGTCATTAACCCTAAAGCAGTTACAATGGCTCAATTGTATGGAAGTTTTGATCTCGTGTCGCATGAATGGTCAGACGGTAACGACATGTTTATTTCATTTTTTGTGATTTCAATATCTCATGGTACATTGTGTCCTGACTTCTGTACTCAAAATTCTGATAATTCTTCATAAAACAGGGCTACAAATACATTAATGCAAATTTTCTTTGACATTTTTTTTACACATTTCACTCCAGACATTTACCGTATTCAAATATTCTGCGAGATTAAAACTATTTTTTTTATGGAATATGTTTGCAATATGAATATGTGGTGCAAAATTAAAGATATCTGAATTTTCAATCAAGATGGTACTGGTCAGACTGATTTATAAAACGTTATAAATATTTTTATCTGTTTTTCTTAATCTATAATTTTCGCAGGAATTCTTGCAAATACGTTTAGAGAACATGCAACGAGTACAAGCAATGAAAGAAAATGGTTGATATTTGATGGTCCAGTGGACGCTGTTTGGGTTGAAAATTTGAACACTGTTTTAGACGACAACAGAAAGGTAAGACAAGCATTTTTACACCACAGTACAGTGATACTGACTATTTTATTAATTCTGAAAAAAACTTGTTTTCAGCTGTGTCTCATGAGTGGCGAGATAATTGCAATGAACAATAAACAAAACATTATTTTCGAAGTACAAGATCTTGAACAAGCATCACCAGCCACTGTTAGCAGGCGAGAATAGTTTGATAATACATTAACAGTAATTTATGACAAAAAGTGGTGATTTTGGAAACGCAGTCATAATTGGGAAAATTAGCTTTTACAAGTGAATTAAATGCGACGTACAAACGTGCATTATCACAATTGAAAATTCCAGCACTAAGTGTCTCTCACCACTTTTTGCCAAGCGTCGTTCAAGGTTTATTGTGCATGTCCTATTTTAGACATTAACTAATCGTCACTAATTTTTTCACAAACAAGCTAGCTATCGGGTAATTGTCAGAAGGAAACGAATGCAGTAGCACTCGTGCGAATGTAAAAAGCCCGTCACATATTATTTTCATCTCCGATTCTCTGCTTTTCAATTCAATTCAAGTATATTTCTCCAGACCCATAAGTTCGGCAGCTCAAATACCTCGATCTGTACAGAAATAGGCGATGACGTATGATAAGCATGTTTAAAAGTCTGGCGTTGTTAAGTTAATAACGTTCTGGATAAATTAGTAATAACGACGAAAGCGTGATGTGCCGACCGTTATAGGGCGTTGTTGTTTATTTTAAGCAGAATAGAAAACTATGGTGTTGAAGAATTTTGGGCTCCATCCACACTAGCTGTTCTAACGTTAGAGTAGTATATGTAGTAGTTAGCTAAAATGTTTCCAAATTTTCTTCTATTGACGTATTTGATTTTGTAGATGTGGAATGGTGTACATGGATCCTAAAGAGCTTGGCACAGAAGTACTAATAACATCATGGCTGCAGACTTCTCTACCTGAGGTATTGACGAAGCAACAAAAAGATAGCCTGCGATTACTCTTTCAGTGGCTGGTATGTATGATGAAAAAATATAAATGTTATGTCTGGTACATTGCATAAAATATTCACATTTAAATTAAAAAGTATCAGAAACGACTCTATCTAATATATATGTCTCAATATTTTTCCAGGTTCCTCCATGCATTCAATATGTCCAAAAGCACTGTCACAATATTGTTCCTGTATCGGAGATGCACTTGACATTAAATTTGCTCAAGTTGTACGATTGTATGTTGAAAGAAATCACGTAAGATATTAAAAGATATTGCATAATTCAGTGGTCGGCAACTTTTTTCAAGTGTCGGACCGGTAAAGCCTGACAATTTTGGCTGACCACCTTCATACAAACGGACTGAGCCTATGCAATAAATTATACGCATTAGGAAATTTATGTTGACAATATACTAAAAAACGGAAGTGATGCTATTCAATGCGATATTTTTATTTGTTTGCTGGCCATTAACTCTTCCCATATTGGAGATATGGCCGACATTGACAGCACACGTAACGTGATTCTTATATCCAGACTACTTCAATATTTCGTTTTTGTAGTTATCAATATTGAAAACCAGGCCTCACATTAAAAAGATTTTGGGAGAGGTAACAATGCCTGTAAGCTTTGTGACTCTGGTCTGGGTATTGATTGATGTTTGTTCTGCCAAAACTATTTTTTTACCCGATGTGCTAACTTTATGAATGTCCGGATTCTGAAATATAGAATTAACACTGACTAGGCATGACCGGTTAGCTATGAGCCAGTAGTGGAGTAGTCACGTTCTTAGGGAGAATCATTTTCTTGGAGATCTTATACTGATTGATGAGACCCATTTTATACGGGCGCAGTGGAAATAATTGACGCAGCATTATTGCAACATATCGACATCGCAATTGTTTGTGAAGTCAGACATGCTGCTTAAATGCGCTGTGTTTGTTTGGTTTGCTGTTGGGTGCTGTTATTTAGTCGTAGGGCTTGTGATTAGGTTGTAGAGGTTTTATTTTGGTCCTGTCCGTTTTTGTGTCACTTCTCTGCGGACCGGCAGTAATCTTTCCGCAGACTGACGATGGGCCGCGGCACGGTGGTTGCCGACCACTGGCATAATTTATCTACTTTCACTTTCTTCTTATCATTCGAATATGTTTTTAGCGACGATATTGGTCCTGGAGGAGGTAGCGATGGAGAAAGCATCACAACTTCTATAACTGACGATACGCAGATTAGCAACAAATTATCCGCATCAAACTTGAAGGTAAAAGTTGAAATATGTTGAGATTTGATAGTATAATGCAGTAAAAATAATACATATTTGAATGGGTTTTACCCCGATCCCCTAAATTTTTTCGATGTGCATGTAAAAATGTAAACACTATAGTTAATTTTGGTGTTTGCATTATGAAGTAGTTGACCGAGACACATAATTATTAATTGGTTTCCAAAATATTATTTTTCATAGCTAGATATGCAATATTTTATACACAAGAGATAGTTGATCAATAGTCATTAAAGTGATATATCTCTAGTAGTTTTCCTTTGATTAAACCGAACATGTTCTAACGGATTGTTTATATTGAAGGCCATAGAAGAACGTGGGAACATGTTGATTGCACACTTTCTTTTTGCTACAATATGGTCAATTGCTGGAGTGATAGAGGAAGATTCAAGAGACAGGTTATTCTCGTAGTCATTTCCTGTTGCTGTCTCTTGTGATGAAATAATATTTTATTTATTTGAGAGTTTTGATCTTGTAAAAAAACAGCAGATGGTAAAATTTCTCATAAGGTCATTGATATTCTTTCTAAATTCATCCTATCACTAGTGTAGTATTAATATTATCTGATCAAGTTCAAGTGCGTCACTGAGAGCTAATTTGACAATAAAAAATACTACACGATGATGTAAATTTTAGCACTCTGATACTATGGTTGAGTACATGTATTAAGAGAAACTCTATAGATAAAATCATGATTCCACTGACAAAGGTAGTAGACTCCATGAATTCTGTATTAAAGTTATACTCTTTTTGATCAAACATAGTTTAGGATTATATTATATTTCCATCTATCTACATTTCACTGTTCAGATTCAACGACTTTTTTCGTGAAATGTTTGAGCAGAACCCGATTAAGGGAATTCATGCACCACCGAAAGAATTGAAGATTCCGAGAAATCTCCTGATTCCCAAAAGAGGTAGCGTTTTCGATTATGTATATGTGAAGAAAACGTATGGATCTTGGCACAGATGGGCTAACTTGACGAAAACCCCAGATCTATCGGATGATACTAAGGTAGCTTTCTTTTATAAACCAAAAAAGAAATCAAAAAATTTCAAAGAACCATGAATAAGTTTTATTTTTTGGTTTCATGTATTGATTCAACTAATAATCGACAGTCGATTCTCATCCTTATTCCTCCTGTCGTTTTGCACTATGAGTAGAGTTTGCTAAGAATTTTACTCAAAAGTATCGTTTAGCATAGATCAGGGTGGTCCAAACCCAGGCCCGCGGGCCACATGTGGCCCGCCACTTCAATATCTGTGGCCCGAGTCACATTCGGAGAGTAATCAATAAATCGCATTTCGTGTTGTTTCGTAATCAAATTACGAAAACATCAGAAAACATCACTAATGTCACTGAATTGACTAGTGTTATGGCTAGCTGAGGCAAATAGCGAAGTTGAATGATGTGCTTGGCAGTCTAAATAAATTATTATCTGGCTTTCTATCTTTTAGGTCGGGAAATATATGCTAACAATATAGTCATCATAGAAAACTAAAAATCGAATGCGGATTCTGTTAGCCTGGGATGGCTATGTCTGATAACTATGTGTTTGCACAATAAAAGTGTTTGTTTTGTATTGCACTGTTTACCTATTTTTGGCACTATTGTGGTCCGCGAACAATGAAAAAATAATTTGTGGCCCGCGGAGCCGACAACCTTGGACCACCCTGATAGATGTTTGCTCAATATTTAAGATGTACAATTTTATCTCATCAACTCATCAATCACCTTAATATTATTTGTCTTATTTTTCTTTAGGAATTTCTTTCTGGCCAGGTAAATAAGCACGCCAACAATATAATCCGAAATAATAGAATATAGAACAATTTGTTCATTAGGTACAGCACATGGAATTTGTTAACCATGCGCTTGATGTAAATATATATTAATTACTTTGCTCAACCAATATTTTATTAGATCACATAAATATTATATAAGGCTTGAAAAGTTGTGCATGATATTGCATGTGAGCAAAATATCAAAGCATGCTTCAAAAGTTAAGCAAATCATGTAAACATGAAAACGGCATAATAGATTATTCCATGTATTTATTTTATTAGGAAATAATTGTTATTAGAAAAAATTAACTTGCAATATAATTCTAGAAGAAAGGTAATATTGGTGAAATAGCATATACGTAATTTCTGGATGTAACATCATTACAGTCGTTGATCGATAAACATTTAAACTTCAGTTCAAATACCTTTTTGAGTCAAATGTAGTAATGCTTTTTTTTTTCAGTTTTTGAATTGCGATAGCAAAATATCCTAATATATTTGACAAAAGTTAAATATAAAGATGACGTCTATTCTAAACAATTATTTTACATTAATTTTTAGATTGCTGTTTGAACATAAATAAATTTCTGGACATAGCTACATTGTAGTAACCATTAGCAGCCGTAATTTCACCTTTTTCTAAAAACTATAGCAACATTTGCATGAAATATTTCATTAACGTTTCATTATTATGATTGTAGTAGAATGCTTGGTTTGGCTTTCATACGCTATGTAATATTGCTGTGTTTTGTGCGCTGCTGTTATAAATTCTTTGCAAACCATTTGATCATCTTTGTTATTCTATGCTTCATCTCACAACTCACGCATCTTTTCAATCAACGCAGAAGAATCATCGAATTGTGCGGCTGATGGTAAGCTCATTTCACTTGGGCTATAGGTTTATCTAAGCTTGTATATCTTAATATTTCGTTTAAATTTCATACTCTTCTTTGATGGTTTGAATAAACCCAATATACAACATACATGTATAAAGTTATCGAGGTGGATTCGGGTTGTACTAACATCAATATAGGGCACAACTGTTTCATATAACCTATAACTTACTTGAAATGTCACTGTGGTAAAATATAAACATTTTTACTGTTTTTATCAGGTATGATGGGTAATCATCATTTCTGTTTATATGTATGTTTTGATTATCAAGACTTTCTGGCTCCAAATATTTGCCTTTTGTTCTTTTTCATCTTTTTTTGCTTTTAGTTTGTAGATCCAGCTTGGAGTGATTTACGCCAGGTAGCCGATTCGGTTGGTTGGCGAATTATAATCGTTTTCGTAGAAAATGTCATAGATTTCTCAAATACCAGAATTTTTCTAAATTAACCATCTTCAAATTGTTACAGCTGAGCAACGTGATCATAGATACTGTGGACACATATCGACAGACTTACTTTTTACGAAAGTTTGTTGCAAGCGGCAAACCATTGTTGCTGGTGGGACCGACTGGAACAGGAAAAACGGCGATTACGAACAGTTTTTTACGAGAGTTGCCTAAGAATGAATTCGTAATTACTAACGTCAGTTTTTCAGCAAAAACTAGCGCAACTCAGACTCAAGATATGATATTTTCAAAACTGGACAGGTATATTATTGAATTCGTGATGTCAATAAAACATTTTGGCTTCTGCGGCCATGATCCCTTTCTTGTATGGTTATTCCAAAAATTCTTTACTCGCCAATCATTAAGCCCTAAAATCTCAGTTATAGCTTTACGGAAGCCTACGTTTGCGTTCTATTCATCGAGAATTCTCATGAATTTGTGTCCCGTAAAAGATTGATTGCTATTATTGTTTGATTATCTTTAATCCGATCGTTTTCATGTGTAATTTGCCAACAAAACGATATCAGAACCATTATGATGGCTAAACCAGTTGCCGAGTAATTCGAAATTGCATGGACGGAGGTCGAAATTTGGACGAATTTATATAACTGACATTTTCTGACGATTCATTTTCCTTGTTCACGAGAAATTAGTATACCTCACTATCTTGTAAAATCCGATATCAAATTTTATTCACCTTTGAATTCAAATCATGTATGAGATGACTGATAAATACCAGCCGCTTGAACTGTAAAAACGACTGATTTTCATCGCTTTTTATAGATTCATGCATTCGGCCGTCAAATCTAAATTTTCATCAGCATTGAATATCTATATTAATGCTCTACCATGATTGAGGTTTTTAGTGAACTACACATGCATTAGTGGCTGCTAGAGATTTTTTCAGATAAAAGTCTAGAAATAAATGTATAATCTTAAAATCAAATTATGTGCTATAGTATTATGGAGAAAAAGTCAGGGCCTAACGAGAACGAACCAACCAAAATATGATTCTTCGTCTCTTCAAGTTTGGTATACAGTACTTCATTTAATGCATGCTTTATATAAAGAATTTTTTTTATTCCAGACGAAGAAGGGGAGTGTACGGTCCAACACCAGGTCGGCGCATGATTGTATTTGTCGACGATTTAAACATGCCAGCAAAAGAAAAATACGGAGCTCAGCCACCGATTGAATTACTTCGACAGTGGATAGATCACGGGTATTGGTTCGATAAAAAGGTAAGTACCAAAATACGCCATACCATGAAAAGTATATATATCTTTCAAAATAGACTAAAATTTAAGATAGTCGGTCGTCGACTGCGCTTTGGTTATCTACACACTTTAGGTTTCATTCATGTTTTAATTGAAACTGGTTGACAAGCGTTCGGGATAGTCTAGTGTGAAATACGATCGTTATATGAATTAGATATCCAAGATGTCACAACACTTGTAGCTCACTCAACACTCTCTTATCAGCTATGTTTCTAATTTGCATATTTGTGATATTGCTCTTCAAAGTTATATATGAAAGTAACCCCACAGAATGCAAAATATGTCAGGACTATGAATAAATAATTTGTTCTTCCATGTTCAAATTATCTAATTTAAATCAAAGTGGCGCAGGCATGCAACACACATTGATAGCTGATACAACCTTCATATTGAGAGACATTTGGCAGAGTCACCGGCGAGAAAATGCACACTCCTTGATAGAACTTATGTAGAATGACCCTGCGTGTTTGGAATGTAATTAACCTAACAAACGCCACTTTAAAAAAAAACATATCGCATAACAGAGGCGCTTAGCAGATTAAAGTTGAATAGCTGGTGATGCGTTTTCTCTAGCTCATGCAGAACCAGTCATACACTTAAGTTCATATTAACAACGCTACGTGCTTATTCACACCCTTTGTAGAAGTATTCTAGATCAGTGAAATTATATTTTACTAAGTAAAGTAAAAAATTGGCAATAGCGCAATCATGCCCAATATATTATAATTCAACAAAGCAAACCCTATATGATGTATTCAGGACACCAGTATGTTGCATCTTGTGGATGTATCCATGGTGGGGGCAATGGCGCCACCAGGAGGTGGACGAAATGACATCACACCAAGATTGATCAGACATTTCAATGTTATCACTATTCATGCTTTCAACGATGAAACAATGAAAACGATATTTCAACCCATGATCGACTGGCATTTCAGCAGGTTGATAAAACGTTTCTGTTATGCTTTATATCCAAATTGAATAAGATGAGTAAACGAATTAATTTATTCTGATGAAGGATAAATTCGTTATATCGTATTAACTATATGACGTATGCTACCAATTATTTCCTAGCAGAACCTCCGAATCAATGCGAGTTAATCAGAGGTGCAGAAGAAAAGTGTTCGTGGCTATTAGCACTGTGTGTCATCTGTCAACCGATCGGCCATGATAATGTATTTTTGCCTGCTACTGTTGCCATGCAGCTCTACAGAAGCAAAATATTGCTGCCATATAAATTCATTACGTTGAAGACCTTACAACTCGAACAATCTTTTATTTATATGTTATGTTTTTTTTGTATTTCAGGGGCTTTGACAATTCTTTGAGACGATTTGGGCGAATAATAATATGGGCTACAACAGACGTTTATACTCACGCTATATCAAAATTCCTACCAACTCCTTCAAAATCTCATTATGTTTTCAATTTAAGGGACTACGCAAGAGTTATACAGGTAATGATAAAACAATTTTTTATTTCATTAACCAATGAATAAAGTAACTTATAATTTAAAAATGAAATAAAAAAAGAAAATATCATTTGATTATGTATCTACCTTTGCAGGGTGTTTTGCTTTTCCGAAGTGAATGCTGTCCATCAGGTACAGAAGGTGCATTGAAAATGGCTCGCGTGTGGATTCATGAAGTTTATCGAGTATTTTATGATCGACTGGTTGACGATGATGATCGGCACACTTTCTTTGGTATTGTGAAGGTAATATTTCGTATAATTCACCTGAAAATCAATGAAAATAAGCCAATGTATTTGCCAGTCAATATACACCTTTCTCATTGAATGAATTTGATATTTGTTTAGACGGCTGCGACAATACATTTTAAAGAGAAGATGACAAATATATTTCAACATATGGTGGCAGATCAATCTGGACGTAAAGAAGTATCAGATCGAAACATGAGAAGATTGTTTTTCGGTGATTACATGTCGCCTAAAATGGAAGATGTCGTAGCAGAAAGATTGTATGACGAAATTGTTGATTTGGAAGGTGGATTAAAGTCAATTTACAAAGCTTTAATTTAAAAAAAAATTAAAAAAATTAAAATAATAAATAGCCATTAGAACCATTATAAAGTTGACATGTAATCTTGTAAAAGAGTAAAATGATGTTGTACCTCCGGAACTTGAATGCCGGCGCACTGTAAAAGCACTGTTTTTCAAGCAAATGGCATTTCATTACATAAAGCAAAATACTTGATTGTAATCAAAAACTAAAACATCACATTTCAATTTTCAGAAATGAGAGTGGCTATAGAAAAGTATCTGGAGGATTATAACACTATAAGCAAAGCGCCCATGGATCTCGTGTTATTTCAGTTTGCTATTGAGCATATCAGTCGCATAAGTAGAATATTGAAGCAACCTAGTGGTCATGCGTTGCTGGTTGGTAAGTTATAGTTATAAATTATGATTCCTTCAGCTACCCTCATTCTCCCAGCAGACAGTACACTTTCGGGAAGTAGGCTATTCATTTCCCGTACCAAACGGCATCGACGTATAATAAACTTATATGCTCCCGGGTGTGTTTGCCTGTGAACATCGTTTGAGTAAAACTCACTTAACAATGTTTTTTCTTCCGCTTGCCAAGAAATTACTAAAATATCTATTTTATAGGCATCGGAGGCAGTGGACGACAATCTTCCGCTCGAGTAGCAGCGTTTATGGGAGATTATGAAGTATTTAGTGTGAATGTAACCAAATCATATTCTGTTCATGATTGGAGATCTGACTTGAAAACAGTTATGAGACGCTCTGGAGAAGATCTTGTGCCGACTGTCTTTTTATTTGGAGATCATCAGATCAAGGTAAGGAAAAGAACTCATATCTAGGGATGGCGGAATCGAGTCCGGATTCTATTACAGAATCGATTCTTCGCGGAATCGACTAGAATCGATTCCGATGCACCGGAATCGATTCTCGAGTTTGAAACTTGGATTGCAAACAATGTGTAACGTTTTGTGGCAATTTCTTCACATATAGATATGTATAAACTGCTTCACTGCTATGTTGAGTTGCTACGACACCGCAAACTTCCCTATATATAATATATATATTATAAATATCGCTAGTAGGCTTTAACGTTTATTTATTTTAAAAATCTCTGTGGGTTCTGAGGGATTCGTTTTTTTTTTGTGCGGTTTTGTCTCCTGTGGCAGAATGGATACCCATACTACTTAGTTTCGGCCTTCTTGTCCGTCCAGAATTTGAACATCGCTGTCTTGCTTGATTTCATATGGTATTGCTTGGGTGGGTATATTTTTTTGGTAATATGTCGAGGAATCGAGATTCGGAATCGAGAATCGGAATCGAAAATTTAGGAATCGGATAAGAATCGAATACTTGTAAGTACTCATACTTGGCATCCTTACTCATATCACACATATCAAAATTTTCGACTGGGTATTCACGTTTACAAAATTACCTTCAAAAATCACCATAATGGGATATGAATATTGTACTTCTCATTCTGTGCTTAATTTCTTCAACAGTCTGTTTCCAAGCGCCATTCGTACAGATAGCGATAGTGAAGTGGTATTGTGGCTTTACAAAGCAAAACTCAATGCTTCCAAGTTTTTATGAATTGATATTCCCCACATATACAATCACTAATGAGTAACACTTCGATACCAAATATAAAATGGACAATCAAATTTACTAGAAAATAAAATTAGTACATTTTAGGGTTTTGCTGAAAAAACAAGCGACCCACAAGTTTTAAAACACCGGTATAACATACTTATGTATAAGTTGAAGCATTTTGTGATTTAGGAATATGAGCAGGCTTGTCCATGGGAATGGAAAAGTATCCATGTTACACAAACTTGATTCCGTCAGAGCTAACCTTACCCTTTATACTTTTGCACCCTTCAAATGCTTTTACATTGTTTCTTACTTTATTTACTCGTTTGTTTACTTGCTTATTATTTATTTTGTTTCATGTTTCAAAAATTTCGGCAAATAAATTTGCTGAATGAGCAGAAGGACTCAGAAATAGAATAAAAGTGCTAGAATGATACTGAATTGTCATTGTGACACAATACTCCCAATTTGTAAAGTTACCAAAGTCAATGCATCATGTCGTCTTGTATGTCTCTTTGTACACGTAGTCCCATTTAGTAAACACTGAATCTAAATTTTCAATAAACTTAATAATTTTAAATGAATTGTATTCTATTGGGAATCCCATGCGATGGGATGAAATGGGACAGAAATAAATTGCTATTGGATAGGATGAAACAGAAAAACAGGTCCCCTGGACAAGCCTGGATATAAGCGTCACATGTGGAGAGCGATTGAATGTCATTTTATAATTCAAATTATTTTTGAGTTCTGGCGTTATGTTACTTTGCGTATAACTTGAATTAAATTGGAGACAGAGTACGAATTTCTTCGCAAAAAATCTATGGCCAAGAAAATTCCGGAAATTTGTTCACGGACACAGGCCGTGTACACACTCCCTTGCGACTACGGGTTCAGAGGCCGGTGCAATTACTTTTCTATTTTATAAAAGGACGAATCATTTTTGGAAGACATTAATATGCTTCTGAATTCTGGAGATATTCCAAACATTTTTGATAATGAGGAAAGACTGGAAATTATTGATAAAATGCAACAGTTGGCACAGACTGAAAATACCGCAAAAATTGAAATAAACCCGCTCAATATGTATAACTTGTTTATCGAAGGAATCAGAAGGTAAGATTTTCGATCGCCTCTTTTACAAAGTTTGTAGAAACAGTTTATTTCGACCCATTTTCAACATGAAAAACTTTTCGTACGACATTTTAAGAAAAACATCTAACTAGCGTTGATAACATCACGGATACGGAATTATATTGCTTGCCGATAATTGCCTTACCTACTTTTATATTTAGAAATTTGCACATCGTTCTGGCTTTTAGTCCAGTAGGTGATGCTTTCCGCACAAGATTGAGGAATTATCCGTCGTTAATAAACTGCTGCACAATAGACTGGTTTCAAGTAAGTTATAATTCGAAAGCTTGTATAAATAATTGCAGATATTTTATTAATTTGAATAGTAACAATTTCAGTATATTGACTATTATTTAGGGCCAGTACGGTCAAATCATTTTACGCATGTGCTGGTTAAATTGACGCATTATACGGATCTTTAAGTTGCACAAGCGGACTTGTGGTTTGTTTACCAAATTGCTGTTAAGGTTCTAGGAAAATCTTTTCCCTCAACTGATGAAACAATCAAACTTTCAGTTTTCAGCGATGATGGTCACATCTATAGTCATTTGGCCATCGTGTACATATATTTAATTAAACACAGTTCCCTTGCTTAAGATAAAAATATTGTTAAAACATGTGTGTCTATCAGGCCTGGCCAGAGGATGCTCTTGAGATGGTGGCAAATACGTTTTTGGATGAAGTTGAAATGAGCAATGATATCAGACAACAGACAGTTATCATGTGCAAAAAATTCCATCAGAGTGTTAGACTCCTCTCAGAGAAGTAAGCAATAGTAAATATTATTAATTTAAAAACAACTTAAACGTCCCTAACTTAGCAAAAACAATACTTGACATTTTTCCATTGACGCTTGATTTATATTAGTGTAAGAGGTTCCATTGTAGTATTTTCGTTTGGTTTGTCTCGCAATGTTAAAGCACATGCCATGGAATGGCTACATTGTCGTCGCTAACCAATCTGATATGAACGGCCTCTACCCCTTTACTTTATCTGTGCACATCACTGATACGCCCATGTATGTATTCGATAAGGCCGCCACACTTGCTGCCGCTGAAACTTGGTCTTCTATCAGCTAAAACCAAATTGGGCATATATCTCTATGTTGAACAAGGTGATCCCTGCGTTTCTGTGTGCTGTATTTTTCACAAACTACCAGACATATAAACAACAACAGGAACAATGATGCAAGCCAACTATTCTAAATCTATCTTTTGCTAAAATCCCAATAGGAATAGTTGATGATTACTACGCTAACACAAAATATATATAGATCAAGTTCGATACAGCGATGCATTAAGTATGGCAAAACGTTGCTCACAACTTCTAGAACGCACTACAACAGAGCCCCATGAGAAACGTCGACCGACAATAGTTCATAGAGTAAATGAAGCAGAAAGTTGGATTATCAGTATCGTCAGAATATAAGAGAGAATTGTAATTAAAATAATTAGTAATTATTAGTAAACTACGTCGCTCCGTTCTTATATGGTTTCTGTCCACACTCCTGGGCGACAACGAAACCATTCATTTCAACGAAATGTTAACCTCAATCCATATCCCCGTTTGTGTGAGCTTTCCGTCCTCAGACCTAAAAATGTTATCGATCGATCGAAAAATTAGTGCAATGTTCCTCCACATTTATGTAAAGTACATGACTTACAAATACCACATACAAATAAAATAATATCAGTATTTATGTATTCTGATTCCTGATATGTGCGTGATCAAAGACTTATTTTACTGACAACAAGGCGGCTGAACTAACATACATAACGAGAATCGAACTAATAATATGATTACTTGGTTGAAGCGTCTGGTTAAGGATTAACAATATTGTATGCAAAATAAACTCAAATATTTGTGGATTTTGTTATAGAGTGTGATTTTACATAAAAATGGTTAGAATACCATCTGTAAGCCCAATAAACTTGAAATATCAATGATTCGCACTGATACTGTAAATGAGAAATGTATCTGCTAGCGTTGATTGTATCATCATTTTAATAATATCTATTCAGGTTTTATGAGTCTCTTCGCAGAAGAACCTACATAACACCGACATCCTATCTGGAACTGATAAAAACATTCAAGAACCTATTACAACGTAATCGACTCGATTTACTGGCATTCAAAAACAGATATGTGGTTGGATTAGAAAAGCTGGAATTCGCGCAATCTCAAATTGGGATCATGCAGGAGGAGTTAACTGCATTGCAACCACAGTTGGAGCAAAGTTCGAAGGTCGATTCATGAAAAAAATAATATCATATGAATATTATTAATAATCTGAAGTCTTTGTGATGCTTTGTAATTGTTCAAATTAAACAGCGATTCCCGCAAATTAATGGGTTGGATTAGGAAAAATTCTGTTTAGAATCATTTTTTGAATTACATAGTTAAATATTGGAAAAGAATTAGAAACTTTACAATGTTTTACATATGACAATGTGAAAATTCTATTGGTATCAATATCATTGTATCAATTACTGCAGGAAGTGGAAGAGTTGGTCTCTCAGATAAGTGCGGAAAGCGCAGAAGTCGAAGTTGTCAAACAAAATGTAGAAGCTGATGAAGCTGTTGCTGCAAAAGGTAGTTAATATCATTGTAATAGCGGTTATGTTGTGTTGACGCTTTCAACCCGAAGGTATAGCACATTAAAATGGAAAACAAATGCATTTTGATCCATTTTCAGCTGGTATATAAATATCATCAATCAGGAGATGTTCAGCCACAGCTATCACAACATTAGTAAACGGATTGACAAGTCCTTATGATGGCAATACTTTTTTATATGAGTTATCCAAACTTTTCCTCACATACTGTTTTGCATAAAAAAAAAATCTTGAGGAAAAGGCAAATACTCTTCTTCACAATTATACATTGTAGGAATAATAATATGGTGACATTATCGAACGCGCCAAGCGTGGTGCAGAATGGTGCCACAGCTAATTCAATTTAAATTACTTAGCAACATTTTTACCTGTAATGAGGATTATTTTCTCGTTTTTTGTTATTACAAAAAAATGTTAGTACTGAAAATAAATAGATAAATATTAAACTTAATTCTTCTTGGACACAAATTTACGAATTTCCCTTTTTTCCAACTTTCAACCATTGCCCTGGATACGTGAAATATCGTTCGGTCCTATCAACAACCGCTGAATGAAATAAAATGTAACACCTCTATATAGGCTATATATATATAGTGATAAAGAGTTAATCAGTGAATGTTTTTTGAAAATGACCAACATATTGGGAAAGTGGTAGACAACAGATCTCTTGTTATTTTTATTAAGTATTTTTTAAATAATTCATTCATGCTAATGTTCTACTATTTATAATTTGTACCAAGATTAGTTAGAAAACTACTAAAACGCAAAAACTAATTGATGCAATATTTCAGCTGCCGAAGAAGCTCGTAAAATAAAGCAAGAATGCGAAGAAAAATTGGCCGTTGCTATGCCAGCTTTGAATGCTGCAGTGTCTGCTCTCAACACACTTCGTCAACAGGACATTGCATTGGTAAAGACAATGACAAATCCACCAGCTGGAGTCAAATTAACAATGGAGGCTATTTGTGTTTTGAAAGTAAGAATGTTCTATTTAATTATCCCTATATCAAATGTAATAAGATTGCAGAAAGAATTTTCTCGTATATATACGTAGATATTCATAATCTTATATATATATATATAAATCAATTTTCAGGGAATAAAGCCAGATCATAAAACAGATGGAATGGGACGAGCGTACGATGATTATTGGCCTGCAGCTAGAAAAATGCTTGGTGATATGAAACTTTTAGACTCACTACGAGTAAGAACGATCTACAATTGTTTACCCCACATGTTTTATTCATATAAGTTGAACATGATATTAGTTATTTTATTTTATTTTCAATGATCTTACCATAGGAATTTGACAAAGACAACATACCAACACCAGTAATGAAGAAGATTCGAGAACGCTTTATTGAAGATCCCAACTTCCGTCCAGAACTCATAAAAAACGTTTCTTCCGCCTGTGAGGGTCTTTGTAGCTGGGTTCGGGCAGTAGAAGTTTATGACAGGTAATTTTCTGTCAAATTTTATTACATGTTCAGCCGCTTTCTTAACCCTTCTTTCCCAATCGATGCGTACCGAATTGATGTAACGTATTCGAGTTCGTGAAAACTCTAATTGGACACGAAGAATACAGATGGAGCGTTTGGCTTGTAGTTGTTGCTGTGGAAAAATCGATCTTCTTCGCAACTACCATACCAATTGATTAAGTGTTACTTTAAGATGGAATATGCTATAATAAGACTATTAATTAATTAAAACTATCATTTTTTAAATTCGTATTCGACTTATGATGCGATTAACAATGATATGTGGGAAACTTTTTTGTTATTTTATTTTCGTATCCATATATTTAAGCATTGTTGATTTTACGTTCATAGCTTGCTTTTTGGTGATATCTGCTGTATATCTAAAAATAATTAATATGAGTATCATAAATCTACTACGAAAAGCAATTTAGTTTAGAGATACAAGTTTATCACAAACTGACGCCTAATACAGACAAATATGCCATTTCCGTAGTGTAATATTTGGATACGACGAACAGTCGGCGATTCAAAAATGCAAGTGAGGCATCACAATTTGTGTATTTATCCAATTACTCAATGCAGCAATTGCTTTGGAGTCTTTATTGCACATTTTCTCTCGACAAATTTAGGAAAATAGTCATGGTCATAAAATGGTCATTTTTTCGACTTGGGATTTCAGGGTGGCAAAGGTGGTAGCGCCGAAACGAAAAAGTTTGGAAGCTGCAGAAAGCGAACTGGAGGTTCAAATGACTGCATTGGAGAAAAAAAGAGCTGAGCTTCAATCAGTACGCGAAGAACTCGAAGTTCTAAATCAAAATCTATTGGAGAAGTTAGCGGAAAAAGAAGTATTGTCAAATTTTATCTCTATTTGTATATTTCATGTCACGTCCGCTAAATCCGAAATAAAAAAAAATGATCCTAGAATTTTATGAATGCATAAAAAAATTGACCCCTGCTTTATGACTTGAGTTCTTCTAGAAATTGATGTTATACAAAAACCATTTACTTTTAGAATATTAGGTATACCTCAGCGGGTATGCACATTTGTTATTTTTGATGAAAATTTGAAGGTTAATTTTATTCCGTTTTACCTATCTACAATCATATGATTGTTCAATTGTTACTGTTAATGCAACTGAATTCGTCAGTGTATTTCTTTCTCAATTGAACAGGTTTTAATTTTTCATTTCAGAGCCTCGAGAACAACATTGAATTGACGAAAGTAAAATTAGTACGTGCTGAAAAGCTGATTAGTGGATTGGGTGGCGAAAAAACTAGATGGACTGAAATGACACATTCTCTTGAGAGCACCTACTTTAATATCGTGGGTGACGTGCTACTTTCATCGGGAATCGTGGCGTATCTTGCTCCATTTACTCCTAAATACAGACAAGTAAATCAATATAATTGTTGGGGCGATTTTCTTAAATTTCTCATGAATGAAATTAATATATAACAATAATTCAGGATATTGTCAATAATTGGTTGGAAGATTGCAGAAATCATGACATTCCAGTTAGTAACGATTTCACATTATCAAAAACGCTTGGAGATCCCGTAAAAATTTTGGATTGGCAGTTGGCAGGTCTTCCAAAAGACGAGTAAGTAAACATGATATAAATTGAAATCATTATAATAGGATATCTGACACGATTTTATTTTTCTTTACAGCTTTTCAGTTGATAATTCTATAATTGTTATGAATGCAAATCGCTGGCCACTGATGATTGATCCACAAGGCCAAGCAAGTAAATGGATCAAAAATATGGAGAAACCAAATAACTTGAAAGTATGCAAACTCACTGACGATGATTACGCGAGAACGCTGGAAAATTGTATTCAGGTGAGGAAATAGGAAGATCATCACATCGATATTAATATTTAAGAAATACTATATAATAACAGGAAGGAAACAGAAAAATATTTGATACAAATTTATGTCATTATAAAGATAATCATCATCTCATCTTGATCACATTTTTCAGTTCGGCAATCCTATCCTCATAGAAAACGTCCATGAACAACTAGATCCACTTCTTGAGCCCTTGCTGCTTCATCAAACGTTCAAGCAGAATGGGATGGAATATGTTAAACTAGGAGAAGCCACAATCCAGTACAGTCATGACTTCAAATTGTACATCAGCACAAGGTTACGAAATCCACATTATATGCCAGAAGTATCTGTGAAGGTAATTTGTTGTTTTGAAGTTAATTTTAGAAAAATTCTGATAAAAATAAAATATTTATTCAGCATATATTTGCTTTTGGAAGCTATCGGATATGACCTAACATAAAAATATATATACGTTCTACCAAGGTCACTTTATTAAACTTCATGATCACACCAAGAGGACTTGAAGATCAACTTTTGAGATTAGTAGCTGCGAAAGAAAAGCCCGAGTTAGAAGAAAAGAAAAATGTACTTATTCTTGAAGGAGCGAAAAACAAAAGACAACTGAAAGACATAGAAGATAAGATATTGGAAGTACTCTCGTCAGCTCAAGGTACAATATAGAATGAGATATACAGCCTCGAACATATTTATGTTAAGTTCAAACAATGTTCGGCACTAGTATCACTTAGTGTTGCAAGAATCACAAGAATGACGTTCCCGGTTCGTCAAGGCTTTGTCGTTGGGATGGCGGTTAACTATACAAGTGGGGTGAGCATCTGTTCATGAGCACATTGAAAGACTATTCTGTGGCACGACTCAACTACCCGGAAATTTTGAATTTCATAAACATATCTTTCACAATCCTATTTCTATCATGTATGTTATTATTTAATTCTTTAGGAAATATTTTGGAAGACGAGACAGCAATCAGCATTCTGTCTTCCAGTAGAAAATTATCGGAAGAAATAACAGAAAAGCAAAAAATAACAAGCAAAACTGAAACTGAGATTGATTTTACAAGAAATGGATATAGACCTGTTGCATCGCATTCTTCTATTTTATTCTTCGTTATCTCAGATCTCGCGAATATTGATCCTATGTACCAGTACTCACTAAACTGGTTTATCAATCTATATTTGAACGTAAGAACATACTGATAGCTTATTATATAATATAATCATATTTTGAGGCTTCTAATAACCTTCCTCGATTTTTGTGTCTTCTTAGTAACTTCAAATTATATTCCTACAATAAAACAGATAAAACAGAAAATTAATGATACATCATGAACTCATCTTCCAGCTATGTAACATAATTCTTTGAGTTTCATAGTCCAATAGTGTTTCTCGCCAACTAGAGACACTTAGAGACATCATACCCATCTGTGTGCAAGAAAAAATATATAGTATAATTTAAACTTTTTTATTCAGTCTATCGAGAACAGTAGACCGTCCCAAGATCTTCAACAACGAATCAATTACTTGAAAGATCATTTTACTCAGCAGATCTACAGAAATGTTTGTCGATCTTTATTTGAGAAAGACAAATTGCTGTTTTCTTTTCTTCTCTGTATTGGCATCGCCCGAGGAAGGTATGATATTTTTTATAATATTTAGAATTTCATGAACTTTTGCAGTATCAAATGAAATTTTAAAAATAGTGCTAATTTTTATATTTTTATGATTATTGAATTTCTTTAATGTAATTTTTGATGAATTTGTAACAGAAATGAGATTAACGACGCCGAATGGAAATTTCTGCTTACCGGCGGGGTGGCACTTGACAATCCATTTCCAAACCCGGCCTCAGCGTGGCTGACTGATAAATCATGGGCAGAACTTGTCCGTTGTAGTGATTTGCAGGAATTTAGTGGACTCATGAACCACGTTCGTGCAAACGTGAGTGTGATTTTTTTTTATTTCCTAAATAATGTGACATATTTGTTTTTTAATTACGCGAATATTAATGTAACAGGTGGATAAATGGCAAGCTTTGCATGATTCGAATACCCCACATTCCCATGAGTTTCCTGGAGAATGGAATGAGTTGAATAAACTACAAAAACTTGTAATCGTGAGATGTTTACGTCCGGACAAAGTCGTTCCTGCAGTCCAGGTAAGAGTCACGTGTGAATATGCTTGAGTATAACAACCAAACGCAATTTTTTTTTTTCGAATACAAATTATTTACCAATTTTTTTCGTTTTGTGGCAGGATTACATTGTTTCTGAAATGGGAGCACAATATATTGAACCCCCAACGTTTGATCTTGATGGTAGTTACCTCGATTCGGATGCATCAACTCCACTCATTTTTATTTTATCTCCAGGAGCAGATCCAATGGCAAGCTTAGTAAAATTTGCTGAGGAAAAAGGTATAAGGCTTGAGAGTGCAATCAGAATATTTTTTTGTTATCTGAGAAATTTGTGTTGTCGATCATTGTCATTATTCAATTCATAAACACAATGTTGCTGTATTTAATTTTTGCTATATACAACACTCAATTCTTGCACGTTGTTCCTTCACATCACAAAGTTCTAATACAAATAATTCATTGACTTGTTTTTATTTCCCTTCTTATTTTTCTTTCATATTTTAAAATATCACTTGTTCCCTTCACTTACTTGAGCATGTTCATTTTTTCTGTCTTTCATTTCATATCTCATGCACCTATCATCAGGAATTATTGAGCCTATTGGCAGCACTCACGCTTCGAGCACGCCAATAACACCTAAAACGCCAACATCTCGTAGATCTTCAATGAGGCCTTCATTCCCAGCTCTAGTTGAAGAAGTCACAGAAAGTTTGAAAGATTATAAAACAGATGATGATAAAAGCGGAAAAGCGGATTTTTCAAATATTGTTGAAGAAACTGAAAATAATATAGTCAATGGAACTTTCACAAACGTGACAGAGAATGGTTATGCTAAAAACAGGGAAGTTTTCAATGTGGACAATACAACTCTTGATACTAGTCCTGATGTAAAAGATGCATATTTGTGTCCACCTGGAAGAAATAAAAATATCGATTGTGATATTTTTGATATTAAGTCGGAAACTTCGAAACAAGACTATGATATTCAGAACGAATATCATGGCATCAAAATAATTGAAACTGCATGTCATAGTGAAACAGGGGGAAAACACACTGAAGAACAAATATCTCTTAAAACAAATATAACAAATACAAATATAAACGACACAGACCATGTTATGAACGACGTTTCACCAAAATCAACGATGGTTACACGCAAGAAAAAATTGTTGAAAATAAAAATAATCGATCCAGATCAAAATCAAATAGGAAATGAGTCAAAGACACAATCTGTATCAGACATGGCGGAACTGGAACAAGAACCTGGCGATTTTAAGCACGGTCAAGAAAATTCTCTTCCCGAAGATTTAAATTTTGATAACGACTCCAACGAAGGCATCGTCTACAGTACGTCAACGCACGTGCAAATTTCAATATCTCTTGCATGCATTTTTAGCCTGCATGTCTCTATTTTTTTATATTTAACCAGTAACTCGCACATTGCTCATTATTCAAGCTATTAACTTGCATGTTTCATTACTCTATCAAATATACTGCTCTTGAAGAATTGTTTGCATGAAATTTTAATTACATATTTTCTCCTCGGTCAATCACAACTGATAAAAATGTCTGGCATTAGATATGCATTTACTCGTAATGATTCAATTACTAATATTTAAACCGTACAACTACTGCATGTCTTCCTATAATACTTACGCCTATGCATAAATATGTTTACCCTTTTACAGGAATGTTTTCCGGCATGCAAACTATATCTCTCGGACAAGGTCAGGGTCCAATAGCAGCAAAGATGATAGAGTATGCGAGAATGCATGGCACCTGGGTTGTCCTACAGAATTGTCATCTGGCAACCTCATGGCTTCCTGAACTGAGGCGTATTTGTGAAGAGGTATAGTAATTACTTTTATTATCATTATAGGAATTATTATTCGGAATTCGCACCTAATTAAATAGTTTCAGTGGCAACGAGCAACTTTTAGATTTTTATTGATCATTGAATACAAACGGAAATTTTATTCAGGTTATCACCGATCATGCTACCACTAAGCCAGAGTTTCGTCTTTGGCTGACAAGTTATCCATCGCCAAAGTTTCCAGTGCCAGTTCTACAGAATAGTGTCAAGATGACAAATGAACCACCGAAAGGATTAAGGGCAAATTTGTTGAGATCGTACAGAAATGATCCAGTTTCAGATCCATTGTTTTTCCATGGATGCAGAGCGGAAAAGGTAGGTGATTCCGTGTTCGATTTAAAAGTTACAAATTACCACAGTTTGCGATAAGATTTTCTTTCTTAAGTGAACATGACTCAGTGGTTTACATAAAGTTTCAAAAAATATTTAATCATAATATAATTTTGTATCTAGGAATGGAAACCACTTCTTCTTTCACTCTGCTTTTTCCACGCAATCGTGCAAGAACGGCGAAAGTTTGGAGCTCTTGGATGGAATATTCCATACGAATTCAATGAATCTGACTTGAGAATAAGTGTTCGACAAACTCAAATGTTTCTCAATGATTACAATGAGGTCCCTTTTGTTGCTCTTAATTACTTGATAGGTGAGTTATTTTTATTTTCAAATTTAAATATACAAGAATGAATTCATTGCATTACATGTCCAATGACCTATTCCGCTTGTTATTTTTGATTTAAGGATTAATGAGCTGTTGTAGTTTTATTATATTGTGTCCTTTGGAATACAATACATAAATATATGACTCAACTGAATTGTGACATTGCCAAATCCGCTCTTTGCTAATCTTTATACATAATTTATTTCAGGTGAATGTAACTACGGCGGAAGAGTAACCGACAATCGAGATCGCAGATTACTGAAGAGTTTATTGGAGACATTTCTTTGCAAAGAAGTGATAGAAAACTCGGAATATAAGTTTTCTCCCAGTGGTTTGTACTATGCTCCGACTTTCACCAAACATCGAGAATATCTTGAATTTATCAAACAGCTACCTATAAACACTCATCCAGAGGTAAGAAACTAGTTATTTTATATAAATGTTACATACAATCGCGCAGTTTTTTCATTGTAATACATTCATGTTTCCTTCCATCAGACTTACATGCAGAAGGGCTGGTCATTAGAGAAAAGTCTTATCAACTTATAAGAATTGTGTTTCAGTTGTGGCGTAAAATCCAATCTATTTTGAGATATTTTCCCTACTTACATTCTGTACATGCATGTAACATCGCCAATGTAAATGATAACACGGCATTTGAGACGACTACTCCAACAGAAATTTTGTTGTGGCAGCTGTGTTTTACTCAAATTGTGATCTTCCCTCTCTAGATGTTTGGCTTACACGAAAACGCTGATATCTCAAAAGATCAGCAGGAAACTCAACAAATGTTCGACGGCATATTGTTGACATTGCCGAGACAAAATGAAGGCACCACTGCAACTCAGGTAAGTACAAAACTCAAAGCTTTTGTGTCTGTTCATGGATATATTGAAATCAATTTCAAGCTGTAATCACCGATATATTGTCTGTTTCACAAGAATTCCCTCTTGTAGAAAATTATTTCCAGTTCATACTCAATCTAAATCTACCGATAAAGTTCTGTTTTTATCCTATTTCTGCACTAATAACATTTTTTAGAATCTTGTCGAGGATCTTGCCTCTGACATTTTATCAAAGCTACCTACGGATTTCGATACGGAAGAAGTCAAGAAAAAATATCCAACAGATTATTCCGAGAGCATGAATACCGTTCTTGCTCAAGAATTAATCAGATTCAACAATCTCACACAAGTAGTCAGAAACAGTCTTCAAGTAAGATAAATATTTATTGTAATTTGCTACATCTAAATTAAGTCCATTTTTTTGTGCATTTGATGTTGCGATTTTCCAATATCTCTGGATTTTTAGGTATCCATTTTGCAATGCAAGTACCGATACTAAATATTGTCTTTTGCTAATAGCTTTTTATGAAGAAGTTCGATAATCACATATAGTTTGTTTTATGGAAAAATGAATTGTATCGTAGTGTTATATGTGTTAACTAGTGAATGAAGCCTTACTATTCACTTTCATATCTATTCCATTTTTTGTTTCAAATCCTTCCATGCTTTGTTGATATTTCAATAGCCGCTAAAGTGAATTTCGACATTGTTACCTGCTAAATATACAATTTTTTTTATTTAGGAGTTAAAAAGAGCTTTGCGTGGTCTCGTTCTCATGTCTGCAGAACTGGAAGATGTGTTGTTAACTAGTGAATGAAGCCTTACTATTCACTTTCATATCTATTCCATTTTTTGTTTCAAATCCTTCCATGCTTTGTTGATATTTCAATAGCCGCTAAAGTGAATTTCGACATTGTTACCTGCTAAATATACAATTTTTTTTATTTAGGAGTTAAAAAGAGCTTTGCGTGGTCTCGTTCTCATGTCTGCAGAACTGGAAGATGTGTTGGACAGTATGCTTGTAGGCAAAGTACCCATACTTTGGGCAGCAAAATCATATCCTTCTCTAAAACCTCTGGGAAGCTACATAACAGATCTAATAGCCAGACTGCAATTTTTCAGAGTAAGTAGGCATAAGCACCTATCTTAACGATAGCTGATATTTTCCGACTGGATTCAGAATTCCGACTGAATAATGATTGTTTTTGCTATTGTAATTTTTGATTTGCTAAACCTACTATTTGAGTATTTTAATAAGTTAAATATGACTTGTTTAGTGTTTTCCTTATAAATATATCTAATAGCGACCCCATTAGCTCATATAGTAAATTTTGCAATTATCGTACGCTGATTCTAAATATGTGACTGTATTTTCTCTTTTTAGAGTTGGATGAACGGTGGAAAACCAGACGTATTTTGGATTTCTGGATTTTTCTTCACCCAGTCTTTCCTGACAGGAATATTGCAAAACTATGCGAGAGAAAATCGTATCTCGATCGATAAACTCGATTTCCGTTTTGAAGTACTAAGCAATGAAAACGATTCAGAAAAGGTTACATTTTGTGACAATTAATAAATGAAGTTAATAGGTTGTATGAAGTCTCAGAGAAAAAGTATTGAATCTGGACAAATGCACAACGTTCTTATGAAATTAAGCTAAGTTTGGAGGCAACGGCATTTGCATTTGAATATTTTAATATTGCCTCTTATTATTCGATAATAATTAATACAACAACATGAGCTGACATCAATCATAAATATTATATATGCATGTCAATATTATTATTTGATTTGTGATGTATTATATTTGAAGGCATCTGGTGTACGTGTGAATGGTTTATATATGGAAGGAGCGAGATGGTGCAGAAAAGAACAAACAATTACTGACAGCAAGAAAAAGATTCTTTATGATGTTTTGCCAACCGTATCCTTTTTTTTCTAAATAAATTAAACCAATGTAACTGATTTGTCTAACATTGTAAGATCAAGAAAGTGAATCACAATTTCTTCCATCTTTATGTATAGGCTACTTGACGCATAAGTAGTTGTAATAACTAATCTTATTTTACAGCGTTTAAAAGAATTAGACTTTACAACATATTTAAAACGTTATTTCGAGTTTTGAGTTGTAAAAGCGCTATTTAGCGCTGAATAATGATGTAGAACAATAGATATCATATTCTGGAACAAAACATACTTCAACTCAAAAAGAAAACAATCACATGGCAACCACACACTCCTTGAGTGCAAACTGTATGACGCCATATTAGTTTGTGAACAAAGAAAAATCATCTCGATTGTTTGTTTAAGTCAAATTGAAACGTGTGTTGTAGACTTTGTAAAATGTCAGTGGTATGTTTTTGTTATCTTCAAAATGAAGTTCAATTACAACGTTATGTTAAGTTTATATTGAAACCACGGAGATAGGATGTTATTTGAAGATCGTCAGACGCCAAAACGTCATCTAATTCAAGCTTATTTTAAATAACAGAAAAAAAATTTGTTGAAATCCTATTACATTGGTGCATAGTAAATATTGTATAATTGAAAAAAATTGAAATGTTGCTTAACAATATATTGCAACATTTTTCAGAGAAATGACGAAGATATATTGATTAAAATTTTCATATTATTACAAACGTAATGTATTTTTTTTCAAACAAAGGTTTATAAGTAACATTCTATCGAATCTTATCTAGGTATACAACCGATTGAAAAATATAATTTTTATATCCTATCGAAAAGCAATGATAAATAATTTTTCTCACATTGATTTCTGTATAACTACAAACCGACTAACTCTTTTAAACCAGACAGAGGATTTTCCGAATATTGAATTGAAATTTCTTTTTCCAAGTACATATCTATAAATTCTGTTCTTTATAATTTTTTGTTTTTACTGATAAAATTTGTCAAATAGAGCAAAAATAATTGATGATATTTTTATCAACCTTAATCAAAACGTAACAGATTTTATTGCAACCGAGGAGAATTGAAGAAATAAATAGTTCTGTAGATTCAGAATATGATTGCCCGGTTTATAAAACAAGTGCGAGGCGGGGGCTGCTATCAACAACTGGTCATTCAACAAATTACGTTTTGACGATAAAGTAAACCTCGTGTATTTTACTACACACAAACACAATTAAGACTTACTTTAAATTTTGAAAATGTTTTACAGATTTCCGACGAAAGTTCCAACAAAACATTGGGTGAATCGAGGAGTTGCTTGTCTTTGCCAGCTTGATGACTAACGATATATATTTCCTGGTTCAACCTACTTTCTTTATGAAAAAAAGCGATAAATTCAATAAGATCACTCAACTGTTGGAGAAGAACTAATACTGGATAATTAAATTAAATTAGAATATCTGATCTATCCAAGTGTTCCCAGATGATGCGATACCGCGTGATAGGAGATGATTAAAATTCGTTGGTTCTGATTATCGCTCTCCCATGACAGTGATTTCGTCGAAATTACTTATTTAGATTGTGTATACTATTTGCATATACAATATTTTTAGAGATACTGTAAAGATTTTTTACAAGAACGTTCAACTCCTGACCAAAATCCCGAAGCAAATTTAGTTTGTTATGACCGTACTCACCTAAAACTGATGTGAAAGTAAATAAAAATTACAAGAACACGGTTGGGCAAAATCCAATTGCTAGAATAAATCAGAATTGAAGCGGACAATGTATATTACGATCAGAAAGAAGACTTTGGAATAAATCTGAAATTCTTTTTTTCACGCCCTATGTTGGTTACACCGATTGCTTTAATTTTTGTTGATTTTGTTAGTACTATTCAGTATACTAGCTTTATTACCACCACTGTATTTAAATAAGTCATTGCCCACTTTAATTATTTGGTATATTTGTAACACTGTTAAATATTTAATATGTTAGCTTGGCAAAAGCACTGTTACTTTCAATCCTGCATTTATTCAATTAAATCAGATTTGTTCGTTATTTGTTATATAATAAGATATATATTTATATGCTCAAACATATGGACACGAGGGGGCAATAACTTACCGCACTATTAGTAGCCTACGTGATTTTTACTGAAATGTGACTGAGGACATCCGTGACGTAAGAGATCACGCTTGGTGGAATAAAAATAGTGAATTTTCATGAATTAAAGTTAAACAGCGAAATTTTCAATGAAATACCGAATCTTATAACACTCACCCAAAATTTGATAAACAGTAATAGTCTTCTGGCGACTACTACAATCTTCTATCCATTTAATGACTATTTGAAGTAAAACTTATAGTTCTCTCATTCGGCGCATAAAGCGATTTTTTCGTATAAAAAGTCTTCTAACAACAACAAGACCAACAACAACAACGATCGAGCAAAACGATTCCTATAGCTACTTCATGTCCAATTAATCTTTTTATTCATTTTTTATTAAATTGCACTTGCGAATACAATTATCACTTGCGTACTAGATTACACACTTTGCGATTGATGGAAATATATATATAAACCTATATTTTCGACTTTTATTTGAATAATGGAATATGGGGAAATACATTATATAGGGGAAGGAAAGTCATTGATAAATCGAGTATAAGACAGATATTAGTCTGAAGCGTATATTTAGTCTAATTAGTACTAAGTTTGTTATTTTTAAAGTCAAAAGATTTTAGTTTGTTGAATTGTATTCAATTCACACAAGTACACAACAAAACAAGGTGGTTAGAAGTGAATGTTGCGCATGTGTGGTATATCTATATAACTTGTAGATCGACGGCAGCCGTACATTAGAGATTCTAGGTGATTCCATACACAAAATTAGCAATCTACTTCAACTCTATAAATAAGCTTATCACCATACGCATATATTACAAAAGTAGAGTAAAATTTATTATCCTATAAGTTTACACACCGCTATTTTTTATCAATATAATATATCAAAATTACAGAGTATTTTAATGGAATGGCATCTCTATGATTGTTTTAATAGAACATATTATTCTTCACTGTACTAATATACACACATTAAATGGGCATCAGCTCTGGAAACCGAGATTTCTGCTACAAGTACTAATTTAACTTAGGTTTACATGTATCAGGCTTTCGTTTTTGAACCGACATCAATAAATAACAATAATAAAATAAAGTGAATTTCAACTACACTGTCTTCGAGGTGTTGTTGCTTATCTATTACTTTTAATAGAAAACGTATTAAACAAGCGATAGAAGATAAATCTTTGTGGTTTATTCAACGCACTATACAATGCTGACTAAATAAACAATTGAAATTTGTAATACAGATTACACCGACTTCTTTGGGATGATCACAAAGAAATATTCTTGACGGGGGGTGAAGCATCATAAAGCTTTTGCCTAGTTTCATACAGTTTCCAGAATTCCCACTTTTGTAGTCTCCGTTGGGAACGTAATATTTCATTATCGTCAGAATTGCCATATTATAAAAAGGTGCGCGTATCATAATTCGTAGAAGTAAAATAAATTGGCAGAGCAGTAAATGGAAAAATGGTATTGGGAAGTTTGGAATTATGGGAATTACAGAAGTACTTGTGTAAACAACGTTCTTAAGTTAGGGTTGCTTGTAGTTTTTCTTCTTACTAAGCGCAACTTATTTGATAGCAGGAATCTGTGTTGTTATTAATTTTGAAATTTCCTATCATCTCAAAAAACATGTTACTGAAATTTTTGTTTTGTGTCTTCTACAGACTGGATTTATTCTAAATTTACTGACTGCGGTACATGTTATTATATTTGTTATATGTTTACGAGCAATGTCATTTAGAAGCACTTATTCATTCATTTGAATGGGAGCTCATATATTCTTTTAAATGGCAAAGTTATCACTATACATGCGTTCCAGCTCAAAAGAAGATAATACGTTCTTCCAGTCTCTCTTAGGACCTAATCCAAAGTTTTAACTTACAAGTGATTTTATATGGGTGTTTTATTACGATCTTCTTGCAGTTTCTATTGCATCTGAGATATCAGAAGTCATTGCCGGTTATATCCAATAAAAATTAATCGATCGATTTATTTTGGGGTTTCACCTAATTAAGTGGATATTGATAAGGTTAGCTTATTTTATGGGTGGATAACCATCTCATGCAATTTTAAATATATTTTGTTGTATTTTGTACTTTAGTAGCAGCATACAGATACTAGGATTTGTTAGTTCTAACAATTTGCTGAACAATATATTGAGAAAAATCCCCCCCAATAAAATCTGTACCAGCAAAAGTGAGTATCAGGTGCATCAAACTTTTATGATATAAGCTCATAGAGTGAATACTATTATGTTAATATTAATTCGGATGAGCCGCAAATAGAATAGCATCAAAAAAGCTAAATGCAATTTACTCATGTCAGATATATAAATATACATATTCTAACAGTGTCTAAGTAAGACTAAGAGCTGATTTTGCTTGACGAGCACTGTCGTTCAAACAAATGTTGAAATGAAGAAATGAAAAGGTCAAAGAAGTGTACTCAAAGCCGTTACAGCGGATTATTATCTTTGTAATCAAACTCTGGTAGTCAAAAAAGAAAAACTGACAAAATCGGCGTTTTCGTTTGTTTGAACTTCCATAATAGCAATATTCATTCGAGATGTGTATGGACAAATTTATAGCAACTGAGTTCCGAACGCCATTTGGATCTTTCACTGGGAAAGACGTGAAAGCATTTTTAAAAACTTTCTCGGATATTATAAAGGCTGTTGTCGCAAGAGGCCTTTATGCTGTATATGCACTTTTGGCAGTGTGGCGTGTTACAGTCGCTTTACAAGAACCTTTGTACTGGTTTCTGCTATTTTGCATTATTCTCATAGCGACTGAAGCATTGCACACAATTATTGAACGTAAAGGAGGAGAACTAAAATGGTAAGTGACTCATGGTTTGTTATTTTTTTAAATATGAATATAAACAGTACAGACAGGCGAAATTAAATTACTTACGAGAACAAGTACATATATTGACTGACCATATTGACTGTCCGGCCAGAATTGAATGAATATTGTTCGATGCAGTGCTCGAGCACTTGTCCTGGTCCAACGAATGGGACACCAAAAGGGCACCGGAGTATTTGTGAGGTATATAAGTAGTATAAGTACCGAAGTATAAGTGTTGTTTAAAAAGAAACATACAAGCATCTGGGTAAAAATGACTCGATAGCGACTGGAGAAATCCTATGATTTTTAATATCATCAGTATATTAGAATCAATTGACTTTGTAAGAATCAAAGTACGTTTTATTACTCGATAAAAGTAAAATGAACGCGCTCTAATTTAGTTTTATTCTAGATTCTACACTGCAGTTTGTACTACAGTTTGTTTGAAACTAAGTCACGTTTTTGTAAACAGTCTAAATAAATTGAGGATTAAAATAAATATTCTAGAGTATGTAATTTAAATAATGATATTCGACTTGATAGGACATGTGTACGTGCAGAAATACTATTCTTTGTCACATCAAATTTCACCTTTCGATAGTCGGATGATTACAGTCTTACCGCAAAGAATAAGAAGTGCAAATCGAATGTGCGATTTATAACTGATTTTTATAAAAAAAAAAAAAAAATGAATTCGCAAATAAATTTTAATAAAACAGGATAAATTCTCGAAAAGTGCTCAAGTGTTATACAATATTCATCTCAATACTCCGCCCATGTTGTAAAAACAACGGCGACAATAGTCACGCCATCTTTTTGTTCGAAGTTTTTGCCAAATCAACAAGGATTATGTTACGGTTAATTCGAACAAAAAGAATCATAAAGGACTTGGTTAGAAGAAAACAAAATGAATATATAGATCCGGTAACAGAACAACAAAATAGAACAAGAGACCGATGCTCAAATATATGTACCCAAAGCTTCAATAACTACTCGCAGCACCAGTATGATTAGCCCATGACCGACCACCGAACTCGCAAAGCACCTATAATGACTGACTGACAAAATGTTGATTATTTTTCAGGATCACTCCTAGTGTTTTCTTCTACCTAATATGTGCTGTTCCCCCAATATGGCTTCTAGAACTCAAATTATTAAAAGACAGACAAGAAGGTACAAATCAAACAATTGAGAGTAACGTGGTGAGATTTTATTATTGTTTTTGCGCGAGAAAGTAAAATCTATAAATATGACGATTATGCTAGGAAGACGCTAATAGAATCTGCATCAAAAATGACAAATATTTTGTTATCTTCTCGAAATACGTCGTTTGAGAAATGTCCACCAGGTACAGATAGTAGCGTCAATATTTTCAACGCGTTGTATCGAGAATACGCGATATCAAGTCAAAACACCCCTGTCTTAGCAAGAAGTGAAACTTTAATCAATTACAAACAATGCCCCTCTTTATTATGTCCTAGCAGGAGGTCGATGAAAAGTTTTTTCACGTTACATCAAGTTTCAATGAACAAACCTGTATTGTCTGTTTCAAAATGAGAATGCTTAAATGACTTGACGATTAATGAGCATAGTGATTGATCGGAAGGTCATTAAAGAACATTGATCGTTCCACATAAACTCGGTCGCCCAATGATTCTAATATTCTTGATTTGAAAAAATATATTTCCAATACACTACATAAAATCTTTTATTGAGTCATAGTTAGCAAAAAATCATACATTTCGTAATTTTCGTTTCATAGGCAAATTATCAAATTGTATAAGTGTCTGATTTTGGTTAAAGAAAGAGAAATGAAATGGAACTCAATAAATGGCATATTTCCCTCAATGTTTCAGATAAATCTTGACCTATCAGACGAAGGATGGACGCTCGCATTGGAACAAATATTAATTTTTGCCCTTGTCTTTGGAAAATGGATTGCCCCCAAAGGAGAGTTAACACGAGATCAGTTTTCCCAGTTGTTATTGGTGAATCTTGGAGCAGGAGCTGATATAATCGAACTCTTAGAAACTTTCAATGAAGATGAGGTAATATATTGTGATAAAGCCTGATATTGAAGACATTTTATCTTTTTTTCTTACTTTTATCTAATTATATTTTTTCTCTTTATTATGAAAAACTACATACGATGCCTTTACCTACAAAGGTTCATCCATATATATTTTTAGTGACAGACAGAATGATATAATACAACACCAAACATAAATGTTGCATGTTGAAAAGAAGCGAATTAGTCCATTTAAAACTTATTTTTGGTTTTCTCAAAAATAAAAATAATCAATTTTACAGGTTCGTGAAAATGCTCAAATTGTATATTTGATAATGTCAGTTTGGAGCTGGAGTTTGCTGCAATTTTGCATTGTTCCTACTGCGTACAAAGAATTGCCAGTTATTGAAGAATCACTCTCTAAATGCGATCAGAATTCTTCCAAACAGTCCTCAGTGACAGAAATAAACGAAGAAAGCAGCGAAGTTGAACATCATGAAATAGAACACATCGACCTAAATGCAGAAACCAAAAGGAACAATGGGGTTGCCATTCCAGAAAGGTCAAAAAGAAAAATTATTCTTCGATCTCAATCAGAAGGAATTGCTCATACAATAACAAAACTATCGAAAGCCCAAGGACTGGTAAAAGGTGAATCAGTTGGTTCTTCTTTGTGTACAAAAGGGGATTCCCTAGGGGGAAATCCCACCAGAAGTGATAAAATCGTCCGTGATATAACTATGGAATCTAAACACGGCAATAATTCGAGCATTTCTGGCAAACGGGAAACAATCGCCAATGGAAATCTTGAACACTCGATTGAAAATGAATTAAAAGAAGGTAATGAAAAGATGGATGGATTTCCAGTAACTGAGGGAAATGATATAGATTTACAAGATGAGATAGATTCAAATACAAATAATAATGTGATCATTGATTGTATGAACAACCCGTGGGATCATATCATCCTAGTTGAGCATGACGAAAAAGATGACTTGAAACTAGAAGACGGAATCACAGGGTGGATAACAGGACAAAAATGCTGCGTTTGTTTCTGTTGCTTCACGGAAATATGGGGAATGATTCTAAGTCTCTTGTTTCAAGACATTCCGTTTCTTATCACTCGTCTTTTTATTATGTTCCATTACAATGTTGTTAGTCACATGACAGTGTTCTTTACATTCAAAAACGTCGTTATAATTTTATTACTGTTGAATCGCATCCGGGTGGTGGTGCTAGAAGAACACTCGAACTGGAAGAAACACATGGATGAAGCGACAAGAGTGCGGAAAAGAAATGAAGAAATACTGAGGGAACAGAGGCGAAACGATATGAACCATCCAGATGCACATAAATTGCTACCCACTCCTGAACCTCTCAATGGCAATACACCACACGACCAAACCTATGATGGTGATATTGCAGAAACAGTAAATGAAACAAAATCTGTGTCTCGCCAAAACACAAAATGGTTCAAGAAACCAAAATGGCGCTTTTGGCGCACATAACAATAATTTCCGCACCAAGATCGCAGTTGCGTCAACAAAAGTTTTTATTGTGCGCAACGTGTGTTTGCGTCATAAACATTGAAAAGACAAATACAGAGTGAATTGTATACACGTTATGGTGTGATTTATAATCCGTGCTTAAATATATATATCGCATATGTTTGATTTGAATTTTCATTCAATATGGCATTATATTTCAATAAATTGTTAATTGGATGTTGGCTGCGTCATGGGTACAAAGAGCATTATCAGAGTTATGCAAGGATTATTACGCCTATGCCTAAATAAGAATGATTGCTAATCAAAACACGTACATGCCAACAACTTTTGGATAATTACATTCGTTTTCAGAGAAATTCGTGACTCTATCAATGCAACAAGTTTGATTTTGTAGGAAAACATAGTGCAGCCTCATATACTCCTGAATAGTATTGAAAAACAAAGATTCAAAATATACCACGACAGTATCATTTGTAGACATGGGTAACGAAATTACCACGTCTCGCTCGGTTGCTTGAAATTTTTTAATTTCATGCGAGAGTACCCGAGATGGATCTTTGCATCTGCCAGCTATTTCAGCATTTTCTTCAGTGCATTAACATTCACAAAAACAATTTTGAAACAGAAGATAACTTTCCAAGATATAGGAAAGGTTACCGATTTGATGCAACGAAAGTCATTTTATACGATCAAGCATTGAGAATGGGTTCAATTTATGACAAGAAACGAAACCATAAAACCGCCATTATCGTGTTTCTCCCAACTATAATCAAAAAGCATTTTACGAATTTAATAAATTTCTGCTCATTTACAGATTTTTATACCGCACAAACTTCTACATGAAAATGTTTGGGAATATAGTATAGATAGCATTGACTTCTAATAATTAGAATCATTCCATATTACCATAATTTCATTGTTGCGTATTTATATTCAAACCAGGCTTTCTTGGTTCTGATCCAATAAAATTGTTTTTTGTCTGATGAAGTAAAATATATATAACTGTTTAGACCAGTCGTCATACCGAAACGTTGTATTTAGGAGTAAGGGTGTATGCTGGTAAACCGCACCTCGTGTAGTAAACACGTAAATTACCGTTAGTGATGATGTATGGAAATCCTCAAATTTGTACGAAAATAGAAATTTTTCCGTCTCATAGTCACAACACGCAAATTGTCACGTCCATGCGTATACAAAAAGGTAGGTCTACCCAAAAAATAAAATACCGGCGTTAAAAACTTAAGTTATGAAATTAAACATGGAATTAGCAACTCTTTTAATATCGAGACCCACCCCAGTGGACTATTATTTGTAGACAACGCTACATGTTAGTAAGGGGATGTGGTCATCGTTGACTTGACATAAATTAACATTGCGCAAAACACCGCAAGCTTCGGAATGAATGTCAGTAAACAAATGAATAGAAATCATTTCTTGTAACGATTACCAGTGTATATAATCCGGTCGAGTTCGGCCTTGTGTAGGGTTTGAATATGAAATCAGGAAACAACGATTATGCTTAGTACATACATACACTCTGCCGAAGATGATAACTATTATTTGTCGGGTTTGCTCTCGCGTATGCTACGATTTGGTGTTTTACTGGTTTCTTGTATTGAAAAATACAACCTGCAACTATGAGAGTTTGAAAATCGTTTGTAACTTTAATGTTTGAATTTCACCATACATAATCCAAATTATTCTAGAATATTAGTTTTAAACGTGTGGCGACATACAAGTCAAAGTGATATCGATTCGCAAACATAAAATTGTTCACATTGCATATGAACCACGAGACATTGCGACTGACAAATGACTTCGTCAAACCTTTTAAATGTGAGTACTAAATACAGGATAATTAATATCTATATATAATTAATATTAGCATAACACCCATTTGACAGAACGTCCACTACAAAATTCTTTTTTTCATCTTGATCAATTGCGGATTGAATATTCGAGAAATAAGTACAGCGAATGTGTCAATGTCACTGTTTATTGAAAAGATGACACGAGTATTTCATTCGCACGTGTTTGTCAAGGATGAGTCGTAAGAATACACAAACATACCGACATAAGTCAAAACAAGCGCATCCGTAACAAGACCGCAATGACAAGATACGTGCCGTCACCTCTAAACAACTTTAAAACTAATTTGCAAACCTCCGATAAACCACAGCAAGTTAAATAAGGCGCAAATACAAGCACGTGGAAATATCAACAAAGGAAGTTAGTACTTCAGTAGGAGCAGCAAAATTAACAAAGTCTTTGTAATCCTCGGAATATGAGTGGATTAGCACAAAAATCCGGGTATTATATTTACATATACTAAAACTTTTATATGACAGTTAATTTATTCCTGCAGTTCAAATGAATTTCGTGGACTCTTCAAAATAGTATTGTGTAGCATTAATATTTAGTATTATATGACTGGCGTGAAATTTTACATTTCTCAATTTCTTCTGGCAATTAACGGTCGGTTGAGAAATCGCGGTTTTCCTGAAAAACAGCATTAGAATGCTTTTGCATCTACACAGTTTCATTCCTTTCACTCCTATCTTTTAACCATGCTTCGGGTAATCTTTCACATATAAGTTTAAATTAAATATATGCTATTGATAACACCATTCAAAGGGCTATTTTTATACATTGAAATCGACCTAAAGTGACTACAATTCTTCAAATCATTCGAAAAACTTTAAACTTAGCAAATTTAAATAAGATATAGATAAGTGATATTATCACTTAGAAACTTTAGTGGTATTGATGAAGAGAAAATAGGAATAATTCTCCTTCTGTAACTCTGCAGCATCGTCATGCTACGAATGAAATGTGAATACTAGTAAATCCCATTTGTTTACTTTTCCAAATGTGAACATATTCTATTTTAAGGACCACGAGATTAAATTTTGGAGTCAATGTTATGTTTTCAGCTGTCGTGTTTTGTAAATGACTCGAAAAAGATTGATTAGCACCTAAAGATGTTTTTTGTTTGCGTCATTTAACTCGGCAAAGATCTCATATTTATTTTTTACTGTAATTTTATGAATGTAAATAAAAATCTGAACAAATTACCTACCCACGAAGCATGAAGAGAATGTTCATAACCCTCAGTAGACATTCATACAAGCTACTCAACTCGACCAATCGTTATGGTAATACAAATGCATATCGTGACAGAAAATGTTGTTTGATAGTAAAAATCTCAAACAGAATTGACCAAAGTCTACTGCAAAGATAATCTACTAGCCCAACACATATATTACGTTTTATGCCTATAAATATTGCACTATTGCAAAGTCATTTTAAAATTTAATGAAAAGTGCGAATCACATTATATGTGTTTAGTACGCCTACACAAATATGCAGAATTTGATTATTGTTTAACATGTCAAGGTTTTTTGCGGACGATACATGGCTTACAAATTAAGTTAATTTTTCATCGTGGGTTTGTACGAGAAACTCATTTTTTTAATTTCAATGATCCGCCAATTTCTCCTCGGGTGCAGAAACTAGACTACTGCAAGAGCAATGGTATCACATTATAGGTGTGGTCGACAATGTTTTATGTCAACGATTCGGTCCACCTGAAAGATGTGCTGCCAATTGAATTTCAGTATAAACATATATAATTGCTCTACTGTTGTACTTGGATATTTCAAACTAGCGCTCCAAACTGAAGTATGTGAACCCAAATAAGAATTGTTCATGTTTACTTTTCACAATGATACTCAAAAAAGAATTTGGCCAGACCTGGAACATGTAAATGGATTATACGCTTGTGTGTATATTTAGTAAATATTTTTTCTATTTTTCTTATAATAAAAAAGTCTCTGCTAAAATTTTCATCTGAGTATTAATTATATTATTGGGCAACATGATCATGGTACGTCCAATTTTTGAAAAAGGTATCGAATTTATATGCTCGGTATAGAGTTCTCATCAACAAGAAGGAATTTGCAGTGTATGTAATCTATTTCACAGCACCCATGATTTGAATGGATGGATGGCTTTTTTATTAAGCCATAATTGAAAAAATCAACCAATTTAAGTATGTCGTGATGAATATAAAAGAATTTTGCAATCTAACAAACCTAATTTTGTATATTCGTCATTTATTAATTCTTAATTATTTGCAAGCCAAACTTTTTCTTCTATCTGAAAAAAATACTCTCACAAATTGAGTAAGAAAACGCATTGCGTCACATTCATCACCCGCACTCACAGGGAAATATTCTGAAACCCTTTGAATTAAGTTAATTAACAATTTCAAAATAAATTTAAAAACCTTTTTAAGTCTTCACTACTTACATCAATGGATTAATATAACGAAAACAAACCAATTAATTTGAATTCACTTTTCCAACAGAACGAAAGCAGTTTGTATTCTAACTTATTATTTGAATGCAATTACAGACAGAGGCGAAGGGAATGAGGACAACAACGTGAATCTTAAAACGTAATTACGCAGACAACATTTCTCCATATGTGAATCAAATCGTTACGGAATGTTTTCAGCGTCAGCGATTTACCTGCGTCACTGCGTAGTGGAAGTCACGTCCTTACGTGATGCGTACAAAGCATTTTTTACTTTTGCTATATAATACCGTAATTGATCTATAATTAGAATAATCAATTGTTTTGAAAAAAATTGAACTGTGCGTTTCGTGGGACTGCGTGATACATTCACTTAATGTTCAACTTGATTTTATATAGACTAACGATAATAATATATATTAAAAATTGAATTCAACTTAAATTCATTGATCCATAATATTCTTTTTTGTTGTGTGAACGGAGAGTTTGGAGAAAAAGTAAATATTTTTTCGTGAAATTATCAGTGATTTTTCAACTTCAATACATTCGAAATTTGCATAAATATGCGGGATATTTTGAAGACGTCAACATTCTACACCGATTTCTCTAAAGTATAAGCCTTCGTTCCCTCGAACGAACGTGTGTGAATTCAACGCAAACTTTATCCAGTCTCGAAATATTGAGGCAATTTTGACATAAAACAATACTTTAATACTTTATATCAAATAAAAACAATATTATTTTAAACGGACTAAATGACTATTCTTCGAATTTCATTTACTTTTCTGCTTGTAATAGCCTATGTAGAAGGAAGACCTACTATGACGAAAACGGTGAGTCAAAATTGTTACTTATATTATTAATATTTAGCTAAACTGAGTGCTATTTTCTCTCAATAATGCATTTGTTTTTGACAATAAAAATGAAAAGCGTTGTTATTTACAGCAAAAACTAGGGAAGTTTGATGAACCACAACGAGTCCAAAAAGTCCAGTCTTTACCGCTTTCCATGCATCTCAACTACCACTTTCTTAATCTAATATAATTTTATTATTAAATGCAATTTGAGGTCACTGCTCTTTGTTTATTTTCAAAGCACTAAAATAAACTTGGTATCAATGAACGACGAATATTTATTTGTTTGAAATTATTGGATTTTAAAATTGCTGTTGGTCACAAGCTCTGTTTCGATTTGAGTATCGTTTTTCCAAAATACTAGGACTGAAAGATTAATAAATTTGATTTGCTTTCATTATTTATGTTTTGTTTAATTTATACAGGCAACGACTACAAATACACTATCTTTGGAACAAAATATGTTGGAGGAAGAAACGAAATTAAAACAAATACAAGAAGACGATTCCGAAACTATGTCAATTCCAAGTCGCCGAAAACGGTCGTTTGGACCTTGTAAACAATATTTACTAAGATTCAGAAAAGCTACACCACTGAAGAAAATTAGGCTTTTGTTGTACGTATATTTTGTATAATTAATCGAGTAGAACGGATCGATGGATGTCTCAGAGTTGAAAGCTTTGCTCGACTGTAAAACTAATGACTGATGACTATAGCAGAACGCCTCAGATATGTGGAATTTGAGTGAAAACTTTCGAACGCCTTATTCGTGCAGGCAGATATTCACATTATTGCTGAGCAAACTTTATAAAGGCTTATGTTTATTTTGTTACAGTCGTGTAGAAAGAAACCATCTCGTTTTAAATGAATATGGTCATCCAATCAGTTTTTTTCATAACCACCCGGTACCTTATCTATTAAATTATATATTTCTGCCTATTTTTAAACTTAACTTTTAACATTTAATTTTTCAGGAGGTCAAACATACGGAATATATGTGGAAAACGTTTCTTCCGATTTACTCGTGAACTTACCCTACTGGATTGTGCAGATGGATTTAATTGCAGTTGATGATGTCATTATTCATCAAAATTGATTGAGATTCTATAATTTAAATTTATTATCATTATTGCTGATATTTTACTGTGAACAGAGCTTTCGCACATATTTATATAGTTATTTAAAAATGCACAGTCTAGTCCAACGATAAAACGAATTTAATACGGTACTCACTCATGTTTATCATTATAAGTTCCTACGCCTTTGATATGATGTATGCTATGTCAAACGTGATTATTTAAGTAATAAAACCTCTTTGAAGTTACATTTAGTGTTTCAAAATTATGTTCAGATCGAAGTTGGAAGAATTTGTTCACAGATCTCCCAGTTACTTTGAGTTATGACCAAAGCTTAAGCCATAAGGGGACTGCTCAAAATCGGTGAAAGCATAGTCTCTTATAGTCAGTTTCTCATCTTTTCACTCAGAAGCCAAGTTATTTCAAAAAATCTTATACATCTTAATTGCACTACTGGCGATGTGTAAATATCATTGAGACTAAGTTTCAATAGACAAAAGTCAGCAATTCATAATTGTACTCTGTTAGCAATAATAGAGAATAGTCAGAAATAGAAAATTTCACTCCAAATAATAATATTGAAAACATAACAATTGAGATGGGCTAGTGCAGTGTTTCCAAACTTTTTTCTGCCAGCGCCTCCTCGGAGACCTTTTGGCTAACAAACGCCCCCTGACTGAAAAGTAGAAATAAATTTATTCTTCATTTATTATTAGTCTAATTAGATGGATGAGCCTAGCGAAAGGCCGCCAGCACATCAATAGCCGGCTTCATTTTAGTCAAAAACAATCCTATGTTTCTCAAATATATATGTCAAATACGGTTCCTCTTGCCATCTAGAATCGCGGTATGGCACTCGAGTATGAGCTGCGGGAGGAAATTGCGGGAGAAATTGCAGGACCGTTATTTAATTTACTGTCATTATCGGCTCAAAGGTACAGAAGGCGTCTTATAATCCAAGACAGCAACCAGAACTTACTTTGCTGATGGTGGGTTAATAAATCGGAAAACACATTGCTATTGGCTTTTTTAATTCGAAAAATGTAACATTTTTGCTTGATTAACCCGGATGACAATAAACGTAAGCCATGCGCTAGACCTGTATTATAACGAAACAATACAATAGATTAACATAAATCATAATATTTAACGTTAAACGAGCAATTCCAAACACCAAAATAGATAAGTAAACAAAAAGATGAAACTGGAATAAATAAAAATGTCAAATACTATTACATTTCGTGTAAGTGCCCGATTTGTTGCCAGCGCCCCCCAATTGCCCTATCTGATAGTCAGCGCACCCCAATCGCCCAATTCGCAGTCAGCGCCCCCACAGTTATCGCAAACGCCCACAAGGGGGCGTTTTCGCCCACCGCTGGGCTAGTGGATAAAGCGCTTGATGTAACTATGTTGTCATCGCAGGTTGAAGGTCTCGAGATCTAACTTCAATCTGGGCATAATTAGTTGGAAGGGAAGTGCTGAGCCGTAAATAGTCTAATGGGTGCTCCAGAAGTATGCGCACTAAGATGTCGCACAATCTGAATCCTAACCGGTACACACATACTATGTTTAGCAGATTACATAAATCTTTGTTTGAAGTAAAATACTTTTTTCTAACGTGTCTATAAAAACAAAATGCTATTTTATTCGTGAATAACTACATAATTCCATATACCATACAAAAAATGTGAAAAATATTTGATTCGTGCGACATACTGTAGCGCAATTATGGATCAATGTGTTGCCAAAGGTTTTTCAAATTCCATAGTGGTTCGTTGAGAGAAGAATACCCTTAATCACAGAAAACTGTATAAACTATCTAGGCTTCAGCTGCTCACAGAATACATGACAACCCTAACCCTAACCCTAATTTGTCTTTTGTCTCCTATCTGGAGAACCACACATAATGGAATATGGATCTTATTTTTTGTCTCCCTATATCATCCCCGATACAACATGTTTCGACTGATATGAGCTATTTTCCCTGAAATAAACAAAATGAAATTTATGCCACGAGAGTGAACCAGATTTGAAGATCCGTGTTAAAATCCGGTACTTATTTGAACATGGAGTATTATTTGGAATTAAAGTTCGATTGCAGATCGAATTTACCTTCAGTGTGACAACATCGAAGCACAATGACTTAAAACCGGTTGGTCAACATGTCCTTTGGCCGCATTGAGTGCAGATTATAATGTTCGCTATTTAAAACAGTCTTGTTGTATAATGAAATTAAATGATTAAACAATCTGGAATCATCGGAATATGATGGTATTCCTTGATGAACATTTGGTTATCCAGGATAGTTTTTCTACTTTTTATCCGGGATAGTTTTGCTACATTTACACATCTACACGGCGGGAAACTTGAAATAAATACAGAAACCACTGGTATGTTACCCTATGTCAAGAGCGTGCAGTTGTTGACTTGCGAATCTGGCCACAGAAGATAGCTGAGCGCCGCACTGTTTAATGAGCGCTTTTTGCATTTTAAAATCGCTATAAAATCAACAGGTATCAGTCAAATAAACAAAACAACGTAGTTGTATTCAATGTAAAAGGCAAGCACACGTAATTTTCATATTTTGTTAGTGAGGAAAATTGTAATACTTCCACAATTTTCGTTTGAATCAGGAGTCATATTGATTGTTGGGATAAGGATTCTCATTAAATCTGGCAAATTGACGTATGTCAATAGGCATTCATATTTTTTTTAATAAATATTGTACACAAATGCATGTTGTTGCACAAATATACGTTACAGATGTGCGGCCCACGGAGCAGACAACCACCCTCCACTATGCCTTGAGCAGAAACGTATAAAAATAAAGCGACAACCTCCATTTAGCTGAAATCAAATTCATAGTTTTATTACTTTTATTACTTGGTACCGATAAAGTCGTAAATTCCTGATGATGGTTCCGCAACGTCTATCTATATATAAACTCCGGGAAGGGCGTTTTATTTGATTCTAATGTTTAATCGTGTCACGAAAATGCCATCTAACGGCATATTTGACGGACATTCAATAAATCAAATCTCCACCGCCTATACGCAATACTTAGACTTCACACCATGTATTTAGGCGCGAGTATACTATAATTACAATTTCGTATTTCCCGAACCCATAATTCAGAATCAGTATTGACAATAGACCTACACCTGAATCACATATGAAGATTTAATTGCTAGGTATGCACTTGTTATACGCTAGACAGTGTTCAGGTAATATTTTCTTATTCCCGTGAGTAACATTTTCAAAGAAAGTTAGGTTCTGAGGAAAATGAAGATGTTTTAAAGGAAAAATCAAAATCAGCGAATTTGTGCGTGTACAACTATACTGAAATATTATATAATATAATGATATAAAAAGAACAGCGATAATAATTAACCACTGACTGTCGATAAGGACCTTTAGGGGAATATTAGACTTGATTAGCTAACACTATTGTTATACCTCAATGATTTCCGAAATATTGACGGTACACTTTTCTCAGTATTTGCCTCTCACGGTAATATTAGACTTTTAATCAAGCGTTTATGGGATTATAAATTGAACATATTAAGTATTGGTATTCTGTATAGATAGCAGGTATAAGTTGTAAGAAAACAAAGGAGCCGAAAATGACTGAAAATGACCGAACCTGAATATTTTCTTATTTTGGTGTACAGAAAAATGTAATGGCTTCTTATTAAAAAATTTTGTACAATTTTCCAATTTTGAGCAGTCAAATTTTTTTGATTGAAAAGTAAAAACTTCCCCAGGAATTTCGTTCCACATTTGATATATTCTAAATCGGACTAGTTTGAAGCCTACCTTCAAATAAAGATTTGCCATGCACTAGTTATAGCTGCAATAGTTTATTGCTGCTATACAATTATTTTTGCTAACAATGCGTATCGGTATACCTCAGGTAGAATATTTGTTTACAACAAATAAATCGTAAATTTAAATAAGAGTGAGTGACTGACACCGCAATGCTAGCACGACGATTAACAGAGACAGGAGATTTGGAAAAAGTTGGTGAGCGGATTTATGATTTTGATATATATCGTAGGACCGAGGAAATGTTTCGCCATGTAAAACAATTTTTTTTTCAAATTGAAGGATTGGTTTTTTGGAAGTTTGGTAAAATCAAGGTATCAAATATACATGAAAATATGTATGAAAGCTGACATCATGAAATTTTACACCATTTTCCATTGTTTTTATTTGTATACTATTGAATAAATTACTTCGCATTCACGCTCGACATTGAATAGTGGATAAATTAATTTTTCAAAATAATTTAAGTGACTTGCCTACCATCTTCGTATAATCAAAATAAAACAAGATGATTAATATTAATCAGATCTATAGTAAGCAACCTTCAACATTCCCACCCGGATATCGGGTGTAGGTGGTGGGAAGTAAATGCGTCGCTGTGGAACATGAACATAAATAATTCGTTTGATAGATCCGTAGTTCTTTTGTACAAAATATCAGTGTTCCAAAAAGCGAAACAGCCTGATAAAATTGGCAAATGTATATCCTAACCAGCAGGTTTGAAATAAAATTAGGCCTGTGTGTTAAATTTTTATTCTACTCGAAACGCCTGTTAATTTCTAGCGCGAAAGGAGAGAAACATGAAAATGAGCCATTTCACCCATATACAGAGAGAAAACGTGTTATCAACAGGTGTAATGAATTGTGTAATAAATATGCTCTTTACTCTTTTTGCAAATTTACCAAAATGTGTGAAGAAGTGTTCTAGGACAGTATAATCCCTAGATAGTTTATTGTAGCTTTGGCTTGGATTTTGATTGTGTTTAGTGAATCTTAAAAATTATTAGAAAATTTTGTATCGAGTTTTATCTCATAGCCTAATGTTTTTTTCATTCAGGCAAAAACACAATTCACTACGGAGAGATGTCGCAAAGACGAAATAATCATAAGAGTGATCTGGTGCCCCCAGCATCTTTGCTACCTAATTATCCAGCCCCTACACCACCCACCGAGGAAACATTTTTTCCTCCACCACCGCCACCAATAACAAACAATGAACTGAGAGAAAATTCGCCCCAGGATACAAAGAAAAAGATACCTACTAGCCGCGTGATGCCTGTGCAAACAGTCGATTCCAAACCACCACAGCTCAAACTCTACGCAGATACAGATATCAGATCTCTGGATAAAAACCCAATTCATGATGACATTATGAAAGAGGCGGAAAAATTCAAAGGTAACAACTTAATATGTTAGCAATCTTACAAGTACTACTAAACTTAACGGTGATTTTAGTTTGTAATTTGTACATTTAAAGCAGATAGCAGCATATTGCTTTGAAATCTGGAATAATTATGGGGTAGTTGGCGATAGGGTAGCGATCATAGCAATATTTTGATAATACTCGTCGCCAGGATTATGTTGTAAAATTTATGTCGTTTTATGATCAGATATAATATTTGAATAAAGTCCATTTCAACAATTGAGTTGCAAAAATATGGCTGAAAATGATGATGTAGCGGTTCACTTTGTTCTTCAAAAATCATACAACATATTATGATAAAGATAATTTACTAGAATTCTTTATAATATAACTGTTAGTATTACAACTTCTTATCATGTTTATCAGATGTAATATTATGCATCGCAACTTTTTTAGAATTCTATTTCTCCACAGAATTTCTTTCTGTTTTATTTCAGATAATTTACTTATTTTCGATCATTCAATCTCTCGAAAAATCACTGTTTTCAATCTTAAAATGGGAAAGGGTGAAAATATAAGTATCCATTTGAACCAATAAATATATAGATCTTAGCTATTAGAGAACAGAAAGCATTACAGGTCTTACAGGTCTATAAAACAATGCTAATATAAGAAAAAACAAAAACTAAAAAGGCACATCTTTCATTTATTTAAAAAAAAAGAACAAATTCTCCAGAGGAATAACCGGGACGTTGTCATAGAAATAGTAATAGTCGATCAAAGAGGCTCATCAGATTAGTCAAATTTGTCTGTCAAATCTGCAAAGATACATTGGACGCAAAGAATAATGACCAAAAGATTATACTGTCTATTGTGCTATTACTGTCTACATCTACACGAAATCCGGAGAATAAAACAAAGATTTCACATGCAAAACATCTCTCTCACCCAATCATCTTTTACAACCTCGGAATTTGTATTTGAAGGCTATTTATTACATGGATTCCCTTATAATAACAATTGAGCCCAATCGAAAATATTAGATATCTTTATGTTCACAACAACAACAACATATATAGGATATATATATGACAAAACTCTCTTTAATAGCTACGTTAGGCGTTTTCTCTAATCCATACAATACACGGAATATAGAAGGATATGACTATTAGCTTAAAAATAGTTAAAAAGTTAGACTATTTTCTTATAAAAACTCACGTTAATGGATGAGATTTTGTTATTCTCGTTTGTTTGACTCGGCGCATATGTATCTTAGCTAAGTAATGAACAGAAATTTGCAGACCTTGCAGCTTGATTAATTTATACCCCAATGCTCAAGTTTATTTCTATAAGTTACAGGGAGAATACTCATATTCTTTGTTCTTTTCACAGATAGGAGAGGTGAATTGTTCGTTATGGATGACGACTCAAATTCCACGCAGATAGGAGAACAAGTGGTAAATATGAAAATAAAACTTCAAAATATTTTTGGCCTGAGGTTCTTAGTTAAGCTCTGAAATAAAGGTGCTCCTTATAAACATAAATTTCGCAAACAGAAGTCAAAAAAGTATGGGGTTTCGAATATTATAGCTTCCAAATTAGCACCTCGCATGGTTTTCATGAAAATATACCTATGTTACTATGTATATCTAAGAGTGATTCATATATTTAAGATTCGTAGTCTATGGCTAAGCAAACATTACATCCTCGCCGTGTACACAATTCGAGGGGAAATAAGCGTAAAATCAATGATTTGTGTACAAAAAAAACTAATACAGATTAAGTGATTTAAGAGTCTTGCTGCAGACTGTACAACAAATATATTTCTGTGACGTTTCGTATGTTTAAAATCAGGCCTGTCGAGGTTAGGTATATCCGTTTTGCTACAGCATCCTAATATTATATGCGTATACGCATCCACCACCAGAAAAGTGTAAATTTATAAGTAATCGTCTTCACAGAAGTCAACCGGAAGCACAAGTAAAAGCCGCAAGAGAGTCGGGAGCGTAAAAGGTTGCTAAACATCTGTTCCATATATACAAACCATTCTGGAATATTTAAATACATTAATTATAGAGCAGCATCAGCATTGTAAAAAATAAAGTAAATGATTTAGAGGGAAATATACATGTATATATATATATATAAGGTCAATATTACGAATAAACACTATATCAAACAAATACTACAATATACAAAGATCAGTTTATATGTTTATTTCTCGGGTTTCTCGAAAAAATCAATTTGAGTTGAAATTAGCAATGGCTGTTTAATACTCCTTATTTTCAGATTACTATATTTAAAAAACCAACTAATTGGGTATAATATTGTAACTGGTGGATGGTACCATGCAAAGCATTTAAAAACATATCGCCTAATACTTCACCATTATACTAATCTATTTCAAATGTAAAGGAAAGTGAGTGTGCAATAAAGCAAAGGCAAATAGACTTTTTATATTGGAAGTGAAATTTCATGTAAAAGTGAGACTGACCGTGATTATGAATCTACTGTACATGTATATTTTATGTGATTGTTAATTAAGTCATGAGAACGTATGCAATACACTATACCATTACTTGTCTTTCGAGAAGACGAGATCAACCTGAATAAAACGTTGCTTCAAAATATCAATTGGAAGAACATAAACAACGACAACAGGTTCTTCTGAGTTGTGTGAGACGAAACATTTTCAAAATATTCATATAAAATTCCTGAGCTTTCTTGAGTATTAACTTGGGCCAAAGACATATTCAATTGTCATTCAATCCACGTAGAATTAACTTGCGGGCTGGATATCGGAGGCAAATTCTATTCAATTTTACAAGTCGAGTTCTGTTTTTTGCCCCACTTTGAGCTTGTAAATCGTAAATCGAATCATAAGTATAAAAAAAGAAGAGATATAATCCCAAAACCCTTAAAACAAAGAAAGTACACTGATCCTAATTTTATTTTTAAGATAATAATGAATAATTTCGCACTTTTCTTTCAGTATGATTACCAGAAGGTTTCAAGTAACCTGAAACCGAGCCACAGCTTTCATCATCCCGTCTATGACCCTGCAGAAATGAGAAGAAAGAAGAAACATTCTCTTGTAGTAAACAGTGATTTATCCTGGAGCAAACCGAAGTCAGTGGAGAAACGAAATTCATATGTGATCAAGCCCGTTGCAAAAGCTCCGCTTGTGACATCGAGAAACGCACCGATGAAGGAGAAAATACAACAAGATAATAACGGCTATTCAAGTAAGCTGGGAACTTGGATTTTTTTAATGAAATTAAAAAATTAAAATTAATGAATCGGAATAGGCTAGGCTAAGGGCTAAATGTCTATATTCTTGACTATCATGAGTGGAAGCGGTATATTGATGATTTGAAATAGAATGCGTTATTATTATTATACAGTAATCCAATATTCTCCTGCAACTGAAGCACAATTACGTGACATTATTATGCCATTAGGACGATTAGGTCCAGAGCCACTTGGACGTGTGTCATTACATACTTTTAAAACTAGAACTAGTTCTCTAATTCCCATTTGGTATATACGTTTGAAAAGCACGGAAAAGCATAAATCCGTTTACAGTTTGAGATGGGTAATAATATGCCAAATTAAAAACATCTTATAGAGCAAAGAATCGCTGCTGCCAGTGCTTATATATTCCTATGGTTTCACACACACATTACATATATAGAGATAAAGGGATGCAATTGTATTTTTTTTTCTTCTAGGAATAGAAGATATTCCGTCTCCAGATAAACTGCTCCATTTGATCGCAACTGAAGATGAGCAAGGAAACATAATTCCTGAATGGAAGCGAAAACTTATGGCTCAAAATTATCGAACCAAACTATGTAAAAAATTTGTTTCGTGAAACAAGGCAAAATGCTACATATATACTCCTATCTCGAAGCTTCAAAACTTTGCATCCATTCCAATTTAGTTTGTGCAAGAAGACTTAGAAATAGGATAACGACACAGACATAATAAAGCAGAATTAAACCTTTCTACCTTCTAGCTTATGTTAAATCTAAATATCAATCGTACCACGTTCATCACTTCCAACAACATTGCAACGTTGTTTATTTTCTATTTAAAAAAAAAGTCCGGTCGATAATGTAGTCCGATTATCGCTCGCGAAAAAGTTGCTCCGTCTGTCCTGAAAAACAGAAAATTGGTCAAACAGCTATTTATTTTCACGAAGAATAAATTTCACAACGTTTTTTGAAGGAATAACATGTTATATTACCCAGAATATTACATAAATCGAATATAACCTAAAAGCTATCAACCTGGAACCTAAATCTAAAATAAATAAAAACGTATCGAAAAAGAAATGAGTGAGCACGCATTTTATTTGTGATCTCGTCTGACCTTCATTTCCTAATTTTCTGCTTTTCTAGTAATCACCATGTAGAAACAAAAGTTTGCTTTTTTTTGCTGCCACCCTATCTATGTTGTTTGACGAAATTGGCGCAACGTAGTTGAAGATGAGAAAAGTTTGTCTTCTTTTCGATCTAATGTAGATAGTATTGTGCTATTTGTCTCAAACTTTAACTATTAGCTATTTATGAACTATCTAACAAACTATGTTAGACAAACTTTCAACTGCATTCATTTATAGGTAGTTAGCACAGTAGACTTTCTTATTTACCATTTTTCTGGTACGTAACCTTGTTTCAAATAGCTGATGTTGTGAAAATTTTTTTTAAATATACATTAAACTGTTGTATTAGATATGAAGTCGTCCTAAATGTTCCTCAAAAATCTCTATCATGCTTGAATGATAGGCATGGTACGTGTTCCGCAAAGGACCGTCAATAGGTCAAAGGACTTGAGTTCGTTACGCCACAATAAAAAAGTAAGAACACGTTTCCAACTGCGTTTCATCAACGCGATCTTGCTAAATAAGACTTATCTCGTATTTTCATGACAGACGGTGCAGAAAGGATGCTGTAGAACTAATTTAGGAGACGTATTTTCAGATTTTTTTCTTTTGTTTATTGACCAAAATACAGGAACGAATATCCGACGACTTTCGCTGTGGTTGTAAGCTTGCTTTGCTTCGTTGTAAGATTGTCTTGTGGTATCGGTCGTCAAAATCATGAAATTCTAGCACACCAATCTGAAAAAACACTCGAACACACGTTCTCGCAATGCAGAGAATTTTAGTCCTGGATTACTAATGTCATATATATATATATAGATTTTCACAGATCTCATATAATTTCAACTAGATATCGTTTATGATGAGCTCTATAAAGGTGAAAGAAGGTATGTTACGAGCCAATTGGTACATCACATAAAATAGACTCAAATTTTTAAAAGTCGTCTCTGCCGAATTCGAACGCAAATTAGTATGACCCGTTGATGACGTAGTACGGTGAACTCATAGGCGTAATTTTGCATTATAGCTTAAAGGCATTTAGTGCGCTTCTTGGTCTTATTTTGAATATCTCACTAGTTCCATTGGACGTGGTATTTGAAAAACGATGCAGTAGGTTTGAACTTATTCATTATATTCAAATAATATTAGTGCATTATTAGAAATGGCTTAGCAAACTGGGGTTAAAATATACCTGATTCCTCTGCTGAGCTATTAAACTGCTGTAACATAATTTTTTAAGTGAAATAACGCATACTAGACTGTTTCTTTTGACTCAAATCTAATATTTAAATCTATCTTAAATTTAAACTTTGTAGAGTTTGTCCGCTTTTCTGATTCCATAATCAATCCTTTTGTTACTTTATCAGTATGTAGACCAGGTCTGCCCAACCTTTTTTGTGTCGCGGGCCACTTGCGTATGACGAAATTCATCGCGGCCGCAAACGATTTTAACAAACCCATATGCCAATCAAGTTATAATTTAACTAAGAATTTGAACATAATGTAAGTTTTAAGTGATTCAAGAGTAGGGATGCCACTTTTGGATTTACAAATCGAATCAGATTCACACGATTCGAAAAAAGAGAGCATAAAACACGTTAGTTCAATTGTTGTTATCGGCGCCGTTAAATCTGCCGAATGCGTTTATGAGGCACTTCAAATTACAGGACGAAAATGATCGTGATCGACTTTTTGACTGACATGCCGTCATTTGTTTCAAGTTCAGCGCAACTCTTTTATGCATCACTCGAGATGCTGTGTGGCGTAATTTCCCCCGAACTGCCAGTTCAGTTTTTCACTGAATGGCCTAAGTTTCTGTTATACGCAAATTTAAATGGATCGTATATCTGAAAATTCGTGACAATTTTGATGAAATTTTCAACAGAACACCTGCACTGCGATTAAGATATGGTACGCCCTGGCATGATTAGATAAGGAATCAGTCACCGGCTTTTAGAAAATATTTAATTTTGATTACAGATTAATTTAAACTTCGTTCAGAGTGAAATATTTCGCGTTTATTTGAAAATAACTATTACTGAATAAGTTCATCAAGGCCACGTTAATTGACAATCATGTTTTCCATCATAAAATATATACGAGTATATATTTAATTTATTTTATTCCCGTTTACCAGGCTTCCACACTCGAGTGGCGGTAAACGAAATGAGGGGGAACATAATGTGATAGGACATATGATATACGTTACGGCGTCGACCAATTATCGCTCGTCAGCACCGCGTTCATTATATTATGCACATTTGAAATTTCTGAATGATGAAATTAAACGTAGTCCAAGATAATAATGAAGTCCCGAGTTCGCCAATAAGTAAATAAGCCAGATATGGCAAAATATTGATCTGTGTGTAAACAAGTTCTTTATGCATTTCCCAAAATCACAAATTATCGTAAAAATTGTATATACTAATATTTTGGAGAGCTCGGTTTTCGTCGCAGTATTTACGTTTTTTATTTGCTCTTTTTTGCTTTTCTCCATTACATGCTGAGAATATTAAATAAGCCGAGGAACTTCTGTTGACTCATCAATCGTAAGAAGTTTAAGTAATTGTTTGGAACATTCAGCTAGTCTGCTCATAAAATAAAAACTTGAAGCTTTTCAAGAAAGTAAAATTCCTTCGATGCATGGGTGCCGAGATAGCCACCTAGTAGGTACATGACGCAGAATTTCATGAAATTCCGTCTCTATAAATATATATTTATGAAATTCTTTAAGAGTTTCTCGTCTTTTTTCTGACATGAAATTTTCAGGAAAATATTTTTAATGTCCACATTCAAATTTCCTAAAGAGAATTCCAATGTATTGTGTACAATGTGTACTGCAGTTAGCCTTAATAATAACATCATTTAGTGTCCGAACATAAGTATAAAGAGAATGTTTTCTCCAAAGTTGCAATTTGCGTTATCTGCACTTGAAAAAGAAACTCGCAAATTGTCCATAGTGTTTTTCAAACAAATAAACAATTTCCGGTCTCGACAACTACCACAAGAAAAGAATTTAGAAGCTTTATTAAAAGAACTTCAATGCCTTTCAAAAAATCATTGTAAAAGCAATCCGACTATCAAGAGCTGAACCTAGAACACTTCGAAAAATGTTCTAGTGAATCTTATTGTGAGATCAAGTAGACTGCGGAACAATTATTTCATGCCGAGAACCGATCGTATTTTTTTCAGAAAACAGAACAGAATTTTCAATTTGCTTATTGCATTGCAATATATTCGAATATTTGGCTGTTTCCTCGGGCATATCCTTCCTTGTTTACTTCGTGACATTGGCTAATCAGCAAGATGCAAAAATAAACGTAACAATGAACAAATAAACCCCTTTGGCATCCGCTCAGACACATTTCTCACTCAGACAGATTTTCAGGTGCGGTCGTGAACATTACCTCATTTTTGCATTTTTGAATTATATTTGTTAGTTTTAGTTGTTTTTTCGGGAATTTAGATATAAATCAAATAAGTCAATCATCACTCTGTCTTCCTAGGATCTTCTGTCTTCCTTCAGTTTATTTACAGTAATCAAAAATTAGGTACTTTAAAAAAACACATTGTTGAATGATATGAATTGGAATGATAGTTTGAAACAAATACCCCATTTTGCAGGCAACAAGTCGCGAAACCACTCTTAGAATAAGCACCGAAATTTTTAAAATGGTAAAGTATAGGAAGAATTTTCCGGGGTCAAAGGTCGGGGAAAGGTCCATTCTATTAAGCGTCCCGGGTCTGGTTATTTTACTCCGGCCGTATTTTGCCGACCACTGGGATACGCAAACTGCCGTACCTTACTGCGAAGACGAGTCCAGCAATCCTTTCGCGTGTGATAATCGCCCACCTGATTCAAGCCTACGAAAGCACGCAAAGTACAGTAATCAAGTGCACGAGGCGCCTAACAAAAACAGGTTTCGCGAAATCGCCCCCCTATCGCCCCCTTCGACTTTTTCGCCCGCTTCTGTATCGTTTTCGCCCACCGGGGGGGGGGGGGGGGGGGGGGGGGGCGATATCGCCCACTTTGGGAATCACTGTTGTAGACTATATTCTATATAGTATATTATATATTAAAATCAGCAAATACATATCTGTACTGTCAAATATCATACTCCAATGCCTAGTTGATGGTTACAGAATTCGAACTGATGGTATCCGAATTTCTCAAGAAGAAAACTATACATCAAACTTGTTCAACTAACATGTTCTCCCCATGGGACGACAAAAGACCTCTAATTTGCAGCAATTATTTCAGCCCAGAGAGTTATATTATAGGCCATGCAAACTCCTGATCCACAGCCCAATACAACAATACCTAACGCAGTTTATCAAATCAAGTGTTATTTATTTTTATAATATTCATCAAGCAAGTACAAGTTTTATATGTGTAATCATTCATGTCAATAAATGTTTCCTCACGAATCTCTATTGTTGATGCCTTGTGTTATAGATCTTACGTTGGTCCTAAACGTTGGTATGCGTCAGCCATTGGTATGCGAGCAGCAACTTCAACTATCAACTCTATCTGGATGGACCGAGGAATTTTGGAAGTAGAAGTCCAGCATTTGACGGGATGCAAACGTTTCCTTTATCCTGGAACTACATTGGATTGTACTGTTTTCCCCCCAAATGATCAGCACGAGGTTACCGGTTGATAATAGCTGGACTGTGAGTTGTTAATAGCAAGTTCTAAATGGAGCACATATATTACAGAAGTTGAATTACTTATACAAGTGCAGGATGAGATTGACAGACAAATCATAAGTAATGTTCAGCACGGCAGGATTGTCCAGACGTCTATGGTACAACTCCTATTCAGTGTTACTGATCTCTAACTCTACAAGCTTTTCAGTGTTATATTCGGGTTGATTTCGCCAACAATATTTCTTGTTATTGCTATTCGATGCAATCATCTTCTCCCTATATTAAAATATTTATCGTGTCTGATTTCTATGATTGATGTAAACATGAAATAAGTAAATTAGACCAGCCCAAAGTTGAGTTAAATAACAGTGTAACTTGATAGCATTATACCTTGAATGAAAATTATATCAAACAGCCAATAAAGAAACTAGAGCTGCGTGCAGCTTTAACAGGCTTCCCGCGTAAAAAAAAAATTTGCATTTTATTGCTAGCTGAGAACTTCTGCACATTTGAGGTGAATTTCAAGTTTGTAGGACCAATTTGAAAAAATAATAATAATAAATAAAGAATAATAAAACACAGGAATACAATAGGTTCCCTGCTGACAAGCAGCGGGAAGCCTAATAAGTGATAAAAACTGACCTTAGAATCAACTCTATAAAACCTGATGTCAGTACCGGTATACGTTTATTGCACAAAACATCATCGCTTGATCGCCTGACTGTTTCTTTTTCATAGATCTTAGTTTTTCTGTGTTACATTACAATATACTTTATTAACTACACAATGGGAACCAAAATTATAGACAGGAGACAGTGGTATAAAACTTTACTCCAGTATATAGCGTGAATATACAAGTTCTGGAATGAGTTATCAGTGCTGCGTCATCAAAGAGTTTCCGAACTGCGGTTGATTATTGTTAAAACGTATTTCAATTATCCATATGTAGAAAACTAAGTTCACTTTATGTGAGTAGTTACCCTTTAAAAATTCTGAAAAAATATGTAAAATTAAAAAATAAAATAAAAATTTTCAAAACAAAATTTCCTTGATAACCCATCTTTAAGAGAATAAAAGTGGAACTATTCGCGCCAGTAAATCGAAATATGTATTAATGTATGTGTGCTAAATGTGTTGTAATATACGAAATACAAAAAGTGTAAATAGTTAGCTCAGAAAATGAAAAAAGAATCAAAACTAAATGTTTAGTTACAAAATTCAAACTTACTCAGTTTATTTAAAAAAATTTGGTGTTAATGAATGATATATTTGATGAGCAACAATAAAATGTGTATTAGGTTATATTCTATTGTTAAGTTTATATATGTATTTCTATGCGATATATTCTTAACCATTTAATTACGCCACGAATTGAAATACTGTTAGGATGATAATCAAATACTATAATATTCAAAATCACAAACAATACAATATAATAGTTCGATATATATATGCGCTTTTACTCAATACTATACGCATTGTCATTCATAATTTACAATGATTTTGGAAATTCATATCAATCCTTATAACTTCCGCGCCAATATATACGGACGTTACTTTTTATTTTATTTATGGGTATAAATAGTCCATTACGTCTACACTCACTTTTGCGAATTCCACGATGTATCGTATGCTACTCTTTATAATGAGGCCCCACATAGCTGATAGTCTTATATAATTTTTGTTCAATTTCTCTCATTTTTCTATGCAGTGAATTTTTCATTACATTTTTTCTGCTCGAATTATGCACCGTACTTTTACATTATATATATATCAGGCGAGCGAGAATAGTTAAGTTTACAACATACTTCAACTTTTACTCCAAGATATAAGATTTTTTATTAAAGTAACGGGCTTTCAGGTCTGCATCAACTATGATCATGTATTGCTTGAAAACTGAAAAACTTAGATACAACCAACACACAATGAACTCTGACTTGCTCCATTTTAAATAGAATTCACAGGTTACCGAGCGTTAATTACCTGAGGTCAGGTGATGACGTATATACTGTAATTGCCAAATCCACACATTAACTCGATGTCGTCGGATATCCCGACACAAAACCACTATACGGCGTGTGTAAATTGGAACTGGAGCTGGTTCTTGTAAGATTGAGATGATAAATATAAGAATATAATTAGACAAAACGTTAAATCGATGATGAATATATCGGTAGAATAAAAGTATTTTGCATGATTTTTAACTATGTAACGCTTTGGGAGTTCAGGATAAGACAACAACTTTATTGCATTTAATATAGTTGAAATTGCCGAAGCGATGATTGTATGAAGGTGAAGTTTAATACATGGAGTATAGTTGTAGAATGTAGACAAACAATACGAAACATTTGGTTTACGCTTAAGGAGCAGATTAGGGACATGGAAGAAGTTGATAAAAACATATGCCAGTCGAGTACGAATGATTATAATTTCTGAAATTTTCCATAGTGCGGATCTGCATAACAACTGCATATTGCGTCCATTACTAACATTATATAACATCCATTATATAACATTTTAGTTGACTGATGATCCACTCGGCTAATTTCAGTCCTCATTGCAAGTACTTTCCAAACAACATAAATTCATTTCCCCGCGTAAATTAATATATAACGTAGGCTATTACATTCATTTATTCGTATAAAAACAAGGTTGGCGGAGAATTGAAACTATTTAATTTATTAGAAACAAGACAAAAAAGAGCAACGATGCATATCCATCCATATTTATTTCATCAGAAAAAGCTATATATCGCAAATAAAAGGATTCCGGCATTAACAATATTAATAAATAATTTAGCTTACGTCGTGAAATGTATATACCATGGAATCAGTGTATTGCTATCGTTCATCGTGTAGAATTCACAGGCAAGGCCATTGAGGTGTCTCGCCTGGTATGTCCATTTATTTGTTGATTTAGATATCTTCCGAAACTAAGTAATTGTATTAGAGAAACATATTAGATTTATATTGTATATACAGAATATAGAGATACAACAGAATATACGCAGGTCAGTCAGGCGCCAACACAGGCGTCACATAGAAATGATATGGTATGAATATTTTATATGGTTTTAGATAATGGCCCAGCGAAAATTATTGCGGTCGCATTGACGCCTGTGGTGCCCAACTCTTAAGCTAAATTCCGCAGCCATGAACTCCTTTTCGTATTCGCCAATTAGTTGCGTTTTCCACGTAGATGAAGCACGTAGAGCTGAGGTCTATCAACTCAATAAGAAAATTTGGGATTATGTACCACATATCGCCAACCAGAATGGTAAAAATGCAAAAGTGGCGCGCACTTTATAACATTTAGAGTCGTATGCTACGTAAATGATGTGGGTGCTTTGCTAGTCTCTGGCATGATACTAATCTTAGGTTCAAAGACACATTTGGGCATAAAATGTTGAATTGTTGAATCCATTCCCAAACTCGATAGACTTACAATTCGTACTGAAATAGTACAACATAGACGTAAATGAAAACGCAAGAACAACCATGTTCGCAAATGGATATTAGTCGAAAAAGTAACTTATAATTTAATTTTTGTCTAAAAGCTTTCGATTTTCCAAGACTAGCAGGTGACCTCCAGCTAAAATTAAAACGGAATTAATATAAAATAATTTTCCCGCAGGTTCTTTTATTTATTTGAGAGTGTTATCCTACATCAGTCTGTGGTTTTATACCCTTCAACATTCAGTAATGTCCAACGATATGCAAAATGAAAGTTAGAAAATGGATGATGTGTCTGTTGATTTTGACTTGTTCTATGCAAATACGGATAATAGCTGGAGAAGATGACAATATCGAATGCCCCTTGGGATGTATGTGTTTTCCTGTGGAAGAAAACGAGATGTACGATCCTCCTACTTACAGCAGAGTTAGCGTACTCAGTAACGAAACCGTGATAGCCGTATCATGTTTGAGGTATGGAACTAAGCAAACGAGAAACACGATTGTTCCGTAATGGCAATTAGATAGTTTTGTGATGTACGCGGAGCAAATAGTAAAACGCTGTTAGGATTTCTAATGGTATTTCAGAATTAGCTGTCAATCGTTATTAAATATCGTCTTAGACAAAGTATATCGATAATACTTTGACAAAAAGCTATTGCGTATATTTGGACTACTCCAGATATAACTGTTACAAATCGGTATGCGGTATTTCTTGATACCAGCGCAAATTCGTTGAAATATGATTTGATATTGGATTTTAAAATTTCATATATACTTCACCGTTGTCGAATAATAAGCGCCAGTAAGTCGCTTTCGAATAGCCGACTAGCAACGATTTTTTTTATCAAATCGTCTCTTTTAGATCGTTACAATGCTGAAACGCCAATAGCTATCAGACTTGAATTCCCCAAATATCCACGGTCATGTTCGCCTTATTCGCAATAAAATAGGCACAACCTACAGAATAATTTGCGGAATGTCTGATACAATCCTAAAAATGATTTCATCATTTTGTTTTATTTATTTAGTCCAAATTTTAAATACAATAATAGTTGCGATATATTTGATGAACTGCATTTTGATCTTGGAATATTTATATTATTAAATAATCAATAAGCAACATTCACTACATGGGCAGATCGAAAACTTGCATGTAATCAAGTAAATACTACAAGGTGACAAAAAAGGTCATTTTTTGGTGTGAAAAATATAGACATTTTTCTTTAGCATTCTCAATTCGAACAAGGAGCCTCTGAACGCAAACGAAATTTTCCTCACGACAGTATATCTCTATGAAGGGACTCTATAAGAAAAAAAACTGTGAATGGGCACAAACGCTTGTTACAGCACTTATTATAAATCTTTCTATATGATTTGCCTATTTTCCAGATCCTTTCGTCGCCCCTGTCTGTAATTTTTATTTTTTTGTTCGTGTTCTAGAACTAGACGAAAGATTGAAACAAAATTGTATTGTATATTCGTCTAGGGTCATTTAAAATTCGACTATTACATAAGCGTCATTTAAAACTAACTAATATATACATTTTTTCCTGATATACCGATGGAAGACAAAATTTATTCAGATACTTTATTACAAAATCCATGATTACATGCTAAACTTTTGGCGGAATATTCGGCAACGTATTAAGATATAACATTTGGTGAATAATTGATGAGACAAATTGAATGAATTATGTTCAAATATAAAACCCAGCAATATTTCCACGTCGTATATTTATTCACATTCGATATATTATGCTACGGTTTTACGTCAGTATAAGCAGAGATAATAATGTTGGAAATGAGGTCGATTCTTGTCAAAATAAATAACATACTTTCAAAACATAAAAGGCGGTTGGAGGTCAAAAGACTCAAGATTCTTAAAAGAAATGAGATTTCTCGTATTTCAAATGTATATACATTGATGCTGATTTTATTGCTGGACCGCATATCCGTCATTGATATTTCATCTCGATTTAATTAATTTTAATTTCCTTGAGAATCAGTTTTATGCGAATACTCTTATCATACCCGCATGTTAAATGTTATCGGTTCAAATCCCAATTAGTTCAACTATATTCTATATTGTAAACCAAAGATTGGGCAAGCTAAGACAAAGAAAATATTGTAATAAAAATTTAGGATTTTAAAACGCATATCATGTCACGTGGAATGCAGTGGTTTGATCACGTGATACTGGCATATAGCAATAGTGTTTACTGTTTAGTGAGAAAATTAAACGATGTTCACTATTTTCAAAATTCAGGCAGCAGCTGACAAAAGTTCCCACGGGATTCGCACCAAACACAGCGGCGTTATTCCTCTCCTACAATGACCTAAGTCAACTTAATCGAAGCATGTTTGCTGGGCTAAACAAATTGAAGATCTTGGATATCAGTCATAATAAATTAGTCAGGTAAGTTCGTCAACAAAACACACGTCCTCGTGCTTGCCGAGAGCTGAATAAATGTGATGTTAAGCAAAGTCACGTTGTCTTCATTACCGTTCGGCACTCAATTCGGGCATGACACTAAGCTGAATTAAATATAGAGTTAAAATATAACGGATGAATTATCAAAAACGAATATTAATACTGTATGTATAATCAATCCAGCATTAATCAGCAGTCAAAGCGCAATAGCTGATTAGCAATTTTATTTTTAGATTAGATTTTTTCTTTTACATAACATGAATACCTTGAACCAAAATTTTCAGTCCCTCTTTTCTATAAAGCTGCTAAAGGGCCCAAGCTGCGGCCAGCGTGTACAATCACATAATAAACCACATAAAATTGTGAAACAAACGAGGGTCACTAAAACGTTTATTGCGGGTTATCGAGGGCCGCATTGCATTTTGCGAATTGTACATAGGGCCGCAAACAATTTTTGATATATTTTGATAATGTATACTTGGAGCATATTTGTAGATGGGTGTAGTCTGTGACATATATTGTGTTATTTGTGATGCAATAAAACAGCCAAATAAAGTTTTGTTATTTTCTTAAATTTCAAATGCCATTTACATATTAATTTTTGCATTTCACTATTATTGCAAATTACTGTATTTATTACAAAAATCAAAAATGTACAACTATCAAAACATTTTTGAACAAAGTTTTACAGTACCAACTCTAATTAACAAGATCACATGATCATCGGTTAATCGGGATCGTTGAGAGTGTTCGATTAATTTCAGTAATGCAAAAATATTACGTTTATCATTTCATGTATAGATCATTAAACAAACAAATGACTGACTTTTCGGACCAGACTTTTCCTACCATTACGTGGCATAGGACCGCTTGAGTTATGATTGATATTGATTTTTATCAACTATAGGTATAGTGTATAATTAGAATAATATACAAACACATAAAAATTTTCTGTTCGAAGTTGATCTTTGAATTTGTCATATTGACTGCTGAGCTTATTCTGATAATGTCTACTTATATTGTATTCTTTCATTGTACTGATGAAAATGTGACAAATTAAACGATGTGCTTTAGAATTTTGAGAAATGCAAAATTATTGTAACACCCATTTTTCTTTAAAAATGCTACCTTCTTCATGTACTTTGCGTTTCATTTCATGCCTGGAGTTTTTTTTTTCCAAGCATACTTTTGCTAGCATGATGTGTATCCATAATTGGGAAAAATTGAAAACAAATTTTTTTTAATTTTTTAAAACTACTTTTAGTAATTGACGTTTTCTGTGTAAATAATCAATTTCACTTTGAAAGATTGAAAAATGTATTACATTTAGATAAAAAAAATATTACAATCATTGTCAAACGTTCGAGGGCCGCATTGGAAGTTCTCTGAGGCCGCATGCGACCCGCGGGCCGCGAGTTTGACACCCCTGATTTAAGTCATAAGGTACAAATACGAAGTGCGGTTTCTTCCTCCTAATCCAATAGATTTTAATCCGCAGAAAGTGCCACTCAAGAAAATGAAAACATCCTGGACTTGCGTTTTTATTTCAATTGCTTAGTTGGGGGTGTTGCATGTACGTCTTTATTTGAACACATTGTTTTTAATCATACGTACGCAAAAACAAGTCTGGACGGCTCTCAAACGTTAGCCACTTGAATAGTTGCATTTCGAGGAATTAAAAAAAGACTTTCGGCTGAATGGCTTTGCAATTATATTTTCGTTAATATAGTAAATCACCGATTATATGTCTTTAACTATCTTCATATTCACAGCATTGCGAACGACACATTCGATGACATGCGTGAGTTGGAGCAACTTGATCTTAGTTACAACAAAATACGATGGCTACCGAATGGATTCTTATGCCCTTGGTATCGACAAGGATTCGGCACTCATTTGAGCAATCCCATCAGTTGCAAAGGGTGGATCACAGCTAAAACCCAGCTACAACTTGTATTGGGAGAAAATCCATGGCATTGCAATTGCGCGCTACAGCAATTCGTTGAACAATTCTCTTGTGCATACGAGCAAGCTCCTTGCATAGAGTAAGTTGTTGCTATTGCGATTATTATATGTTCTTAATATAATTTAATAACTTCCAGTGTTGCGTTTAAGAAAAAAGTTTGCAAATTCTCTTACAGCCCAAGAAGTACATAAAATATAATCACAAATTTGTGTAAAATGCATGTTTGATCATGTGGACGCGTGCTAGCGTTAATTCGCTAAGTTTCCTTGCTTTTTATTATTATTATAAAACAAGGCGTCAAAGCTATTTTGCGGGCAGGTAGACATCAGGGCACAGCTGCTCTATTGTCCGCCTAACTACATTGTCTCCAATAAAAATCCAAAATTTTACAAATCAATAAAATAGGGAATTTAGGTTGAGCTTTTTCATTAATCAAATAATATTGGCCTTCTATTAGAATTGCCAAATCCCAAACACATCTTTATCGTTTCGAAAAAATTGATTGTCACCCATGCAGGCTGAGGCGTGAAAATCTCTTCTAAAGCTTTCATATATATGCCACTAAATTACATCATCAATTATATATTTATTCAATTCATCAAAATGGCTGTCTAACACTCCAAGATATTTCAGAATATGAACATTTTAATTAGATATAAATACATAAAAGCAAGTCACGTTAGCAAAACACGTGAATAACAGATTTAGAATAAAAAATGATCGATTCTATGATAATATATACGAAATTTAAGCTTGTTCTCTATTTGTTATTTGTAAAAACCAATCTCTTTCAAATTATTTCACTTTAAACAGTTTTTCAATTGGCAAGGATGACCCCATCGGACATTGCGGATCACCACCAAACATGCGAGGAATTTCTTTAACGAGGTATACAATTATAATAAAATGAATTTTTTCGTTTCCTTTGACAGCAGATCTTAATAAACATAACAATTCTGCATCTACAGGCTATCATCATTTGAGAGTCAGAAAGGTCATATCAATGTATGCAAATATCGCCAAGTTTATATAGACGTACCACTTCTGGTGACAATGTTTACATGGATAGGCGCGGTTCTAGGATATGTTGCTTATTTCATTTCCTGGAACAATCGAGACATCGCAAATCACCGATCATACTTGTCCACTTTAAATTTCAGACAACAGGTATGAGCGGATTCACACGCAGGTTTTTAAAGTAACTTCTTTATCTCCAACAATTTGCTATTTAAGATTCACATTTACTCACACGTTTGCTAGGAATCTCATCACAGAGGCCAAGGCGAACAGTCTGCGATGCGAACGACTAATTCATCTCCAACTGTGCCAGGCGATTCTTCAAATGCAAGGCGTATATTTCAGAGGCGGAACGGTATGTCAATTAAGGTTATAATTTATGCTATAATATGGCTTCAATTTGAAGCATTTTTAGCAACTTTTCGAAGGTACCATGAATACCAAATGCCACGTAGGGCAGTGAACACGCGAAGAAAAAGTGATAATTCGTTTAGTTTCTATTGAACATTTAAAAAATTTAAATCAAGATCAGATAAATAGAAAGCATAAATATGAAGAATCGCAAAGCAACAACTACTGCTCTTTTACCTTGTTATGCCTTAAACGTCCGAGGTCGTGTCAGCATTGTTATCGGTAGTTGCATTCCAGCAGTATGGTATGGTTCACATATTTCTCAAAAGAATTAGGCCGCCTTTGTTACACGGCTACTATCGCTGAAATGTTTTCGTAACAATTAATAGTCTCAGAAAAGCTACCCTAGCTTTCTGGCTGCGTGTCAGTGGTTTGCGATCCCTCATCTGGGTTACACAAACCTATGTTTCGGCAATTTTATCGATATCAGTAATTGTATCGGTATTCTTCCGATATACTCAGCTGTTTCATCACATCTAGAATGATTCGATATAATGATATGCTATAATTTGCTTAATGGACGTGCTGAGACTCATCTTTTCATAGTTACAAAGTTGAAATCGATTCGATATCGACAAAAAGTGATATCGCACATCTATATCTAATTTATATTGGTTTCATAGAACTGCCCTCGACATTCGCACTAGTGCCTCATTACTATATTATCGTCACGCTAATAACCGAATTGCGTAAGTCATTTTTAGCAGTTTTGAGAAAAACGTAAAAAACTTCCTAATGAAATTGTTATGCCATTGAGATGCAATAATTTGCCATGGTTCAAATTTTTGATCGTAGTCGGATTTAAGTTAATTTGTATGTCGCAGTAAAGTGACGTCATAATGGCGCACTGTGACTTAGCCAGAAATGTGTCTATGACAGTGTTTCCCAACCCGAGCCCGCGGTCTCAAATGAGTCCGCGGAGCGTTTGAACGAGTCCGCAACGAGCCGGAAATTCACAGCTGGCCGTAAACGTTTTTGCAAAACTTAACCATCAGCCAAATTACTATTTACGTTATAATTTACATAAAACATAGAAAACAAGTTTATTCACATAACATTAATCGAGTCAATAATTACTGGATAGTAGTGGCGGCGCGTGGTCATTTTGACAACCGGGGCAAGCTACTGCGGGACCAAGTCACCCCCATCTACGGGGACAGGATGAGCGCTGTAAGTTCTCCCATCATTTTATGAGTATAAAAACCATTCCATCGGTAACAACCAATCGGCAAAAGCGACGATTTTTAACAATAAGAAAGTGTCTTTAAAACCGGTCCAAGTCAAGGGATTAATAAATATAGACATAGTTTATTTTGAAACCTCTTTCAAAGGGAAAGGCAATATTTACCCAGTTAAATACAATGACATATTAACAGAAACTTAGGGAAAGCAGACAAAACCTAAAATAAGGTTTAAAACGTTACTATGAAGAAAGGAAAGTTAATGCAAAGATAAGGACATGCGTCGCTCACTCATAGATATATTTGCTGCTAGACTTCTACTGCTTGAACATATATGCAACACGCGCGGTTTCTTGGAAGCAAAATGCTCAATAACGCGCTGATTAAAGTCATGCATCCCAGAAATAACGTCTCTGTGAATGGATAAAACAGCCAAGGAATTTAATCTATCTTGCTTCATTGTGTTTCTGAGATAACGTTTTAATACGCTTCAGCGTGCTGAATGTTCGCTCTGCGTCGGCGGAAGAAATAGGCGTCGTCAAAATGATGTCCAGAAATTTTGCAGACGCCGCAAAGGTAGTTACTAGAGTGTTATCTATGAGGAACCCATAGAGCGCGCAAGTTGATGTGATGTTCAAAAAAGTTTGATTGGTGTATATACATCGCAATTCATTTTCCAATTTACCCACGTTTATCATGGGTAAATTTGGAGACAGTAGCCAACAAAAGGATGGGAAATTGACGTGCAAATTTGGAAAAATTTTTGGGGTTCATCAAAGAACGCGGCAAGGTGTTCAGTGCGCAGACGATCGCCTATTTATTCACCAGAGTGTCACAGCATTCCTTTGCAGACAAAATCAAACGCTGCGTTGTTTGCCCGCGGCGTAAAGAAGCACTCCATGTGTCGTCGTATTTTATTGTTTCCCGGATACGAGATACAGCATCGCAGAAGTCTGAAATACACGACTGCACAGACGCTCCATCCATTAGCCTTGACTGCAATGCGCCGTATAATACATCCACGTGATAGAATATTGTGGAGAAAAAAGCGAGAAAAAATGAAAACTCACCATCTTCTAGCAGACGCTTTAGACCTGCCGCCTCCCTCACAGAGCGTTCGTCCCAAACCGGAGAGCTCTGAATGCCATTGAAACACTCAATGAGCTCAGACCTAATTTCGGACACGCCCTGCACCACGCGTGATTGGAAGTTCCAACGTGTTGGTGCACAAGCTGGGAGACGGCGGCTACATATCTGGCGAAGGAGGTCAGAGCGCTTCGGCGAAACGGAAAAAAATGAAGAAAACCCCGAAACATTTGCAAAAAATATACGGACGAGAGGGGTATCAAGACACATATTTTTAATAACGAGGTTAAATTGGTGTGCATAACAATGTAAAAAATGCGCATGAGGAAAATCTTCTTTTATATAAACTTGAACACCATGTTTCGACCCACTCATGACTGCCGCGCCGTCATAAGTTTGAGCTATCAATTTTGACTTCGCGTTGTAAGGCTGTAACACTTCTTTCAGTACAGCCGATATCCCGCAAGCCGTGCGATCAACGATTGGTACAAAGCTGTGAAATCTCTCGGTAGGTTTACCATCTTTCACAAACCGAAAAATCACAGCCAGTTGGGAAACGCACGTGATGTCAGTTGTCTCGTCAGACTGAATCGAAAGGAACTGGCAATTCTCAATTTCCAGAGCCAAATGTTGTAAATAAATTTTATACATTGAGTCGAGCAAATCATTTTGGATATCCTTAGATGTCCCTTTCGAAACAGTTGCGGCATCAAGATGATCTCTCAATACTGTATCTAGGGATGCGGTGTATTCCACCATATCCAAAAATACCCCTCTATTAGAAGAGCCAGCCCGTTCATCGTGCCCACGGAGGGACAGCTCGTGACAACCAATGAACTTCAAAACATCTATCAATCGACCGAGAACATGGCGGTTTTTTCGACGTTTTGGTTGTGCCGACGAATAGAAACCGCGCGTCCTTCATCCAACTGTGCTGCAATATTAACATTTCCGAATGTTCGGTATTTTACTGCATTGTCCAGATGCTCCATAGAAGATTGATGATCCCTGGCACGCTCGGAAAGATGTTTAAGATCTCTAAAACCAAATTTACACGGGCGCAACAGTGAGTCACGGGCGGTAGCAAAAAGTAGGCAATAAAAACAAAAAAGTGCATTTTTGTCCTCGCTGTAACACAACCATTCGTGTTTTTTATACCAAGTTTCTGCGCAGAATGTACGCCGACCTTTCCTCCGTCATGGGATTGTTCAGTGAACATTTTTTGGTTGATAAGGCCCAAGACGTTGTACCTTTAATTTTTGTTTCCAGCGGCAGCTGCGGAAAACGGAGTGCGAAGTAGTGCATCAACCTTATTCATTATGAGGTCTAAGGCTAAGAAATGCGAAGCCGGAAAGAAGTGAGGAGCTCAAAAAGGAATGTGGAAAATCGAAAGCAAATGGACTAAAGGTCTCTAACTGATTCAAATAGCGAAACAGCGACAAAAACGAAGGCGAGGAAACTATCAACTCTTCAAGCAACCAACGAACGAGAAGGAGTGCGTGAATATGTCAACACGTTGTTGTAAGAAACGTCGGCATTGTGTCGTCATCATTTCGGGGCTAGCCCCGATCGGCCCCGATGATTTAGTAAAAGAAACAGAAAACAAACGAGACAAACGCGGCGAGTGGAAGATAAAAGAGAGAATACGATATACAATGAGCAACCGGGGCAAAATCGGCGTCGCCCCGTCGACGTTCGGCGAAGGCTTTGCGAGCGAAAAATGAACCATGTCGGGAGAATATGGCTAGTGTAGACAGTCTGTGCAACCGATATTGAGGTATTTTTCGAATATTTTTTATTATACCGAAAAAACAACCGGGGCCCTATTGACGCGCCGCCACTATACTGAGTAGGGCTGGGCATATTCGAATATTCAACTAAATAGCACTTTACTATTCGAAAATTTGGTAACAGGTGACGCGACAGGTCACTTGCGCGTCGCTTAATCAAACGATTGGATTTCACAATTCACTTGCGGATTTCCGACAAAAACACGAGTCGGCACGCGCGTGGATAGATAAATACCTAAGTGGTGCTTCTCGCAAGCTCGAACAACGGGGGATAATTTTTGTTCTGGTGGGTGTCAATGGTGGCAACCTAAATTTTCTCAATTGAAAAGCGACAATACAAAATACTAGAAATAAAACGGAGAACACCATAACTTCCATTTCAAATTAAAAACGCTCTTTTAGACATTGCAAATCGCAAAAATTTCGGGTGTTACTGTAGTATACGTTGATCACGTGCATTTTCCCTTAGGATTCTTTGCTTTACTGCTCCACATTGGTAGGTTACAGTACTGGAGCGCCGTAAATGTTTTACGGACAGCTCAGATTTGTCGAATTCACAAAAATACGAATCAAAACAAAATATAATCGGGCACCACGCATTTTTGTGTCCACTGATTGTCATGATATTTTCTGAGTACTATTGCTTTTATTTCTTCAACACAGACGCAGATTAAAATGATCACAATAAAATTTATATTATAGCAAGGCGATGATATATTTTTTTGATTCACTAATATACTTTAATTATATTTTCAATAAGTACTGAATCAAGTTGTAATTTCTGGAAATTTATAAGAGATAGTAGGATTTTTCTAAAGGCGATAACAAATTCGGAAGATCGCAAAAAATATGTATATATATATCAAAACTAAATATAATGGGGCAATATATTCTCACATTATTATGTTTGCAGATGGCCGTGGAATTTTGAAGAAGTAATGCTTTCATCTTGTTATAAATCGACGCAACCGCGAGTGACCACGAACACAATTAAATTAAAATAGAACAGGTTTATGACAACAACAGCATTTAACGTTCTATTTGAGAAAATATACAGCAAATATTTGTTATCGGGATTTCATTCCCGGAGTTTGGAACTGTATTTTCAAGACCCAGGGGTGTAGGAACGTGTCTAACTTTCTTCTGCCTGGGACAAAATTTTAATAATGAATGATGTCCCTAATTCCTCCCAACTTAACCAATAGTTTGGGGGATAAACAAATTATAGAAGTTGTTATACATGAGGGGGGGGGGGGGGGCACATGTGATGTATGTTATAGTTTCGTTGCTTAGATGACTTAATTGAATAATAATGATACAAACATTTCACTTTTACTTGGCCTTCATTCTCATGTATAACAACTCCATAATTAATATATCTGCCAAATTATATTTGGAAGTTAGGTATAAGGAAAAACTCGTCGTCATGGATTGAATGTTGTGCGAACTGAAAAGGCCATTTAATCATTTATACACTAAAAAAGTCGGCTCTTTAATCGCGTAATTGCGGCGAATTTCCGATTTTAAAATTCTGTTGTGTCTCACAGAGTACCGTTGCGATAAACGCACGTTGAGTCCGCAAAGATTTTCACCGGTGAAAAAATAGTCCGAGACCAAAAAAGGTTGGGAAACGCTGGTCTATGACTTGGGGACATACGCAATTTTGCAACTTTACTATATGCACCAGTCCTGAAAACTAAACATTCCAAAAACGAATGTAATTTTCAGTATCTACAATGTCTAACCCCAAAAATAGCTAATCAGTTTCAATTACATTTTTTTTATGTTTAAAAATATATATTTCAATAATATAACACGTTCTGCATACCCACCGAAATAGGACTAAGATTAAATATAAAGAATAAAACAGCAAGGCACCCAATATAAAAGCCAACCAAGGTGAATTGGACTCGGACAGTGAATATCACAAGTGCACGCCTTCCTATACTGTAGTATAAATAGTCCTGCGGTAACAATGATAATTCATTATGACGAAACAATTGCATAAAAGTGCATGTCATCATTGATGACTACTACTAAATCTCCATTTTTATGGGTTTCGGAATTCTTAAAATAAAATCTGATTTAACAGACAGGTGCGCAGCATTACATAAATACCTATTTTATAAAAAAAAACTCAAAATCGCCAAAAATGACTTACGCAATTCGGTTATTAGCGTGAGGTGACCGTACATTTGAACCCATGTACATTCGAACCCATGCGTATATACACGGGTTCAATCTATATTCGGGTGGTAAAACCCATGGGTTAGGTTAGTATGGGTTTAACTATCCGTGAAACAAAAAAAATTCCATAGGTGCAATAGCATACAGGTGCAATTGTCATGGGTTCAAATGTACGTGGGTTCAAATGTAATGGAACCTTAGCGTGACGATATGTACATATGACACCTGTGCATATCAAAATGTAGACGTAGAGCACAATTCTTTTTTATACCAGTACCTCAAAAACCGACTAGTCGTTTGTAAATATCTTGAACGCGGATTCAAAATAAGAGTAGAATGTAATGGTTACGAAATTAACTCAGTTTACACTTTGTATGTGATAGTTTTTTTTTCGAAGTAGGTAGGCATAATTCCGCTCACCAGTAACTTCTGCATAGCCTTGCAGAGTATAACATGGTTTAAACAAAAATGTCGATTTATCGTTCGGCTCTTTACCAAATAGATAAAAATGCATTTAATTTGGGCAATGTCAAGGGAATCTACTTTACTATATGCACTAAATGCATCTCATGTAATTTGAACTTTCATGAAGTATAGAATTACTGTTTACATCCACCGTTCTGTAATGCGGACCAATCAGAGACCACGCTGTTGGTAGTTCTAAAACTGTGACACGATAAGCCGTTGAGGCTTTCAAACAAATAGAAGATTGTATCGCAAAATATGCTAAGAAGTCAGATAGAAGCAAGTAAACATATGGTGTGGATGACATAACTGTGGAAAGAAATATTGGATACCAAACTTATACTCTTTATGCAGAAAATAAAGAGATTCAAAAAGATCTGCCGACTGTTGAAATAACTGAAGTAAATAGTCCGGACATATGGATTGAACGGCCCAATTGGGATTTCGAAACCCACAGTGGTAATGCACGCGATCAGATCTTGCACGTCTTCTCAATGTTTGTTGTAGTTTTGGTGAACTTAATAAAGTGTGAATAACCTTGAGAAACATATTCACATAGAGCACACTAAATCAACTAACCTGCATGTACGCACAATCTAACACGAATGAATGCAACTAAACTACGTGTCATCAATACAGCGAATCTAACGAGCGCAGCAAGCAATTTTTTTTACAACAGCTCTTGATGTTCTTCGTATCTTTTGCTCATTTCCATAGTTAGAGTTTCTTAAACCACGGGTTATAATTGAATTCCCCTTTTACTGATAAAATTGCAGTATAGTATATAAATGGTATAATAGTATATAAATATCTCTAATTTTCTTTACTATATTTAAGATAAATGATCGTGATCGCAGCATTTGAGAAATATAAGACGTCACTTTCATCATTGGATTTATATTCTTTTTATAGACGAATGTTTACTTCAACCAAGAGCTCGCATAATAGAGGTTGAACCTGCCCGAAGCTCCAGTGAAGACAAAACGTCTAGAGGTTCAATGGAAAATATTCAAGGGAATCATAAACAAATAGATATTTATCATCTGAGCAGCTTGTAGCAAGCACCTGGTCCTAGAAGATCTGCAATTTATTTATAATTCGTCTATTCCGATTGACCTTGGGAGTCATCTTGTGTCGAATATATATATGTCGCAATTTATTCTATATATATCGGAGATGAGTTGGAAGGACTTTGTTAATAAAATCTTTCAAACGAGGGGTCGGTATGACTTCTTTGAGCCTTGCATTATTTTTCTATTGTACATAATACACTAATTTTGTACATAATAAAAACGAAAACTATCGACGGCGTTGACAAATTCTTCAGGCAAATGTTTGTAGCGCTTTGGTAGTTCAAGTTTACCGGACGCAGGAAAAGAGTTGCCGATGCGTGCGCGGGCACTACTGATACATATTTACAATGGCTTTTCAAAAAATGCAAATTTTTCCCAAACCTTGTGTTATAAATAATATATATATATATATTTGAGAAATTTAGTTTTTTACTCTTCTGATCTTTAATTTGGTTCTTATCCGCACAGTAAAATACAGCACTTAATTTTAATCACATATGATATATACTGAAAATAAAGTGAAATGAACACATACGAATATAAGAATGTCGGCGTCTCAGTCGTACCACATCGCTAATAAACTTAGGCGAATTTTGTAAAAACAAGGTTAATGAATAGACCTTCCAGTTTTTACTATGGCGCCGGAGGACAACGCTGTCAAATAAAGATGTAATTATATGCGGTCGTGAGACTTTAAAACTTTCTGGCCTCGCATCCAGCTTTCCCAAACTATCAACATTCGTGAAAAAGTAGCCTATGTATACATATTCGATTCATCTGGTACGCTATTGCTAGTTTTCATTTGCCTACCTTCGGAAATACACTTTCTTGGGTACTCCCGTAGTTTGTAGGATTAGGCCATAATTTCATTCCGATTTTTCTTTTTAGTTCTATTACGAGTTCAGGGACCGTCTGTGTTGGCCAAGTGAATACACCCCCTGCCCATTAGATTCAGTCCATTTGCACGACTCCATGTGAAGTAGGCGAACAAAATTAGTTACCTCCATATTGGTACACAAAACACTTCTCGGGCGCTCCTTCTAGTACGTACAACACGGAGTTATGATTGTGATATTAACAATAAAAGAGGACTTCTTGAAGTATGCGCACCAAGATAGCGCACAACCTGAACTCAGGTTAAGTTTCAGGTTATGCGACATCTTAGTGCGCATACTTCAGTAGCACCATAAAAAAAGGATATAGCTTTAGCCATCCCGCAAGGACCTTGTAGATAAATGGATTGCATGCAGCCTTCATGCGGTTACTTAATCAAACAAATTCCAAACCTTTATTTCTTTTACTGTTAATAAACCCAGATATTTAATAAAAAGGTCAATAGAAAGTACCCGGCATCTCGATTGAGTAAAATCAAACGTCCGAAATAATTTAAAAAATATAACCTGCCAGAAGATCGCGCAGAGTATCACCCCAAACTGATTGCAACAGGCGCTTCTGTATTTGGACAATATTTAATAGATTTTCACAATTATTTTATGGAATTTTATTAAACAAAATCGGTCTATGCCAAGATGTTTCATATTGTGTAATCATTAATTTTTAAAATAATGTTTTCATCCAACTGGGGGAGAATTGTCCGGCTCGATTCTTGCACTACTTCCAGCCCAGACAAGCTTACTTTCCACTCTATTCCAAATGTGCCATTCCCGAAAACCAAGAGCAGCATTTTAAAAAAATTACGATTTCACAAGTCATGACCCCTCTCCATCAACTTCCAAACCGACTGCATACAAAAGGTCAGATATGCAGCATTCCGTGACGAAATCGGCTGCTCTTGCAGAAACTGGCTTGTGAGCACTTTTGGGTGGGTGTTTGAACTTTGGTCCAAAGTTAACAGAGACTGTACAGTTTTTGTATATTGAAATACAGGGATAATATGCTCCTTCATATACTTCGTCCCTCCATGCTGAGCCCTGAGAAACTCCATTTTTGTAAAATTCGATAAAGGCCCCTTTTAAGTGTTGCAGTGATTTCACTGTTTTTTCAACTTCATCCTAAACAAATTTTTATACAAAATAAAACCGAATGAGCACAATATGGTAAAACGTTCTTGGGATAATTTTTTTTCAATTTTTCGGGAGAAGGAGAAAGGTGCGGAGGCGAGCGTATTCCTAACGCTTAGCCCGTTGAGCCACACCGCCACGCCGAGTAATCAGCTATGCTAAGGCAAGCCTGTTCCACGGTAAGCACAATACGCCAGCCACCTAAGGTTATTCCAATAAGCCCACAAGCTTCTAATGCCACACTATGGACCGGTGCCACACTATGGACAGGTGTCACAAATGCTTTGCCATTTGTAGTGTTTTTCCATATTCGTTCTGGGATGTATCCACATTTCACTATGAAGAAATATTCAGAACTCAGAATTTGGTTTCAATGCTGATCAGGCTGAGTGATCTGGCAGAGTTTTCCATCAGTGAGCCTGAAGGTAGTCTACAAAGTCTGAAGGTAGTCTACAATCTACATCTACAAATTCAACAACTGAAAATCGCGAAGGAGCCTTATTGACTGAGGAATAAGGTAGCTGTAGCTCAGAAATGAGATTCCCTGCCAATGCTGGCCAAAATAAAATAGAATATACTTTTAAGGCTTCAGATCACTATCTCACCATGGCCAAAACTGTCAGAAAAAAGGCTAGGTGGGAAGGAATGCTAGACAGTAGAAGTTCTTGAAAGAAGCTTTTCAACAAAATTTAGTTCACAAGTGAGAACCTTTAAGGGGGAATTCATTGCTAAATAATAAGAATATAATCTAAAAATGGCGTAAATATGTGGAATATTTCATTCTAATCATTCACTTATTTTCTCAGAATCATTTAAGGGCATTATTCTTCAAGGCTCAAAAGTTTTCAATACAACAATACAAAAAATACCACTGCTTTCAATATTATATAAACAAGATGGGAACAATATATGCACATCTTTATCTCGAAAAGACATGAGAATTGTGCACATGCAAAATCCAAATGAAATAATTTAAGCGATAATAAAATGCAAATCACATAGTATGTAGAAGGCTTTTGAGCGAATGAGTTACTATAAGCTATGCTATAAAGTGTAATACATAATGAATTACATACTACCTTTTCTTCAAAGTAAAAGAAACTTTTAAATTTGATCAATGCATTTTCTTTATGCGTGTTCGGCAAACATCGGGCAGTTTTTGTTGTCTCGGGTAGATGTATGAAGAAGCCTAGCACATCGCCAGCACCATAACCTTTATCACTATAATGCTTCCCTGAACTTTGATGAAACCTACGGAAACAATAATTTCAGTATGAAACATATTTCATATTCATATTTCCATATTCTTTGCAACCTTCAATTCCAAAAAAAAATTTTTTCAAGATCAAAATGACTTCCTTTAATTAAATTGATCTCCACTGAAGTAATCACCAAGGTTATGGGTAATATGGCGTAGTGTTGAGAGAATTACTATACCTAACTAAGTTTTGCCTGACTACAGGGTGTTAAAAAAGTTTCAGGTAAAATTTTTCGTCATGGCAACATTAAAAAAGAAACTGTTAAAAGGCGTCAGTCGTGAAATGCTTGGATGGCACTTCAATAAAGATGTCAGTCGTTAAATGTTTCAAGTAGCATTTCATCTTAACTTCTGTTCATTTTGCGTTACTTTTTTAACACCCTTTTAACACCCTGTATGTTTTGAGTGTAAACATTGGCAGGCAATGCTAAAACTGAAAAATTTTGATAAAAAAATACACTAGATGGGAATATTTATGTACAATTTGCAATTTAGAACGACGTCTCACCTTGTACCTTTCCGACTTCTCCATGAGTAACCAAACTTATCATAGCCGAGAGGTGCTTGAAGATTTCCCAATTTTTGCGACCAACCAAGGCGAACATGAGTGTTTTCAGGCATGTCTTGAACAGTAACTTCATAGAACCATGAGCCACTTTTAACATAATGACTAGCACGAATCATACTATATCCTTTTTCCCCAGTCACTGACAAACGATCATCACTGACTTTTAGCTGTGGTGCTCTACAAATGGAAGGAAAATGTTCAAAAGAAATATTTTTTTATCACGTAACTTTGCACAAGAATCTAAGTGATCACAAACGTAGAACCTTAATACTGGATAAACAGTTTTGTAGTGATGTGTGTGCCTAATATAAATGCCACATAAGCCAACAGTATGGCTTTGACTCCTGAAACATATATTCCAATTTCTTCTTTCTTTATAAGGCCTGTATTCACGCTTTTCAGCTACCACTATATTTGAAAGAAATTGCATAATGCATACCTAATTTATTGCATGGGAGTTTAACCCGATAGGTGTAAGCTCAAATGTGAACACAGTCTAACACTTTTCAAGGAGCTAAAACATTCATTTTAAAATTAAATTTTACCTATCATGTAAAGATAGCAGCACCTTTTCATGCAGCCACCTTCGATACAATTTTCCAGGGATAGGTTTACCAGGTATATCAGGCTCTGGATCATTGTCTGGAATATGTGGATCCGGTTCAGCAAGAATGTAACGATAACCATCTTTGTTATAAGGATGTTCGAGAGGAAAGCCATGAGCCGGTAATCTCTAAATATTTAAAGACTGAAATTATCAAAGTTAAAAAACACAAAATAAATAATATATATCTCACTGGGATGAAGTAAAGCTGGTAGGAGATTTACATATATATGGTGAACCAGTCTCCCTGGCTGCCATGCAAGGATACAGTAACAATTACCAATGCAAAGTTCTATATGTACATGGTTTATCAACTTATTTAATGTTGAATATCGTAAAAAATCTATACTCCAAATTATATTTGAGAAATTGGACTTTGTCTGTTTGGTCGACCAACTACCGATCTTTTCCTAGGCTTTTAAGCTGCTTTCCTCGGGATAAATATGTTAAGTCCCAGCCCATTTATTTTCAAATTGTATATTATTTATAAGATACTATTATTGCGGTTTGTCCAATCTAGAACATATCCGCCTTCCAAGATCATAAACATAGCCATGAATTTTGGGCTGATGGGAAATTATGAATGCAGATATGATGAATGATTAAACCGCACTGCAAGAATATTTTACCTGACTGTAAGGAATTTCAGTTCTACTTCTTTTGTTAGTAGATGACCCACTAGCATCTTGTTGTTTACGCTTCTTTCTTGTTCCCCTTCCTTTTCCAAGGTTGTTATTCAAAGATGCTGGCTGAGCAGGTGGCGGTGGTGCATTGTTGTATGGCGAATTCATTTTTCCTAATCAATAACTGCAGTTTTGCTAAACCAGATGTTAACTTTCAGGCTTGTATGTCCAATATTAGAACATTTAGCAATGCCTAGGCTATAAGTAATTTTAAATTTTTTTCTGCACTAAAAATACCAATATCATGAATATTGAATAGGTCATATCAAGTTATTTTTTATATTATCTAAAACGGTCTTGGGCATTCAGCCAAAGAGAATTGTGCATTCATGATTTTATTTATCAGTTCACATAATACAGTATTAACGTTACATGCCCGCACTGGATGTGGACGGGTACAGATAGAAGGACGAGAAGGCATGACTTGCAATACAAATTTTTTCCTTCAGTAAATCGGATTATTTTTTTTTTCGAGGAATCCAATGGTGATGATTTTAGATTGCGCTTCCTTTTAGTTTATTGTGCAGTCTCGGTTTGCGGAATTGTGCCGATATTGAGGCCTACAACTGTTTCGTAAAGGAGGGTTTGCACTCACTGTTGTAATTGATGTCTGTCAATGCGGATGTCTGTCTATTCTCGAAATTGAATAACTGTGCTGCGCTGCCCGACGGCAGCAAGGAGTCCGGCAATCCTCTCACATATCAGCATATGCAGACATGATTATTCCAGAGAGATTTGAACCCAAGCAGGGTAATACTGTAATAAGAGGTGCTGTGTGGAGCGTACGGTACCGGTATTCCCAGCGCTTAGCGCGATTCAACACACTGCCGAATAGGATAGGATAGGATTTACATATTTATCCCGGGGGAGAGGAAAGCCGATAAGACGGCTTATCCATATGGCGAACCACGGCCTCTCGTCCGGTTACCATTCCAAGTCGGGTATGGGATTAGTTTTACTGTATTGTTTGTTTTCGGAAGCATGGACTTGGTGGTGGAGGAAGCCGTAACCGACCAGCGGTTACGTGAACCACCCAACGACGGCGAGGAGTCCAGCAATCCTCTCGCACATAACCACCATGGGATTCGAACCTGCGAACCCACGCAGAGTAATTAGAGGTGCGGTGGCGAGCGTATTCCTAACGCTTAACCCGTTGAGCCACACCGCCGCGCCAGGATATTATTAAGCCATCTCATTTCTTCAGACAATATAAACAAGTAAATGTATGGTACGCCAGGTACCACCGTACGGTAGGTACCGGTACCCTACCTACGGTAGGTACGGTGTACCACAGCCAATACAGCAATAACAGGGGAGTGGTGCTCCTTCTTACAGTCTTATAGGCGACTTCCAGACTTCATGATGTCAGAGTATTCATACGGGACCTCGTATTATATTTGTATCATCATGTGCCCGCTCACCAGCACACACTCACAACCCTTGTTATATTGGTAGACTACGGGTATAGCCTAGCCCAGGGGTCGGACAACCTACGGCCCGCGGAGCAATATAATACGGCCCGCGGAGCAATATAATCCGGCCCGCGACGCTTTACTGATTTATAGTACGGTACGGTAACAAATGATGGCTGTTTTGTCGATTATATTCTTTACGCAAAAGAATTTACGTGTAGACTAAATTATATTATAACGTAACAAGTATATAATTCACAATTACTCGTTTAATGAGCCTCTAATTTAGACAAATGGCAACCAAACGCAGAAAAGTTGATGCTAAGTTAGGGCTACCATATTTCAGTATTTGAAAAAGCAAAATTCCGGACAATGCGTAACTATTTTCATGGGACCGTATATATTATATATTCGCTACCGAAATGCTAAGGCTGCAAACGTTGTACGATACTCGTGCTAAAGCGCCAGCTACCGAAGTGAAAAGTATTGTTTGTTTTTTTTTCACCGCAAACAAATCACAGAAAAAACTTTTTATCGTCGACTAAAATACCGCCGGCACTCGACCAGGCGTATTTCGCGCTTGGGCGATAGGAACGGATTTATCAGCGACTCGAAATCCAAGATATATGTATTTTATTGGGAGCACAAAATAAATGTAACAAAACGCTTTGTTTTACTTTATAACTTCTATTTCCGGAAACCGGGTGCCGTGAAAAGTAAAATTTTATCTAAATTAATCGCAAATAATGTTTCATCATCTAACGTCTGGTATTCAGCATTTTCCGAGAGAATTCGAAAAGTCATTTAATTTAAAATGGAGAATGTTTCACTATTCTAAAAATGAAGATTGTTGTAATCTAAAAATTGCCTGTATGATGGCAGTCGGCACCAAAAATAAAACGGTGCAATAACGCCGTCTTCGCGTTCTGAATATTCAAGCTGAGATTACAGTAGGGTTGGTTTATCCGGATAGCGGTTATCCGGATAACCGGTTAACCGAGAGCTATTTTGCTATCTGATATCCAGATATTATTGTAACGGTTAACCGGATAATAGCTGAATAGAGCAGTATAAACACTGCATATGCGCATTAGTGATTTTATATTTTTTGTTGAGTGGCGACTGACATCTCCCAGAGCATATAATAACAACTTTTATTCACACTACTCTGACGATATTTGAACCATCCGTGAAAGCTGGAAATGAACTTCACTATTACATCACAAAACACGTAGAACAAATGTGATTATTGCGTATTTGCATTGGAACTGGAAGGTCTTACCATTGATGACTACATAAGGTATCAATGTTATTGTTAAGGCATCAATGGTCTTACTACTTACTGAATAAAGCGCGAAGAGCACGAAATATTATTATAATATAGTAAACTATGGTCGTAGACTTAACGGACATCCAGCCGTTCAGGGATTCAAAGGACCTCTCACTAAGTTTGGTTGTTAGAAGAATACTACAAATCAATAAGAGTTTTAGAAAGAATAACAAAATTAATGGACATGCCGTCAATTCTTTGTATTTCACAATTTGCTTATAATATATTAATATTGGAATGTATTTGGCAAGGTCGCCGCGGGCCGGCGGTTGAGAACCACTGCTCTAGAGTCTAGACTAGTGTTTCCCAATGACAAAAGCAGTCAGAACTAATTTTATCATTACCGTATTTTACGGATCATAAGGCGCACTGTCAATAATTTGCCTAGATATCAAAATCGACGAGATCAAAACGACTGTCAGAGCAGGCACCGACTCCATCATACAGGCCAGTGTTTCCCAACATTTTGGCCGCGGACTATTTCCGAATCGAAATGTATCGCGGCGGACGCAAGACACGGAAATTAAATAAACGTTTATTTTATAGAGATTTTTTATTAGGAAAACTATAGAAACTCCGTTTATTGCTCAACATTCGCTACATTTAATGAAAACCTCGCCCCTGAACTTCTCTCCCCAAGTTTGTCGAAATTGGGGACTATGGTAGTTGAAGGGCATCTCATGTCATCTTCAGGTTGCCGTGCTTGGTTTTGAGCAAAGCCAATGTTAAAAAACCGGCAATAATGTTTTTGTTGCTTGGCTACACAAATCTGCTCTTCTAGGCTGTCTACTTTGCAACTCAACCAGCTGGTCAGTAACGCGATCTTTATCTGGATGAACCTCTAACGCTGAAATTTCAAAACGACTTCGCACCCAATAATAAATATTTTGCTGTAGCTGAGGGATATATCTGTATCTGAGGGATCCTGTGAAGGGCTCGAAAAATATTGGAAATATATCCTTTATATCTTCCGCAAATATGTCTAAGGCGGTGAAAAAGGTTATCCTGCCACTTCCCATTCGATGCATCCGCAATTTCATTTTAGCTTTGAATCCGACAATGTCTTCCAATACATCCAAAAATATTTTTCCTTCCCCTTTCAGCTGATTCAAATGACCGAAAAATCGGATGATAGCACTCTCACAATCCATGCATTGCCGCTAAATCCATACGCAAGTTTGTGATTCAGTTCTATTAGAAAAACACTAATTTCACTCCGCAGACTAGCAACTCTCTCCAACACCCTTTCCCGTGGTAGCCAACTGATAATTGAATGGAATGCTTAGTCTCGAAATGGTGTCGTAGTTTAGCTTTCCTCACTGAGTTGTGAGATAGAACCTCAAAGCACAACATACGTTGCGCCCTGGTTTCGCCATTTACCGGTACCTCAATCGAGGAAAACGCAAGCTTAAAAACCAGTGGCGGTGCGTGGTCATTTTGACAACCGGGGCAAGCTACTGCGGGACCAAGTCACCCCCATCTACGGGGACAGGATGAGCGCTGTAAGTTCTCCCATCATTTTATGAGTATAAAAACCATTCCATCGGTAACAACCAATCGGCAAAAGCGACAATTTTTAACGATAAGAAAGTGTCTTTAAAACCGGTCCAAGTCAAGGGATTAATAAATATAGACATAGTTTATTTTGAAACCTCTTTCAAAAGGAAAGGCAATATTTACCCAGATAAATACAATGACATATTAACAGAAACTTCGGGAAAGCAGACAAAACCTAAAATAAGGTTTAAAACGTTACTATGAAGAAAGGAAAGGTAATGCAAAGATAAGCACATGCGTCGCTCACTCATAGATATATATGCTGCTAGACTTCTACTGCTTGAACATATATGCAACACGCCGCGGTTTCTTGGAAGCAAAATGCTCAATAACGCGCTGATTAAAGTCATGCATCCCAGAAATAACGTCTCTGTGAATGGATAAAACAGCCAAGGAATTTAATCTATCTTGCTTCATTGTGTTTCTGAGATACGTTTTAATACGCTTCAGCGTGCTGAATGTTCGCTCTGCGTCGGCGGAAGAAATAGGCGTCGTCAAAATGATGTCCAGAAATTTTGCAGACGCCGCAAAGGTAGTTACTAGAGTGTTAGCTATGAGGAACCCATAGAGCGCGGAAGTTGATGTGTTGTTCAAAAAAGTTTGATTGGTGTATATACATCGCAATTCATTTTCCAATTTACCCACGTTTGTCATGGGGTAAAATTTGGAGACAGTAGCCAAAAAATGGATGGGAAATAGACGTGCAAATTTTGAAAAATTTTTGGGGTTCATCAAAGAGAACGCGGCAAGGTGTTCAGTGCGCAGACGATCGCCTATTTGATTCACCAGAATGTCACAGCATTCCTTTGCAGACAAAATCAAACGCTGCGTTGTTTGCCCGCGGCGTAAAGAAGCACTCCATGTGTCGTCGTATTTTGACTTCGCGTTGTAAGGCTGTAACACTTCTTTCAGTACAGCCGATATCCCGCAAGCCGTGCGATCAACGATTGGTACAAAGCTGTGAAATCTCTCGGTAGGTTTACCATCTTTCACAAACCGAAAAATCACAGCCAGTTGGGAAACGCACGTGATGTCAGTTGTCTCGTCAGACTGAATCGAAAGGAACTGGCAATTCTCAATTTCCAGAGCCAAATGTTGTAAATAAATTTTATACATTGAGTCGAGCAAATCATTTTGGATATCCTTAGATGTCCCTTTCGAAACAGTTGCGGCATCAAGATGATCTCTCAATACTGTATCTAGGGATGCGGTGTATTCCACCATATCCAAAAATACCCCTCTATTAGAAGAGCCAGCGCGTTCATCGTGCCCACGGAGGGACAGCTCGTGACAACCAATGAACTTCAAAACATCTATCAATCGACCGAGAACATGGCGGTTTTTCTCGACGTTTTGGTTGTGCCGACGAATAGAAACCGCGCGTCCTTCATCCAACTGTGCTGCAATATTAACATTTCCGAATGTTCGGTATTTTACTGCATTGTCCAGATGCTCCATAAAAGATTGATGATCCCTGGCACGCTCGGAAAGATGTTTAAGATCTCTAAAACCAAATTTACACCAACGTGAGTCACGGGCGGTAGCAAAAAGTAGGCAATAAAAACAAAAAAGTACATTTTTGTCCTCGTTGTAACACAACCATTCGTGTTTTTTATACCAAGTTTCTGCGCAGAATGTACGCCGACGCTTTCCTCCGTCATGGGATTGTTCCAGTGAACAATTTTTTGGTTGATAAGGCCCAAGACGTTGTACCTCTAATTTTTGTTCCAGCGGCAGCTGCGAAAACGGAGTGCAAAGTAGTGCATCAACCTTATTCATTATGAGGTCTAAGGCTAAGAAATGCGAAGCCGGAAAGAAGTGAGGAGCTCAAAAGGAATGTGGAAAATCGAAAGCAAATGGACTAAAGGTCTCTAACTGATTCAAATAGCGAAACAAGCGACAAAAACGAAGGCGAGGAAACTATCAACTCTTCAAGCAACCAACGAACGAGAAGGAATGCGTGAATATGTCAACACGTTGTTGTAAGAAACGTCGGCATTGTGTCGTCATAATTTCGGGGCTAGCCCCGATGATTTAGTAAAAGAAACAGAAAACAAACGCGGCGAGTGGAAGATAAAAGAGAGAATACGATATACAATGAGCAACCGGGGCAAAATCGGCGTCGACGTTCGGCGAAGGCTTTGCGAGCGAAAAATGAACCATGTCGGGAGAATATGGCTAGTGTAGACAGTCTGTGCAACCGATATTGAGGTATTTTTCGAATATTTTTTATTATACCGAAAAAACAACCGGGGCATTGCCCCGGTTGGCCCTATTGACGCGCCGCTACTGTAAATAAAAACAATAAATAAAAACTGATTATGAAATCAGGAGAGCAAACAATTTAAACAAGATTTGAAACGTACATAATATAAGATGGAAGGTTTTGCCAAGAAGAAGTGGCGAAACTTTTCCATCCTCTGATTACCCCGCGATTACGACTTCCTCCGCCGCCACTTTGGGTGTCGCAGCTCGATATCCAGCTTTGGCTCCTCGCGGCTTCCCTTCCACATTTGAAATGTGTGATTATCTTTGTATTTTGTGTAAAACTTGCTTTTTTTACTGGTTGGAAAATATAAACTTGACTTGACCAACATCTAGTTCCAGACAGTCCATTTTTGGACACGTGAGTGGACCTGTGGATCGTTTTCATATTTTTGATAATCTTTTTCTTGTTGGTCATCTTCTACTTCGTATGGCTTTGAAAAAAATCGCTTTTCTCCTTGATTAATGGACCAATTGCTTTGAAATTTTTAGTGAGTAAAGATTATATTTTTCGCTAGAAGGCTACTTACTTTTATTTATCGTTTTTGTGTGCTATGACGCCATCAAAATTTGCCACTATATTTGAGCATAACTCTCTTGTTATTACATAACAAATGAAGAAGATTTTGCGCAACTTAAACGTGGAGTCAAATCGAATGCGATTGCTTTACTGTTCTTATAATGTTTCTCTGTACAAATGATTATTGTAGCCAATGCGCCTGCGGACTTACCAGTGCCGCGGGTTAGGAAACACTGCACCAGGCCGCTAATGCGAGTTGCACTGAAGCGTGCCACCGAAGACAACCTCCGGCCAAAAAAGCCGGAGTTGCGCAAGGTGTTCTTTTATTACTTATCGATCTTGATCGGTAATTATGTTGATATATAGATCTGTTTGATACACGCGATTCTCACGGAAGCAAGGGTAAATCTAAGCATCCGTCATATCTCGGACCAGAAGCCTATTAAATTTGGATTAATTATGTCGTATGATTAGCGAGTTAATATTTAATTAGTGATGGGACACACGGTGTCACTATGGAGTAAGAGTGGAGTGGATCAGGATAAATCGAAACAGCAGTTTCTGATTTGGGGATCACCTAATTTTCGATCGATAAGTCTTCGGTCTCCGACCGATATTCTCGTTTAATCAGTCAGGCCAGACCGCCTCAAACTAGTGCTGTAGTGGTTAGATCCGAAATGCACTCACGTTCACGCTATTTTTGCTCTCTTCAGCAATTAATTACTACCGGTACTGTACTAAGATTCTTGAAGTAGGTATCATTATGCAGTTCTGCAGTTAGGCTATGTCTGTTGCAAAAATTTGGCTTTCTCAACTACCGGTACCCGAATGGTTTTCCTCTTTCTGTCTTTACTGGGATAAGCATGAGAATCGTGAATCACGTCTTTGCACACAAAAAGGAATCCATAGAGGATAGAGCCCACAGAAATTTACAGAAATAAAATAGTTGGCACATGTTCACTAAAATCCGTACTTCTAGTTGGCGTGGCAAAAACATTTTTGCATATAGTAGGCTATTCCTAACCCCCACCTGACCTGACTACGTCATCTGGTACCGTAACTACTACCGGTAATTCTGAACAAATTATGGCTTACTTGTAATTAACAAATAGTGATTCATAAAATGAATATTATGGAATTCAACCAAACTGTCATAACAGCATACCGTAACTGATTATAGCCTACTTATATAATACCGGTACTTGTACTTCTTATCCTGATTTGACATTTTTACAAATCATTGAATGGTCAGATCATATGAAAAACTGTGCACAGTTATTATGGTTGGAGCATTTATTGGTATATCTTGTCGCATGGACTTGGTTGGTATAAATCACCATAATCGTCGGTGTTCATTAAACAGCAATTTTTGTGATATGAAAGAGTATTTTTTGCCTTTCATATTACAGTTTGAAAATTCTGGAAGATCTGCACTGAAGCCGTGTTGACCAATTTTGGTATGATTATTAGTTCACCTTTAAATCAAAGACCCTACTCTGTTAGAAATAAAATGCTCCATCTATAAAATATACTACATTTTTCCCTCTAGGCATAGGATTAACTAGTTGATCCTGAATAATAGGAAAACACTTAATTTCATGAAGCAGGTTTTCCTGTATTCAATCTGTCATGCCGGATTGTAGGAATGACTCGCCAAATGGAATACGAATATGGAGTGTTATTAGTTAGTTGTACACCAAGTATATTAGGACTGTATAACAAAACAGATGATAAGGAATTGAGACATACTGCACTTATCCTTGGGATGCTAGCACTTGTTACTGGTGTCTTAGAAAAGATCAAATTGCCTGTTGCTCTCTCTAGAAATGGATCACCTGGTCTGTTCTATGGATATGTTGTTGTTGCTGCAGTACTCCTACAATGTTCGATGAACCAAGAAATGCATGCAAAACAGTTTATGGCTATGAGTATGGAACTCACACACTTCTCTATATGGATGATTTTGTTTTCTTTGACATCATGGCTGTTTAAGTGTTCTTCGGCAACGATTAATTCATACATCAGGGATTTTGCTTTGGTGACCATAATTGGGTATTTCATGCACGCTGCTTTGAATTTGCCAATAAACTTGACATTGTTTTTAAGAGTCGTATCCTGTTTGGTGGTCATTAAGATTACCTCGTATTATCTTCCCAATTGTTTTACGTTGGGTGAAATGCTCTTACTCTATAATTTGCTGACAACATTTCTGTTGAATGTGACTTATTTTGAATCAAATTTTGAAATCACTGTAATTGCTACTTGGGTATTATTTTTTGTAATGCTTTTTCTCATGTCACTAATTCCTATTTGCTTAGTTGGTATTATGTCCACTTGGTACTTTTATTCATCTGGCTTTCTTCTGTTGGCATGTTTACTTATTGTTTTATCAGAATCTATTGTTCCAAATGCAATTCATTGGACTATTGATTTTTTATGGGCTAATTGGCCGCACAGGCAATTGTTGTTAATTTCATGGCTGATAGAAATCTTCATAACTGTATTGTATGTTACCTTTTGGAGGGATCACAATGGGAAGTCGTCAACTTCTGAAAGAAAGATTTTTCACATCATAATTTTACTAACTTATATTCCTGGTATTTGGTACGATATTCCTCTACTTCTCCTCTGCTCAGTTGGTTCTGTTTGCATATTGTTGATCCTGGAGACAATGCGGGTTTTAAAAATTCCGCCTCTTGAAAAAGTTTTAAACGATAGCCTTTCTGTGTTCATTGACGCTCAAGACTCTGGTTGTTTAATCTTAACCCCGGTTTATCTACTTTTGGGCCAGTCTTTACCAATATGGATATCTTGCCTCCAAGACCCCAGTTTACTAACGAACCCTAACTCTAAAGTGCCAATCGCTGCATACAGTGGAATTTTATCAGTTGGGTTAGGAGACACTGCAGCTTCTGTCATTGGCTCTAATTTTGGAAGGCACCGATGGATGGGAACCAACAAAACAGTAGAAGGGACATTTGCTGCCTTTTTTGCACAATCAGCATTTGTGATCTTCTTGTCTGAAACTAATAGTTTAATATATGTTTTTATAGCAATTTTGTCAGTCTCTTTAATAGAAGCATTTACATGTCAAATTGATAATTTAATTCTTCCTTCATATATGTTCTTTTTATTAAATGTACAATCGTTATAAGTCACTGAATGGTTATGCAAGTCATTAGGGGTATTTCAGGACTTTCAAGCATTTACATACATATCAAATTCGTAATTCTCTCTGCATATATATAGGTTGTTAAGCAGTTGCGGATTCAATGGTTTTGTGCAAACTCATTCTTGTGATGTTGTTTAAACGTTAGACAACCCCAACAAATTGGTAACGTGCAGCGCAGCTTACGACTTTGGCTTTTTAACAATTCTGTTTTACCGATCATAAAACGCAACCGTTTGTCCTCAAAATCGTTCCTTATAAGCATGTGCGCCATATGCTTTATTGGACACGTAGTGGACATAACGATCGTTTCAATATTATGTTGTTGTTCTTTGACACGTTTTTAAAAAGTCGCTTTTCTATTCGAATACTGGACCAATTGCTTTGAAATTTTCAGTGGTTGAAGATAAAATTTTTCTCCAGAAGGCTATTACTTTTTTTTTCGCTATGACGTCATCAAAATTATTGCCATTGGGTGGCGCTACGTGTCCATATATTTGAGCATAGCTCTCTTGTTTCCTACATCTTATGAACAGACATCCGTTTTATGTTTACTTGAATGAAAAATACAATTACCATAAAAAACAAGAGAGCTATGCTCAAATATATGGACACGTAGCGCCACCCAGTGGCAATACTTTTGATGACGTCATAGCAAAAAAAAAAGTAATAGCCTTCTGAAGAAAAATTTTATCTTTAACCACTGAAAATATCAAAGCAATTGGTCCAGTATTCGAAAAGAAAAGCGACTTTTTAAAAACGTGTCAAAGAACAACAACAACATAATATTGAAACGATCGTTATGTCCACTTCGTGTCCAATAATGAGTACCGTATTTGCTCGTTTTGTAGCCCGGGCCCATATTTTTTTCAACCAACTCACTATCCGGGTCCTTATTCAAACCCGCCCTTATTTAAGCACGGGCGCTTGTTATTTTCGATCAGCTTTTACATCGGGCGGCTATTCAAACGGGCCTCTTAATCAAGATCGGGCGCTAGAACGAGCATATACGGTATTTTCGTTTAATGAGTTCTGTGGAGTGACCCGATACTCCTTACCCGGTAAGCCTTATTCATGGACAAAACCGAAATCTGAGCCTCAGGGTCCGTAAAATACGGTGGATTTACGTAAAGCGTGTAGTATATTGAAGTGGCATACCGAGGGATTGCCCAAAACGATTACAGTACTTTTAACTAATTTTAGAATAATTTCGAATCAAATCTATTTCTGCCGTCAGCAATGTGTTGGTTTCGTTTTCGAGAAAAATGTTCAGATGATTTTTTGCGCTTTGTCACGTGTTGTTGAGATAATGAAATAGAATCGGCACTCTGATTGTTTTTATTACCTTCTGTGCGATCGCGCGGCGCTTATCGTTGCAACATTCTCGCGCGGTGGACGTTGTCGCCATTTCTCTGCAAGGCGTGCACTTCATTTAATGGGGAGTAATATTGAACAGATACAACCAAGATCAGATATTAAATATGTTGTGTTCATGGCGCTTTGTTACGATACCCAAATTAATTGTCGCAAGTCGGAAAACGAGCTGATTTGTATGTGTATGTATGTATGTTTTTTCGTCTCGTAAAAGCAATTTGAAAGAATTAGTAAGTATAAATACTGAAGACGGGATGTATGCACAAGACCATACTGGCCTAAAACACAAATGTGCAATAAATTGCTCACAATAATTTTATTGTAATACTAAATTTGAATTAAAAAATGAGTCTCGAGACTATTTGTACCATATTTGGTCATTGATGATTAAATTTATTTGGACCAATCCTCATTTGCACTAATTGCTGTGCAAACAAACATATATGTACACCAAGTGAATGGCCATATTCAAGGGCATTATATCTAGATGACTAAAAACATCAGCTTTAGAGCGAAAGACTACCCAGATTCGTTGTTAAAATTTGACCTGATTTTCTCTAATAAGTGCGTGAAAATTTTGTTAAAACCAAGGAAAACAATCCGAGAATATTCAGTCTCTTTCAAGAGTAGGAATACCGTCAAACAATACACCAATTGGGCTCAGTTTTTTTTATTTTGAGGTTTACGCTGGAAAAGAAACGGTTGAATTTAGTGGAAGTGTCGGAAGAGAAATTGTAATGTAAATGCTGAAGGGATTGAATCGCAGGGGTTTCTTTGGAAACAAAACACGGTGTGAGTCGTAGTTGCTTTTAGCACAACCTCTCTGCAATTTCAAAATTAGGCTTAGTTGTGAGATTGTGAATAAAGGTGAGTTTCTAAGAGAACTGATGTTCTAAAAATTGCTATGTGTGATACAGATTGTTTTTAGAAATCGAAACTGAATATGTCAGGATTTGCCAGGAATAAGGGCATCAAATGGAAATTGCGGACTGAATGGATGTTTCCCCGAGCATCGACTTCCTTGTTTACTTCGGGACATTGGCCAATCAGCAAGATGCAAAGAGTGACGTAGTTTCGCATCCGCTCAGACTGATTTTCAGGCGTCGTCGTAAACATTACCTCGTTTTCGCGTTTTTGAATTATATTCGTTAATTTTCAGTTCTGTTTCGGATATTTAAATATAAATCAAATAATTCAATGATCACTTAGTCTTCTTAAAAGTTTCAGTTTAATTGCTGTAATAAAAAATTAGTGTAGAAATAGCTGCAATAGACTAGGCTAAAATTCTTCACCGGTACTTTTAAAAAACAGAAGGTAAGAGCCGCAACTCGAAGGTAAGAATGTTACCTCGTTTTTAATGAATTTCTCTCGGCATTACGTGATGCCGGATGAGAGAAAATTTTTATGCATGGTTTCCTAGGTTCTTGTAATGCCCATACACATAGATCATGTAAAAATATGCTAATCACTTTCGTGATGACTCGTTTGTGACCAGCGATAGCTTGTTATTTTGTTCTACTTCGTTATTTTCCGAAAGATCCTCCATTCGGCGAGACACTGTCTATGCTTTGTGCCTCATTAAATATTTCTCCATAGAAACTTTTCGACGAATATTTCTAACCCATCATCGATTCACAATGCTATCGTAACTAGAAGAGTGTTTTGTACAATAGTGTTCCTTGCTTCGATAAACCCCAACTTGATTGTGCCGAACAACGATGTATTAAGGCACCACTAATGGCTGAATTTCGACCATTAGTACTAAACCTTGCTTTTTATTGGTGGACATTTTACCTCTTTTTATCACAAAACGGCGTCAATAAAACAGGGTACGCCCATAGTATGTGAATCAAGATGTCGTGCATCGGAACGTAGTATATTTATATGTACCAGGTTAAGGTTAGGCCATAATTTCAGGTTACAAATTTTATGGGAGTCACTTGGCTAGTCCCTGAACTCGTAATAGAACTAAACTTTGAAAAAATTGGAATAAAATTATGGCCTAACCCTATCCTGGTGCACATACTACGTTCCGGTGTCCGCCATCTTGGTTCACATACTACGGGAGTACCTAAAAAAGTATCACGTTGATAAATTCTTGTCAGTCGAATTTCCATCCCAATATGGTGTAGTCGAACGTCGATGGTGTCGTTAAACTATTTAAGCATTCAAAAATAATGGGATATCAAGTCTATTACGGGCCACGTAACTCGGTTCCGCATGTCTTGTCGTGTCCTGCTTTTCCCTCTTGCCCTGAGACTAGGGCTCAACATTTCGAATCGAATAGTAAATTATTTGAATCGGTTCAGAGCAAAATTTCGAATCGCCGCCATCTTGTTTTTTTTTTCTTTCCGCCAATGTTCGAGGTGAATTCCTCAATTTATTTTATTGAAACCATATTTTTTCAGTGCAATTTTGACACGTGACTATTTTCTGTAGTGAGTTATTGATAAAACGTCGTTCTTTTTGTGTGTGAGCGCTCAGCAATCTGTCTGAATAATGTATTTCATGTTTTTAGTAATTCATTTATTGACAGGACCAATTACAATAAAAGGTCGCATACAAATAAATATATCTCAAGTATTCGAAATTCGATTCGAAAAAAATATTCGATTCTGAAATCTTCAAGTATTCGAAAATGCCCAGCCCTACCCGAGACACGACATTTTCGAGACACTCGGTTGAATGTGAGCTCTCATCCGTTTACTGCTAATGAACCGTCTAACTAGATTAGAAAAATGCAATATATATACCAACGGCCCGCTGGTAACTGTACCGCATGCGGTACCGAGTTACGTGGTGAGACACGACATTTTTAAAACACCCGAGTGAGACGGTTGAAAACTAAGAATGGGTCGAAATTTGGATCCAGGCTCATTTCGGATCGAATCCAAGATTTTTTGGACTCGAATTCGAGTTTACAAGTATTCTCCCGACGTGATAATAAACACCTATCCTGTTTGGTATATAAATAATAAAAAAATAGGTGTTGACTCAATATATATATGTGAGTTTTCGGTTCATGTAGGAATAAAACATGCACTACTAGTAGCAAGTATCCCATTTGTAATTAAGGAGAAGCAAAGCAGTCGAAATCGTGTTTATTTTTCATAATGATATGTGCGAATTTGTAATTTCCGACGTTTTCTGTCTTCAGATGGCCACGTAACGGCGACATTACAACACCATTTGTGCTAAATAGTCGCACGGAATTAATTTGAGCCGGTAACAATTACAACCAAGGCAAGCATTGCACTTCAGTCGCGTTTATATTGGCCAAAATCATTTTAAAGTGAAGTAATCAGGTTAAAATATTTTGTATTTATTTTATAAATATCGTTTTGCTCCTGATAATTTGGACTGGACGCTGAATGATTTCCTCAAAACACATCACTTTTCACGGATATATATATGTTCAATTACGTTCAACCCAAGTAATATTTTAATGATATTCCGATACTTCGTAATCGAGCGTCGCTTTCTATTGCATCGCTGATCGGTGTTATCATGCCCATCAATCGACTATTATTTGAACTAAAATACTCTAGTGAAAATCAAGAAATATTTATTGAAAGATTTTATTCCGAATGATTTGGTATATTGGTGCTATGTAAAAATCTGTCTATGTCATCAATTTGAGCGAATGTGCTTGGTAAATAATTTCATTACATCATTATGATTGAACTCAAGCCGTCGGTAACTGTAGAGCAAATCCGGGCCATTCAGACGCAACTTTTCCATAAGGAACACAAGTAATTTTTCACGTGTTTCAGTGTACTAAAGGAAGGTTGATTCCATGCAACGTTGACGGGTAAAATACCTTATATTTGCAAAAGCACTGACGGAAATATATATTGATTTTGAAAATAAAAAAATGGCTGAAGCAGTATCATCTTTAATTGACATACTCTGTCATCCAAACATTTGCTTTCAGCTCTATTATACCAGTTCGAAAATGTTTTTTTTAAATGACGTATGGTAATATAATACTAACGCATAGCAGTGTCTTATTGATCAGGGGTCGACATCCACCCAGTGAATTAATTTATCAATGTCATGAAACAGCAAAAGGCTTCCATATCTATATACAGCCCATATGCTGTATATGTTTGGAAGTTTTTAAAATGAACCAAATACCAGATAACGATTTGGAATATATACAAACCCGTCCAAGAGTAATCGAGAAGGCTATAACATTCAAATTATAAAAAGAATTGCCTCCCCCCCTGTAAACAATAGCTTAACGCATTTGTTTTTAGTGTTTACCTGTGTACTATTTTCTTGTAATTTATGCCTGTGCTATTCATTTATTTTTTACTGGTTGGAAAAAAAATAAACTTGATTGATTGCAGATTTAGCCGTGTGTAGTGGATGAATACGTAGAGTAGCCCGCAATTTCTGAAATCACGCCTCACAAAAGCTGATCGTTCATAACATCAGCAAGTGAAAAAAAAAGGGGGGGAATTTTTTCCTGAATAAACTATTGCTGGCCATTGGTAGGGGACAGACAACAAACCATAGTATTCTCACTCACTTCGCAATTTGTTTATTCATAAAGCAACGTCGGATTAATTTGTATGGCGATGATAAACTCGTTGACGAAATGTGGTCGCGTTCTTTCGCTTACACAACATCTAAAAATGGCAATTGACTGAAATATGAGAAATGCCTCATCACGAGTGTAAAACAAGTGTGATGAGATAAGAGTCTCCCTTTCGCTAAATCACTGATGATTGTGTTTAACATCGTCATGTCACCCTATAATATTTTACGTTGATACTCCATCAAAACCAACGACTGCACCCTGCTTGATCAGAAACGAATGAATAATAATCAATTTCACATCTCGAGAAAGTATTTAAATATAACAGAAATCGAATATAGTTGGGATTTTGGGAAAGTTACAAGGAGTCAAGGCTAAGTTTGAAGATAAATCTCGTCGTCATATTGCTTGCGGCCATTGAACATAAATTTAAAACACACTTGTCTTTCACAGCCTCAAGTTTGAAAGCGGATTTCTCACTAAAACTATTGTGTTCCAAAAGCTATGATGCAATATCACAACACACATCACGCCTTCATACGACAAGTTTACTATACCATGTATATATAATAAATTATAAGATTTGAACAATTCAATAAACATTGACGCCATAGTGGAGTCACTGAGACAAAAATTGCCTCTGGTCACGTAGATATCTAAAAATGACGGTACTCCTGAACTTGTAAAAATTGGATTGCACAATTTGCTCGACAAACAATCGGATTTGGGTACACGGTGCTTTGGACTGACTTTTTCTCCGAATGTGTATGAATTATTCTAAGCATCCAGCAAGTAATTTCAAAATAAATATCTTCTTCATGAAGAAATCATTAACACATTTTAATTTAACATATCATAAATGCAATTATATATAACAAATTTGGTGGTTAACTGGGTTGGCCTAACTAATAATGTATACCAATTCGATGGGGACACGAAATGCAAGTTTGCAGCAATCCCACACTATTACTTTGGATCACATAGGGTCAACAAAACGTGCTTGTTCCAGGTGTGCAACTAACCAATTAGCTAACATTATTGGCAAAATTAATTCATATTCTCATGAATTAAACTGCCAGTTTAATTTTACTAAATATAAGCAGAGCTAAAATAAATTTCCGAAGCAGTGAAAAGAAATAAACTTGAATTGGAGACGGGTTTGGCACCTCCCGACAATGATGGTATACTGAGAACTAAATGACATAAAATAAGAAAACAATTTTCATAAAAATAGTCAGTTCATAGAACTCACTTCTTTGGTATCCATAAAATAATAACTACATATCCAGTTAAGGTAAAATTCTGCGGAGAATTAGTATGCCCATGAAGGTTGCTGAACTATTATACCCAAATATTGATATACATGATCAACCGAGCAAAAAGGTTCCAAGCAAATGAGCATCAGTCATAGTTAGCTTTGAAAATTCATGGGCTTCGGGTCACCGTATACATGACAAATCGAACAAAAATTGGAAAACATATAAAATTGAATTCATGGTGATATTAATCGGCTGTAAAAAATATGCCCTTTCAAACATCCTAATTTCGAAATTGAGTGCTCAACTTGGACATAAACTCATGATAGAATATGTTTTAACTGGTCGAAATAGCAAACTTAAGAGATGAGATTTAAGCAAAACTATTCAAGTCGGTGTGCAGTTTTTTCATTAAATTTGTTCTATAAACTCATGATTGTCAGTTCATCTAAAAAAGAACATTTGGTGTTGCAGATAAGACCCACACAAAACATCATTATAAAGAGGTTCAGATATTAACTCATGACATACTATCGATATTGTTAGGAAAAAGATTCAAACGCATAAGTGCTCAATTTTAATAAAAGTGTTATAATGCAAAAGAAGTTTGGCGATCCATGTTCGAAACTCTGGTGATGAACATGATATACAGTTTACCAACACTGGATAAAGATCTAAAAATTGTTTCCAAAAAGATTGATCTGCAGATTTCGGATTCTCAATCAATGACTTAAGTAGAGTATCCATGAACTGTAAAAGTCGCATCGTATCATTAACTTGCTCTTGTGGAATTGGATAGCGCAATGTTAATCGGTCCTGTTCTAAGTATGACAATAGAGACGTGTGACATTGCTTGATCAAACTTTCCAATGACAAATCAGTTAGTTCAGTAGAATGCGAATTATGAGAATCATTGCTTTTGGAATTTGATTTCTTGGTGATGATAGAAAATTGAAGAAGCGTATCAAAACAAGCTTGTCGAAATAATTCTCTCGCTCCATGAACATGAATATCAGTATTGTTCATGGTGACAATGTGGCTAGAACCTTTGTTGAGCATCTCGATGATATTGGAAATAAATTTACTTGGTATACTAGAGTTATGTGGAAGGACCTCATTTTTTAGCAATTGCACAAGCTTCACATCTAGTTTTTCCTGAGTCGCTTGCTCCTCAACCGATAAGTCAGCAGGTGTTTGTGACACTGGGAAAAGAAAATTTTCAATGCACTGATATAAAACATCCCAAAGTTTATCAAAATAGGAAGACTGGGAATACTGTCTAACAACCGGCATTCCAGTTTGCATAACATGCATTAACGAGTCCACTGCCAACAGCCAAGTTGACTTAGTTTTGGCATTATGCCTCTTCGATAATGGTATATGCAAGGCTGATAAGATCAATGTCAGCACATCATGTTGTATGACTGATTTGTGACATGCTGTTTTCTTGTACAGCTCTACAGCCAACCCCATTGAATATTCTGCAAACGGTGTGCAATTAGGACATAACCATTTATGTTTTCCATTTTGTAAAATCTTGTCAGATAATTTACCATATCTAGGAGGTTTAGACGCATATTCTACATTTTTCAACAAATATCGAAATATTGCTGGATACATTTCATCATCGGATTCTGATGAAATATTTTTTTGAACCAAGTTGATAGAACGTATAACTTCATCCTGTAAGGGTGTGAGGTGAAAACCAGAAAGTACAGGTAATTCAAATGCTGCAGAATCCCATCGTACTGGTATTGTCACAGCACCGACAAGAACATTCTCAAGATCTTGAAAATTTTGCAAACTGAACTTGGATTGAATGTGTTTGTACAATGTACAAAATAGAGACACATATGATGTCAGATAGCTTTGTGAAATAACATTGTCCAGATCTTCAACATCGCTTGAGGGAGATTTTGTAACACTTACACCTATTCGACACCAAGTTTCCCACGCTTGAACCCACAGCTGTGTATTTTCACTCTCCAATCCCTTTGATAAATCTGACAATAACACATCTTCAAAACTGCACATTGCTGCTCCAGATACTTCAGAACTATTACACAATGCAGCTTTTTCAAGATATGCAAAAAGTTTTTCCCATGCTTTGAAAAATCTTGGTAGGTCAGTGAGAATGTTTTGTTTGAGTTTAAATATTCTTGATAATCCAGCCAAAGTTAGAACAAGTGTTTCCTGCCACTGTTTCTGTGCCGTATCCCTGGAATGATGCATTAGTATGTCATTATTGCTTCTTTCCTGTGACGCAGAGTCACAGGCATTTTGTACATTATCCATTAAAACAAATAAAACATCCCAAATTGCTTTATCCCAAGCAGCAGGAACCAGAATTGAACCGTGGGTGGATATAGTTGAGAACATCGTCTGTCCTGCACTCTTCCTCACAGCTGGTCTGCCATCCATACACAATTCACTTATTTTAACAAATAAATCCAACCATAATTCTTCCATTGTAGGAGATTCGGTGCTATTTTCTTCCTTTGATAAATTTTCACTTATTCTTTCACTGTTTTGAAACATAAAATCAGAGACACTCCACAACAGCCCGATTGCAGTGAGGCTTATATTGAAATCTAGAGTTTGTAACCCAAACTTTGTGACAACATTAATGCAGCATTTTAAATATTGACATGGCATCGAGGGCAAAAAATCAGATACAATCAGCTGAAGACTACGAAATCCAGTTCTGATGAGATTTTCCGATGAGGTTTCAGTTGCTGATTCAACAATATATAATAAGTCAGGCCAGCCAGATGATAAAATATCTCCGGATGAATGGAGAATTTGTAGAGTGCTATCCAATTGCTTTTGCTTAACATCTGTGTGACTAACTGTGCTCAATTGTTTGAGTGGATGCAGAAACATATGCAGCATTCTAGGATTCTCACTTAATAAAACATCATGCTTAAATCCTATGGCTGATTTTACCAAAGACGTCACACCTTCTGCACCCCATTCTCTCAATATAGAATTTGGATGCTGACATACTTCCAGGAGGTGCCCAGATACTGGTCTCCACAGAATCTCAATGCGACACATATTTACTAAACCTGTCTCCAACAGTTTGGCAACTGCAAATAAACTAGGTTCTTTAATATTGTTATTATATGCCGCATCCATCGCTTCAAGTGAAAGAGAACACAGGGCATTTATTAGATGATGCAATGCAACATCATCAAGGTCTTTTGATGCTTCAAAAACTTTGCTGAGTTTAGATGATAATATTGGCAAGTCCGTCAGCACAGCCGTAGTGAGAACGGTATTGTTCCCTGTGTTGGGTTCACTTGATGATCTGGGATTTGGTGCCATTTGACCACCAGATGTTGGTTTCAAACCCAATATCCAAACAAGGTGTTGTAAAGTTGTTAAAAGTATTTGCCACGATGTGTTCAATATAGACCCATGGCACAAAGCCAAATTTAACACTCCTTGCATGCACTGTATATTTTTTGCAGTCAGCATCACAGATATTTGACTGCTGTTAGTCACAAGTGATTGTCCCATTACAACTACTTGTTGCTGAAGACTACTATTGAGAACTTCTTGCTGTTCTGAACCAATCATTATTTTTTGAGGCAGATAGGCAAGAGATGCATTAAAAATTGGCAGTGCATAATGTGCTGGAAGACATGCTTTACATAACATGGTTATGAACGCATCCCTAGCAGGCACATTTACTAGTTGACCACATAGTGCCGCACACAACTCAATACACTTCAAAACGGAGCCTGCGGTTGATTCATCTGTGCAGGAATCAAGTAATAATGACAAAACAGACAACATTTCACACCAAACAGTCTCCAACATTTCTTTACACACGTTGATCAATTCTTCAGAGTTTTCTACATCTTGTGTCCTATTAGGCGTCGTTAACTCAGGATTTAAAACATTAGAATTAATGATTGAAGCAAGCCCCTCAACAAGATCTAAGTACGCATAAAAAGCCAATCCCAACACATAGCCATCTGGTACAGGTGGTGGTTCAACTTTATCCAACATTTCTCTATACAAGTTCTTACTGTTCTTTATGGAACCAATCGGCAACAATGGTATTGATACTCCTTTGTAATATAGATTTAAAGGTGCCACTATAAGTGGAGCTGTTGGTAAGGTTGAAGCTCCATTGATAACATCACCGCTTGTAGGAAAGGTGTTCAATGAATGTGCTGCCATGATGTTTTGTATGAAAGAACCAAGGGAAGATACCAAATTACGAAAAATCTTATTGTTATGTATTTTCATATCATAAACACAACAAAATGATCTTAGAAGTTCAGGCTCTATGCAAATTTGCTGTAAAACCTCAATTGCTAAGGCTCTCTGCCAAAACGGTTTATCGCTGTCAAGAAATTTTAAAAGCAATGAAATAAAAATTTCACTTTCTGTTACAAGGCAATAGAGATAATTTTTCAGCAATATTGACACCACTCGAAGTAGTCTCATTGAAATTGGAAAAAAAGGTTTTTCCTGAACTTGTGTTGAGGATGGCGGAGAAGGAGCTCCTTGCCTGTGTTTGATATTTGGTGAGAATAATTTAATAACCAGAGCACAAACTCGATCCTTGAGCAGAAATTTGAATTCTGCATGTTTATTGAAAATAGGTTGATAGTTCTTAAGAACTGCTTCTAGCAGTTCAAGTCCAAATGTACGGGTCATTTCTGTTATCCCAATCAACCAGTAAGGACTTTCCGCATTCACAAGTTGGCATAAGTCTTGAAGTAACATGTATGCATCTCTAACTGCTGAAGTGGTATTTGGAGGTGGACTATATTTTTCTGAATTCTTAGGTATATATGGTTCTCCATTACAATCTTCAATTTTACTTAGTTTATCTTCTGCTAATAATCTGTCAAAAACCACTGCCACCACCTGACGAATTGTTGCTTCAGCAGTATGATTGGTCACCTCATTTTTAGTGAAGTGTAGTCGAAAGCACAGAACGAGAGCTCGAGATAAAATATCACCCGCCACAGCACTTCTCTTGCTTGTGAGTAACACCAAAGTTGTTTGTAGCAGTCGTAACTGCAACTCCTCAATACCCTGATCATACACTTGCCACAAAACATTCGCAACATTTCTAGCTAAAGATGGATCAATAATCTCATAGTTTATTAGTCTTTGTATAGAAGTTAGACATAACTGTATTATTGTCAAACTCTTTGTGTCACATCCCATTAGGAAAGGTTGCAATAAATCAGCACACGACTTTTGCAAGCTTTGAAGATAACTTGCTTGCCCAAGAGTTTCACCACATGTGGCTGACATTGTACGAATCTTCATTATTGCAGACTCTGACGCTTCCTTAACTGGGGGGTATTTTTTCTTCGTTTCATTAGACAGGCTCCTAAGGTCTCCTTGGAGAACTTCAATCAACTTCTTCTCCCGACTGTGGGCCATTTTGATTGATTTCTCCAAATATGACCAGTTACAAATAAATGGAATTGCTTATAATAAATCACTGTTAAAATAAATCAATTGATTAGTATATTGTAATGTAAGGACAATGCCATTAAAAACTTTTATAAAAAATTCACAATGAAATATATTATGAACTCAAAGATTTGTGGAAAACCAAGGTCTGCAAATTTTATTCCAAGGACAGCCCTTGACTTCTTCTATTAATCAAGGACTAAAAAATAGTATGTATCATTAATTTTTATCGTAAAACTGCAAATAAAGAATTAAATTTCCATATTTATTATTCTTATTAAATGTACTATGTACATTGTACCCATAGTGAAAGACATTGAATATAACAGTGAGTGTACAACCTCCTTTACGAGACAGTCATCATCTTTATTTGAGTCTTAAGCTTGCGGGAATTGTGATAATATGAGAGGGTAGTCTAGGACAGGGCTACTCAACAAGCGGACTGCGCTCCGAATCCGGACCTTTTGACCATTCAATTTGGACCGCTCGTTCATTTTGACAGCACAAGCACCGTTTCATAGTTTCAGATGATTTTAATAATGTTTACATACACAGGATGGAAAGATTCATAGGATGTTTCCCCGACCTTTGACCTCAGAAACGTTTTCCCTATACTTTACTATTGCAAAATTTTGGAGGCGTATTTTGCGAGTGTTTCAGAGAGTTGACATTTACAAACTGATTTACATGCTCAAAACCATTATTTTTATAAAAATATACAACCACGTGCCGCTTACGCTCATTTAAGCCTAGTCTATCGCAGCTTTCCTGAGACTCATTTTTGATTATTGTAACTAAACTAAAGCTTATCGGAAGGCATAATAGAAATCACATTACTTCATTTACAACTAATTGTCAGAAACACAACCAAAAACTGACAAATAACACGCGAATCCGCAAAAACTCGAATATCTGTCTGAGCGAACGAAGTGTCTGAGCGACTTCAAAAAATTTAACTGTTTTGTTATACGTCATCGTTGACTTTTTGCTGATTGGTCATTGTTACGGAAATAAACAAGGAAAACGATGCTCGGGGAAACATCCATACAGTTGCCGATGTGCGACATGTGTATCCATATTTGTCAGCCATTCATTGCTTTTGTATTTAATTAATAATGCATTTGAAGTTTCGTTTAGTTAATCAAATAAATATTCTGAAATGTCCGGACCCCCAGTAATTTTGAAGTTTTGTAAACGGACCCTTGGTGAAAATAGTTGAGTAGCCCTGGTCTAGTCTAGGACTTACATTGTCTTCAAAACAAGACTAAAATATCATATAATTCAGTAATTGCTGAATTGGTTATTTACAACAAATGGCAAAATATGCATAGAAACATAACAATCTGACACAGCTTAAAATAATATTAGTTAAATGAGGTACCGCAGTACCGAAAATCAAGATAAACCAATTAATTTTAAGCTTTTTTTATTAGACTTAAAATTGTGACATTGTTGACTTGCATCTGTTTTCTCAGTTTCTCTCTGGATACCATTTTAATCTAATATCAGAATATTGCCCCTTCACTAATTTTCTTATCTGCTTTTATTTGATTCTGTTTATCTTAGGTCTGTAGGTTGGGTTTGGGGCAATAAATTAAAGTGTAGATAGCAAGACATAATCAAAGTTGTGTGTTTTTGCATGGTGTGATATTTTCTTTTGCATTCCAAACATAATTTCCTCTCGGATCCTCGGTACCTACTATACTACCCTAATTTTAGAATTGAAGTATACCTGTATTTACCCACACGGTACCTACGTCTGTACGTAACATTTAATACTTTATGAAATACAGAAATTTGGACAATAATTTGGCGGGTGGTCTAACTCCCCTAGGCTAGCCCGTATTTCTGCATTTTATCTTTTTTTTTTTTTTTTTTTTTTTTTTTTTTTTTAAACGCTCACAAATGTGTTAAATGTGATACAGTAATAATCATAGAAATAATGGGAAATAAAATTTTTACAATCATTCTTATCTCAAATTGTAATCCATAATATCCGACGTAGTTTCCATTTTTCAGTATTCCAATGTTCAATAATCCATGTATAATCCGTAATATCAATTCAGTGATATCAAGATGTTTTCAAGTTAATAATACATTAGTTAAGCATTATTTGTTATACATAAAAATAGAAAAAAAATATTAGCAACTATACATTTACTCAAAATATAATCACAGACAGTTGGTTAAAAATTCTAATTCCTTTATGAAATTTGGTAATTTTCGAACTTTTTCTATATTTCTCCGACATGTTATTGAAGTTTGTATTTGTTTTATGACTGTTTGAACGTTAGGTATCTTTTTTTGAAATATAACAGCATTTCTTTCTAACCAGATCTTATATCTTGTTATTGATATAAGTAATACTATAATGTTTTCATGAAAATCTGAAAAAAATACACTGTTCATTTGGGAAAAATCTAATAAAATGCAGGTCAAATAGTCTTCTCTTAAATTACTAATTTTCCTAATAACAGAAAAAATATAATCATATATATGTTGAGTGAATTCACATCTCAAAAATAAATGTGATATAAATTCTGGTTCTTTGCCACAGAGGGCACACAAATCATTTCCAGAAATCCACTTTATTCTTGCATGGGTTTTTAAAGGTAAAATTTCCCACATAAGTTTGTAATCAAAAGTTTTCAAATAATTTGGCAGTATTTTCCTGTGAATACTCTTGCATGAATTCTCTATACTTCCACCACATAAAAACACTAATCTAGAACCATTTAAAGAATTAACGATTTTATTGTAGAGCACTCTATGATTACCTTGAATAAATTCATTTGATTTCAAATTATTCGTCCTGATGAAATCAAGAATAGCTTTATAAAATTGATTAGGAACAAATTTATGTAAAACACTGTTATTCGACGACATTCTAAAGAACACACACAGTTGATGTCCAATGTTAGTTTCAGTATAATCCATTATAGTTTTTCTATCATTACTTGGGATGTTTCCCATTCTTTCACTGTAATAATCAAATGCAGTCATTGAATACAAACACATTGTGAAAATTGGAATGTTTATGATGTCATAGCCACCGAATGGTTTTTCTTTACTTAATGTTTCAATGTTTAATAACGTCTTCTTACCACCAAATACAAATTTAACAATTTCATCATTGATTTCTCTACTAATTGATAATGTCATTGGAAATATTTTGGCACAGTATAGGAATAATGGAAGTATTTTCATTTTTACTACTAAACACTTTCCATCGAAAGTGAGTGGAATATCACATAAATCTTCAATTTCATTTTTTGCTTTGTTCAAGCAGTTTGTCCAATTAGTTTCACTAGTATTGTAGTTCGCAAAGGTAACATTTAACACTTTTAGTTCTTTAACTGTTGATACGCTTGTATGAAAATTGCTTTTCCATAATCCCAGTTTCATTAATTTTGTTTTTCTCGTATTAAGCTTGAATCCAGTAGCAATTTCAAATTGAACAATCTTGTTTAACGCATTTTGGACTGATTTACGATTTCTCAGTGTTAACGTAATATCATCTGCAAATCCCAGACTTTTAATTTCCATATTTGTAGGAGTCATGATTCCATGAATTTCTTTACATTTGTTAATATAACATAGCAGCGGTTCAATTGCAATGATGAACATATGTAAACTCAATGGGTCACCTTGTCTTACACCTCGTTGTAGCTTTATTTTTCCGCTGAGATATCCATTTATTAGAATCCTTGATTCTGCATCCAAATAGAGATCTTTTGTAAGTTGTAAGAATTTGCTTGTGAATCCAAACTTTTCCAAAACATTGTACAAGTATTCTAAGTCTACAGAGTCGAAAGCCTTGTTAAAATCTAAAGATATTAGTGTTGATTCATATGATTTATGTTGTTCTTGAGCACATAAATCTCTTAAAATAAATAATGTGTCCGTTATTTTCCGTCCTGGTACTGCTGTCTGATGAGGGTTGATGATTTCTGGTAGTACTTTTTTGATTCTGTTGGCTATAATTTTTGTAAATATTTTATAGTCAGTGTTCAATAGAGTTATTGGTCTGTAATTCATTATATCTTCTTGTTCTCCATTTTTATATATTAAAGTCGTATATCCCAATTTAATTTCTTTTGGGATGGTCGATTTGTCGAACATTTCTTGTATTATTTCGAAAACATCTTGACCCACTATATCCCAGCATTGCTTGTAAAACTCTACACTGAATCCGTCAGGACCAGGTGTTTTGTTGTTTTTCATTGCTTTAATTGCTTCTGAAACTTCTTCGAGTTCAATGTCTTTCTGCAACATATCACTATCAGCAGTTTCAATTTTTGTGTCGACTGGAATTGCATCGAGGAATTCTTTTTGAATTTGTTCATTCGTTGTCTTTTTATTGAATAGTTCTTGGTAAAAATCTTGTACAATTTGCATTTTGTCTCCTAATTTATTTTGGATAATTCCATCCTTGTTCTTTAACTTTTGAATGGACTTTTCTTTATTCCTCTTTCTTAATTTCTTGAAGAAGGATTTGGTACATTTTTCTTGATTATCATAGGAATCTGCCATGTTTTGTATTCGAATCTTGTTATCTCTTTCTTTTTGTTTTTTAGCCAAATTTTGCTTCATTTTGTTAAATTGAGTGAGAACTCTTTCTCCCATGTCTAACCTTTTTTTTAACTCTTGTAATTGGTTCATTTCGTTGTTGTACTCATTTTGAGCTTCTTTAGCCAATTTCACTGAGTAGCAAACATTCAATTCTTTGATCTTATTCTTCATTTCAATCCACCATTTTGTTTTATTCTCAAAAAAGAATTTCAATGTTTTCCAGTTTGTCCACCTGTGTTTCAGTTCATTTTTAAATTGTTGATTGTCGTACACTGATGTATTATTTTTCCAGTAGCCTTTACCTCTTTCATCTTTTGTTTGGTTTATTTCTAACTGAATTGAGAAGATATCGTGATCAGACAAGTAAGTAGATTTACAATCAAAATTTTTTATATTACAATTTTTTGCAGAACAATAAATTCTATCAAGTCTCGCTTGTATTGAATTATTTCTCCATGTATAAAATGGAGGAGCTTTGGGGAA